TTTATTTTCTACAGACTTTTTTTCTTTTTCTTTTTCCTGCTGTATTTCTCAGCTCGTCCGACTAAGCAGTCAACAGGCGGAAATTGTGATTTTGCTTCGTCTTGCTTTGCTTTGCTTTGCTTCGCTCTGCTTTGCTTTGCTGCGCCTTTGCTTTATTAATCGCTGCTGGCCGGGCGAAAATGGTGGCCGGGCAAGACGCCGCCCTACAATGACCATGGCCAAGACGAACCACGGCGAGATCAGCTTGCACGACGAAGACCGCGGCCTGCTCGCCCACGAGCCCGAGCGCAATGGCGACCTCGGCATCATCACCAGCGTCCTCAAGTCGTCGCGCACCGAGTTCGAGCCCGAGCTCAAGACGCCGCGGACCCCCGGCAGAGTCCAGTTCGACCTGACGCCGCGCATCCTCAACTTCAGCGACGCTCCCCTCGGCCGGCCCTCGACCTCGTCGTCCTTTTCGTCGGCCGATCGATTCGACTTTGACGACTCCGGCGCCGGCCACGACTCGCACCGCGTGCCGCTGCTGACGGACCTCGAGGCGCCGAGCATAACCGTGGCCCGGGAGTGGGATGATGCCGGCGAGGGCGACGAGGAGAACGCGGCCGAGGCCGAGCTGCGGCGGCCCAAGTCCGGGCTCAAGTCCGCCTTCATGAACATGGCCAATTCCATCATTGGCGCCGGCATCATCGGCCAGCCGTACGCAATGCGGCAAGCGGGCCTGCTGGCGGGCACGCTGCTCCTCATTGCCCTGACGATTGTGGTGGACTGGACCATCTGCCTCATCGTCATCAACAGCAAGCTGAGCGGCACCAGCAGCTTCCAGGGCACGGTGCAGCACTGCTTTGGCCGGCCGGGGCTCATTGCCATCAGCGTTGCGCAATGGGTGTTTGCCTTTGGCGGCATGGTGGCCTTTGGAGTCATTGTCGGCGACACGATTCCACACGTCTTGGCGGCCATCTGGACCGACCTGGCGAGCGTGCCGGTGCTGGGGCTGTTGACGGATAGAAGAGTTTGCATTGCCGTGTTTTGCATGGGCATAAGCTATCCTCTGACACTGTACAGGGACATTGCAAAGGTGAGAGTTGCCTGTTTTAGCAGTTGCGAGATAGAGGACGCTTTGCTAACGGTGCTCCATCATACAGCTGGCCAAGGCGAGCACATTGGCCCTTATCGGCATGCTGGTCATTGTCGTTACGGTGCTGGTCCAAGGCGTGCTCGTTCCGTCGGCGGATCGAGGCTCTTTCAGCACGCCGCTGTTGACCATCAACAGCGGTATATTCCAAGCCATTGGCGTTATATCGTTTGGTATGGACACCTCGACTCCAACGGCCGACTACACACGCATGTATGGTGCATGGCTAACGTATATACTACGCAGCATTCGTCTGTCACCACAACTCCCTCCTCATCTACGGCTCGCTCAAGACCCCCACGATCGACAACTTCTCCCGCGTCACGCACTATTCCACCGGCGTCTCCATGTTCGCCTGCCTGATCATGGCCCTCGGCGGCTTCCTCACCTTTGGCGACAAGACGCTGGGCAACGTGCTCAACAACTTTTCGTCGGACAACTCCATGGTCAACGTTGCGCGGCTGTGCTTTGGCCTCAACATGCTGACGACTCTGCCTCTGGAGGCGTTTGTCTGCCGCGAGGTCATGATTACGTACTTTTACCCCGACGAGCCGTTTGACATCCGGCGGCACCTCATCATCAGCACGGCGCTGGTTGCGGGTGCTACGACGTTGAGCATGTTGACGTGCGACCTGGGCATCGTCTTTGAGCTCGTGGGCGCAACCAGCGCCGTGGCCATGGCGTACATCCTGCCGCCCATGTGCTACATCAAGCTGACGACGCGGAGCTGGCGCACATACGTGGCCGCGGCCGTGGTGGTGTTTGGAGTTGTCGTCATGATCATCAGTGTGATTCAAGCGATGGATAAAATGATACATGGTAAGTCTGCTCTCTCGAGGCGCCTCTGTTCATTTAGCTAACATGACCATGCGTCAACAGGTTCAGATACCGCGGCGAAATGCACGTAGAACAAGGCCGGCGCCGACGAACCGATTTTAGAAAAATTAATTGTATGACTATATATAGAGAGAGCATCCATGGAACGGATATGCATATTGCCCTTGGATGGAGAGAGAAAAGGGCCTGGACGGGACTGTACAATAAGGAGAGCTACGGATATGGGATGCTGCGTTTATGCGGTTACGCTTTTTGGACTATACAGCAGCGTTTGTCCACCATACAGAGGCAGATATACACAGTATATTGTCAGAAGAATACAAATACATGTCAAACAAGTTTACCCTTACATCACCTAGGTACTGCACCATCATGAATGCCGTGTACCCATCAGATGCTGTCAGCATGCTAATACACAGTCTCGCGACAACCCTCATCATCTCCCGGGTAGCCAAAAACCCCATGTATCATCTTTACCTCGAAGTTGCCACTCGCCATCTCCGTTCAAGGGTCTTTGCACCAAGCCTCACTCTACTCAAAACACACAAACAGCCTTATTTCGCCTCACTTCACGACCCCTCCCCTGTGCACCCATCCCGCGTGAGCCTCTCCTTTCCCCAAAACAGGTCGTCACGAGTCCCGGGACACATGATCATTCTTTCAAGGATCCGGGGCCAGCCACCGGAAATCTGACCGCCAGGAAGAGAAGAATACGCTACACGGCAGTTTCCATGGCGATAACGACAAGAAAGCAATCAACTACTGTAGATAACCAGACGTCTGCCTATCCCCCCCCAAAGAGGCTGAATACGTCACAACACAAGCAACCATCAATCCCCCCATAAACCAACAGCAGCCAATCGCCTCTCGCTCATTACTCAAAGAAACCCAACAGTCCCCGATAAATCCATCTAGATTAGCCGCCCACCCTCTTCGCTGCACAAATTCCCCGCTGCACTAAGCTGCAAACCAAATACAGGGTGTGGTTTAATCCACTGACAGACGGCCTTCATGTTCTCCCACGATGGCAAAAGCTTCCCACCCATCCCATTTCCCTCCTTCCCACTCCGTTGTGGCATACTAAACAATTCCACGTTGTATGCCTTTACTTAAAGAAGAGAGCAAGATAGAAGGCACTGAAAATGAAAGCTGCTCAATACATTGTATAAACATAGTTGTAGTGTCCCTTGAACAAACTACTAGACAAAGATCATACAATTAGTCCCCGCCCCAAGCAAACCTGATGGTGTCAACCTCCCTCCCCGTCAGAACCCCCCAAAACCAATAAGAAACTCGTCCACTCGCCCGGTCAAAAAAGCTTAGCAGCAAAAAAACAAGCCGGGCAAACAGACAATCCTGCTACCCCTTGGCCTAAAGGAAACGAACACATGGCCGACAAGTCCCATGTCATGCTCATTCTCCAGTAAAAACTATAAAGGGTCCAGACCCCGCCCCGGCTTTCAAAGTCCCTTGGATCTACTTCTCCTTCTCCTCCCACCAAACAACAACAACTCGTTTTTTAAATCCCAACTTACATCACTCTCTCTGAGTTATCACGCCAAGAAAACATCCATTAAAAAAAAGACATCACCATGCAGCCCGTCAACTACAACCACAACACCTGCCCCAAGTGCTCTGCCACTCTCACCTCCGACTCCAAGAAGTGCTCCAGCTGCGGTGCTGTACGTTTCCACCCCTCCTCTCCTTCTACTCCTTATTGTGAATCCAAACATTCTCCGTGACATTCAACTGACCATCTTTCATAATAGACTTGCCCCGTCTAAGCTACCTCAGCTCCACCCGCCATCAACCTCGATCATCGCAACAACATGATGAGAATATACTGAGGTGTGGAGGACTGGATGGACGCACGGATGAGTGAATGAATGAATGGATGAAGGAATGATATACCTCAGTAGGACATGGCACACCGAGACAAGACGTTGATGGAGAAGAGAAGCGATCATGTATGTCTAATGTTCCATGGTACATGCCCGTCGCAGTCACAGGCAGCTAGCATAGTTCCTCGTAATGGAAGGAATCTAGAATGACAAAGGCAATGACATGACATGACATGGGCTACAACTACATCCGCTTCATATCCATGCAGTACCAGGGCTACAATCCCCACAGCACGACATGTTTCAAGGGGTTCACTGCCTCGAGATTCACGATAGAGTTTACCCGCAATCTAACATGTTGAGTGTGTAAAGACGAAGCGATATTACAACCAAAGCCAAGATAAAAAAAAAAAAAAAAGTCAGGACAATACAAGACAAAAAAAGCACACTGCACAGATCCTCGAACCTCTGAGACTGAGAAACAAGTTGAAAAAGAAAAAAAAAAAGCCGAAACAAATGTATGATAACCTGTTGTAGAGACCGCTCGCGAGAGTCCCGCCAACTTCCAAAGTGCGACAAATCCACAGCTACCTACTTACACACCCATCTCTCCTCCTCTCATAGCTAGACAAACTGCAAGCCCTCTATTCCATCTGTACGCTTCCCGAATCAACCATCGACCGCTCGTAGCTCAGAAAAAAAAAAGAAAGCCAGCTCCAACATTAGGCCCGTCGACCCCGTTTCGCACCACTGGGAAGATACAGTAAAGCAAGACCGGCTTGCCCGCCGGCATTATGACAGAGGCATATGGGGGAAAACATCTGGTTTACCTTCTCTCGCAATCATCTCTCTTTCCCTAGAGAATCCTTACTCCATGACGGTGATGGGACTGTAGAACCATGCACGCAACCAAGTAACCCTTTCTCGCCGTGTCCGCAAGTGAAGACGCACGACACGCAAAACGAGACAATCAAATTCCAAATCCCCGAGAAGAAAAACTATGCCCGCAGACAACCGGCAAACCATGGTGGCCGACACCCATCCCTCCTCACACAACCAGCCGCGTGTTGCTTGTATGAGTTGGCTTGTGAAGTACGGAAGAAACGCATCGGATTACAAAAGGGGGGGAAATCGAGCCGCGAATGGAAACGGGTGTACTCGGGATAGACGGGTATAAGGATAAAACACGTTTACAGAACACGGCACTTCTTGTGGTTGCTCTTGCGGGTGGAGCGAGACATGAGAGCAGCGCGAGTGGCGTGCTCAAAGACCTCGCGAACACCGCTGCCGGTTCGAGCAGAGCACTCCAAGTACTTGTACGCACCGATCTTCTTGGCAACAGCCTCAGCCTGTATAGATAAGAGTGTCAGTTTTGTCAGGGCAAATCAAGCGTCCAGGTAGGGTGCACTCACGTCCGAAGAGGAAACCGGCTTCTGGTTGGTTGCCCTCAAGGCCTCGATGGTGTTGGGGTCGTCTCGCAGATCGGCCTTGCAGCCGACCAAGATGATGGGAAGACCTGAGCAGAAGTGCACGACCTCAGAGATCCACTATCGAGAGCAATACGCGTTAGATGTTTATTGTTTCCTCATTTAGATGGGCACACGCAGGGGGCGCAAATGCAAGGGTGACATACCTTCTCAAGAACATTGTCCAGAGAGTCAGGGGAATCAATGGCGAAGCAGATCAGGATGACGTGAGAGTCGGGGTAAGAGAGAGGTCGGAGACGGTCATAGTCTTCCTGGCCAGCCGTATCCCACAGGGCCAGCTCGACGTGCTTGTTGTCAACCTGGACGTCGGCGACGTAGTTCTCGAAAACGGTGGGGACGTAGACCTAGAAATAAATCAACATGTCAGCACAGTGTTGTTTATGAAGCAGCACGTAAAAGGTGCCGACGGCCTTTTGCCATCCATTTTCTGTGCGAGATGGATCGATTGTGATGGTGGGTTGGATGATGGGGAGCAGTTTGATGGAGATGCTGATGGGCCATAGGCTGAAATGAAGCCATAGCCCCCGGCCCAGATTTGACACGTCAGGGATTTCTCGCCGCGCGCTGGGGCCGACACCAGCGTCACGCAGCACCCAATCGCTGTCCTGCAGTGCATCACCGTCGAGGAGAAAACGGATGATGGCGCCCGCAAGACATCGAGCCCGCCATCAAACCCCCAATGGCGGTGTTGTTGCGGTCTCGGGCGGGAAAAAGAAAATGGGCGGCGGCTAATGAAGACGCGGAACAGGGCAAGATAGGGGATGGCAGATGCCGATGCTGCGCTCAATGCGTACCTCAGGGAAAGCGCCCTTGGAAAAGACACTGGACAACGGCGCGGTTAGCTCGACTCGTGCTCTGGCGGGCTCCAGACGGCGATGCGTTGCTTCGGGGCGTGAGGCCACGGCTGCCTTGGAGCGTGCCGCCGAAAATGGGCGTTGGAGCAACTCACATCAACAAACAGGTTTTACCGCAGGCACCGTCGCCGACGATGACGAGCTTTCGGCGGATCTCAGCCATGGCGTCTGTGTAGTTGTTTGCGGAGTGGGAGATGAGAAGTCGGCTGCAAAGGATGAAGGCAGAGCGTCTCTTGCGGGTTTGGCGATGGCGGTTGGGGATGGAATGAAAGGAAGAAAGACGGACGTCAGAAGGGGGATTGTGACGGAAGAGAGCTGGTCTGGGTCTGGGTCAGGTCTGGCCTGCTGGGGCTTTTGGCTTTTGCAGACGCAAAGTACTGGGTACTTGTGCTAGCAGTGCTTAGTACGAGTACAGGTGACTTGGGCTGGGTGGGGAGAGGGGGGGAGAAGCAGAGCAGAGCAGCGAGAGAGCAGCCTGGCTTTTTGTTTCGGGGCGAGTGACGGCGAGGACTTTGGGGGGGTCCAAGCTGAAAAGAGTAGGACTCTCAGGTCGCTCAGGTAGCGGCAATGTACCCACCGGCGCAGTTTCGGTGAAGGGGAACTTGGCGACGATCAATCACATCAGTCAGTCAATGGCCGTTGCTGAGCGCTCAAGGCCATCAAATGTCCTGCGTACCTTGGCTAGCGTGTCCTGAGGCAGCCAACAATTTCTGGGGACTCTCGCCAATGGCTTGATTGCCTGTTCCAGGGCGGAAAGGAGGGGCGGCTTGGGCCCCGGGGGAGCAGCTCTGGGTGCTGTGCTGTGAGCCCTCCAGCCACCGAGCTTTCAGTGCACAGGGAGATTGAGCATCCCCCAGCTGCGGTTTTAGCGGCCTACATCTCAGGCACTCGCACATGCACGTATGAGTACAGGTACAGGTACATGCACATGTACGAGCGCGGGTGTGCGCGTACTCGATACTCGGTACGAATTTGGTCAGCCTCTTTTTTCTTCTCTTTTTCTTTTTCTGCCTTGGCTGCTGGAGCTCGAATCATCAACATCAGCCGCTGATGCGTATTCAAACAATTACAGGTAGCAACTAGGTACTTAACCTAATCTCGTACCTGACCGCTACTACCAAGGTACATGCAGTACGAGAGTTCCAGCAGGAAAAAAGCTGGACATCCATCCCATAGCAAACAGAACCCCGGGCTGGACGCGTTGCGTTGCCTGGAAGCGGCAGCGGGAGGTGGCTGAGACGCTGGGAGATAAGGCCAGATACATGCGGCCAAGTACAACCGCAGCGCTAGAGCCAGGTACACGCTACTCGGCGCTCCGTACTGCGCAGCGCCAGGAAGTACGTGATCCTTTATATTGCGAAACTCCACCGCTGAGTCAACCTGCGTACCTCTACATCCAACGTTGCCGACGTTGGCCGCGGTCATTGCACGTGCGACAAGTACAAGTACGCGGCGCCTCAGAAACATGAATAGCAGCGCGTTACGAAACCAGGTAGCGCTGCCTGCACTGCCGCCTGTGCAGAGTACGAGCGCTGAAAGCCAGAGGTACGTACTACGGCGCGGTTGATGATGGAAGAGGCTGAGATGACGACCACTTTTAATTTGATCCCCAGATGATGCTCGGCTTGTGAATCATCTGGCGGTCTGTTTCGAGTCTGCAGAGGGCAAAGTCGAGGTACATACATGTACGAGTACACGACTGCGTGCATTGAGGGCAGTTTGCCGTTCAATTCTTTTACAGTACTACCTCCTCTACTAAACCTACGGAGTAGGGAAAAGGGACTCATCTTGTCATCCCCCAGGACCTCATCATCCAGGACCTCATCAATCCACCAAGGCCCAGACCTCAGCTCTGCCGCAGCGCCACGAGGCTGTAACATCACAAGCCGCAGCGTGCAAATTTCACGACATGACATTATCTTACCTTGGTACGGAGAACTACCTTAGTAGTAGTAGTAGTAGGGCCTGTCTACGTAGACGGAGCACAGCAACGGTAGCACCAAGTGCTAACCTTGAATTTGTATCCACCCGTCCAATTTGCTCTTGATTGGGATGACGATGCATGGCGTCTGGTGTCCCGACCTTAATATCAAGCTGCTCTGTATCATGTATCAGATGGGCGCCAGTACCGGTACTTCGTATTTGGTGCCACCAACCAGATGCGCGCTCTTTGTCTCTGCCAACAAAATCTCACCGCGGTGCTTGTCTGGTGTCTTGCCTCCCCCAGGTCAGACCGCTTCCCGAAGCCTAGGCAGGGTGACACGGCTTGTGTGCCTCCTGACGCGGCGAATCCTGGTGGCAAAGTCCTACGCATCTAGGACTTGGGGACGCCGGAAGCTGTCATAATTTAGCTTGCACGCAACTGCACTGCACTGCACATTCACGCAGCTGTGGGAGCTGCTGCATTAGCGAACGAAAGCTGATGCACCTCAAATGAAGCAATCACATGATTGACGTGCTCACCAGAACGACGCATTTCCTTGTTGGGCGGCTGTTGCAGCATACAGGATACGGCGTCCTCGCCATCGCTCCCGAGGATGACGGTTCCGAGGCTTCCACGGAGTCGACTCCTGGGAATTCACACGCCCATTGACCAGCATACGTGCCGCCAGCAGTGTATGCAGTCAGTCCCCTCTGTTTACATTCAATGCCAATCGTCCATGCCATGGAAATGCTCGTATCGACCTCTGTGACGGTGCAAGCGCTGGGGCTTTGCCGCCTCTGCAGCTGCGTGAGCTAAGAGGTCCGGTTGGTATAGAGCAGTCGTGGTTCTGTGATGTGAGACCGCATTGCACGGAGCATTCGTACGCTCCGTGCTCCGTCACAGCGTCGTGTCACCACCAGTCCGGCTCCTTACCCTGGGATACCAGCAGCCTCTCCTATTTTCCAGTTCAATAAGTAATTTTTTTTTGCTTTTTTCTTGTTCATTCCGCCTCTCCTTTATTTCACGACTCTCGTCGCTCCATAACTCCGTGGCGCCGCTTGTAGCATCACAAATGTTGTTTGTACCCATTGTTAGCGTGCTGCCAAGCGAAGTACCCCGTACTAAGCGTTTAGGCCTGCACTCGACCTAAACCCATTGCAGCCCACACTGTGTCGTGCATGCTTGAAGCTCAGTATCGTCAGCGCAGGTTTGCGGTAAACTATACAGTGCGAATACTCTTGCCTCGCACCCCTGGCAAAATGTCTCCAGCGCCGGGCCCTATCAGCTTATCAGTGCCGCACTGCTGTGTCCCGCGCTAGGCCAATGCTGGGTCGAAGATTTTCCGAGCCATTCTAGTCATCAGTCGATATCACCATCAATTGCAAGCGGTGCGGGCAGCGTCCATTTGCGGTCAATGGGCTGCGGTTTGGAATCTTGGACATTTCTCTGAATCTCTTCCTCTTCACCCAACCATGCAGAAGCTGGCGAAGCGAGCGGCGCAGGCCCAGCGCCAGGCGACCCGCCGCACGAGGCTGCAGACGGAGCAGGAAAATATCGACGGCAAGCTTCGAAGTCGACTGGCGCTGCGATCGGCCGTGGAGGAAGTCCGACAGAACCTCAAGGACGCGAGGCAGGCCCGGAAAGAGGACTGGGAACTGGGACCCCTGGCCCCCAAGCGAGATCTGGGCTTCAATGACTACGGCGCCTTCAAGGAGAACGTGCGGCAGGACTGGTCAAACTACGGCCTGCACCAGCCAAACCCAAAGGTTGTTGAGCAGCGTTGCGCTTGGGCCGGAGGCGTCAAGCAGCTGAACCTTGCGCCTGGAGATCGAGTGGTGATTCAGGATGGACCGGACAAGGGAAAGATTGATCGCATCAGATCGGTTCAGCCCCAGGTTGGCACCGTGACCCTGGAGCACCGTCATCAGGTATGTTGTGCTTGGAGATTCTTTACGGCATTCATTTCACGCAATAATCCGTACTAATCATGCACTTGTGCGCAGGCTGTTGTCCAAGGTATGTTTGGCAACCCCAGTCGACCGCAGCCAATGCCGATATCCATCGGATCCGTCCGCCTGGTCTATCCCATTACGAACCCCGAGACGGGAGTCACCCGAGACGTCGTCATCAACCAGCTCAAGGCGGCGCCCCCGAACATGCAATCCCGCAACATGTCTCTCGACCGATGGCAGTACGGCAAGAAGTGGGATCGCGTGGTCCCCGGTCTCAACGTTGTGATCCCCTGGCCCCAAGTTGAAGTACCCGAGTTTGAAACCACGGCCGCAGACACCGGCCGAGAGCAGGTTGAGGACAGATCATTTTACTACGGCCTGTTGTCACCACCGATGCCAGAGCAGGTTGTGGACGAGCTGAGAAACAAATTCTCCAAATTCAGAACAAGACACGAGGCCTGGTATATCGAGAAGAAGGAGACGGAGGAGGCTTTGAAGAAGGGACGACGAGAGACTATCAAGGCCATGCAGACGCCATTGGATGAGTTCCACGAGAAGAACCGCGAGGTCCGCGCAGAGGCTGGAGAACCAGAGCTCTCAGAGGAGATGCTGGCCAAGATTGGCGAGTTCATGGCACAGAAGAAGTCGACGGCCCTGGAAAACGCTGGCGCGGCGGATGTGGAAGCAGCACCAGTTCCTCCACAGGACAATCCCAACGCGCCGTCACCAACTGCTTGATGATGAATAGGAAGGCGAAAAAGGAGGGATGAAGAAAAACCCACGCCAACGGGACGAGCACCAATTGGCCTGGCATGTGTAAATTATATAGACCTTGTGTGTACAAGCTGTACAGTAGTAGTACATTATGACGGAGCAAAAAACGAAGACATTGACCCATCAAATCACTCAACTCAATGTCATCTCTATGTGTAAGATGGACGGGAGACTATCGTCCTGCGTATCGCCGTCCTACCATTAGCAGATAAGCTCCAGACCAGACCAGAGTAAATTGATACTGTAATTGCCCTCAATCTCTTGGCTCCACTCACCCTCTATCTGATCAACCCCTCCCCCGCCTAAAAGCGCTGGCGAACTAACATGACGTTCTCTCGGCCTGTTATTTTATATCCAAAGCCTCGTTTCTTTTCACTCCTTTTCTCATCTCCTTTTCTCCCTTTCCTCTCTCTTCTTTTCTAGCAAATCACGACAGACGATAGCATCAAACACAACGTCATCGTTCCCAACATGTCGCATTCTCACGACGGTGGTGTCTCGCATTCCCACGGCGGCGTGTCGGCGCAAGAGCACGGCCACTCTCACGAGATTCTCGATGGTCCCGGCAGCTACATAGGGCGTGAGATGCCCATCGTCGAGGGCCGCACCTGGTCGGATCGCGCATTCACAATTGGAATCGGCGGGTAAGTGTCACAGTCATCCCCAGTCCTGGCTTCAGTAGATACTAACCTGAGAGACGTCTACAGCCCCGTCGGCTCAGGCAAGACAGCCCTGATGCTGGCGCTGTGTCTCGCCCTCCGAGAGAAGTACTCTCTGGCCGCCGTCACAAACGACATCTTCACCAGAGAAGATGCCGAATTCCTCACTCGCCACGCTGCTCTCCCGCCACAGCGCATCCGTGCCATTGAAACCGGTGGCTGCCCGCACGCCGCCGTCCGTGAGGATATCTCTGCCAACCTTGCCGCCCTGGAGGATCTCCACGCCGAGTTCGATTCGGACCTGTTGCTCATCGAGTCGGGTGGCGACAACCTGGCCGCCAACTACAGCCGCGAGCTGGCCGACTTCATCATCTATGTCATTGACGTGAGTGGCGGCGACAAGGTGCCCCGGAAAGGAGGCCCTGGCATCACGCAGAGCGATTTGCTGGTGGTGAACAAGACGGATTTGGCGGAGGCTGTGGGTGCTGACCTGGGCGTTATGGAGAGGGATGCGAGAAAGATGCGGGAGGGAGGACCTACGGTGTTTGCGCAGGTGAAGAAGGATGTGGGCGTGGATCACATTGTGAATCTCATTTTGAGCGCGTGGAAGGCGAGTGGCGCCGAGGAGGAGAGGAGGAGTCGTGGAGGACCGAGGCCGACGGAGGGTATCGAGGGGTTGAAGAAGGAGGCGTAGGATGCGTGACGATATCAAGCAGTAGCAAAAGAAATTGTCCAACTTTGCGAACAGACATCACAGTCGCAGCTGTTTGCGATTGTTGATCTTGACCATCACTGCTGGCACTGTTTGTGTATCATGCTAACATTGTATGCCTGTGGGCAGCTGTTGCCAACCGGCGCCGAAAACATAGCAAACCTGCTCCATGATTGACTCTGTTTTAACTCTACCTTTCGCCAGCTGAACGGCAGATCACTTCACCGCCAAGGGTCTCTCCAACTCGAGATAAAAGAGCTGTTTCATCCTCGCTTTACACTCTCCTCAAACATTCTCCACCGCCCTCATCCACTCAACCAAAACACTCGACAGTCATCCAGAACAATCAACCAAGGTAATCATCCATCTATATCCAACCAAGGCTCTTCATCAAGCTCACATGATCGTGTATAGGATCAGCATCATCCCAGTCTCCCGATCTTGACGCCTCCCATCAGCTACGCAAGATGCAGTCGCGGGCTCAGTTCATGGACTTGCCTTCCGAGGTCAGGATTATAATTTGGAAGTATGCTTTACGGCCACTAGCCTATAATTTCCCGGCGGTGCACTTCTTTTCCCTGGTCAACAATAGAGAGGATGGCAACGGGGCGGCAAACATTAGCACTCTATGCGAAGGTGCTAGCAACCAACATTGTTCCGGCTATCACCTTGCAGCACCCAAGTTGAATTCTGACGATGGCAGCCATTCCTGGACAAAAAACAACCCATCCGCGTATCTCTGGGATTTCGGTTTGTGGGGGGCATGCAAAGAGTCCAGACAAGTTATCGAGGCACATTACGAGCAGGTTGACTGGACTGGGTATTGGAGACGCTGCTATCACAGAGCTCCCACCTATAGCCAAACCTCCGTTTCGCTCATTGCGCCAGGAAATAACGAGAAGTTGCGCTTCCTTCTTCATCCAAAGCGAGACCTGGTGTGTCTTCAGGCATTCGATCCAAGCACTATCCGCTGGTGGGACAATCATGATACAAAGGACATTTGCGTGGCTAGTAATGCTCCGGCCAGTTTTTATGCCCCCAAAATATTCAACTTTGGCAATATTGCGATAGCCTATGACCCATGTTGGAATGATATCGGTGCGAAAATCGAGAGTGGCAACTTTTGTCAACTTCTTACAGAGCAAAGCGCTCGAGGCTTCTTTATACGCACCCTCGCCATCGTCGACGACTATGCTCGCTGCTATGGAGGTAATCGCGGCCCAAACTTTTGGCTCATCGATAACAACCTACAGCGAGTCCACCCATTCAAGAAGAACAGAAGGCACAAAAATATATTCTACGGCAATGGTCAGAATTTTGTCGAGGTTCAAAAGTCGACTAGACGCAGCTTGTCGTCTGGTAAACACAGTTCGGCGCTCGACTTTCTGGATACTCTTGCCATGCTACTTAATGGCGACAGACCTAGCCACTATATTCATCACAAAAGTGGCGCGGAGAAGTGTTATATGTGCGAGGGTTCAAATCGATATCTCACATATTACCAGATCCGTCGTCAAGTTCGTGTTTTGATGCGCAAGGAGAGCACATGAGAATTTGAGGTCGAGATAAAGATGATCTCGGGATAATACGATCTCGTTTTGAAAGGGGAATCAGAAAAGGAATTGCGCGAATGGGATTTGCTTTGCATATATCTTGGGAATTTACACTGGGCTGCTCGCCGCACGCGTCTGCTCAATAGCTCTTTCGTTGTGCTCAAAGGAGTCCCGCGTTCTTTTCTAGCTTAGGCCAAAAGGGCTTACTTGCTCAAAGATAAGAACATTCTTCAGATCTAGAGAAATACTTGCAGCTTCTATCGATTATTGTTCTATTATTATGTGAAATGTAGTCGTAGTAGCCTGGGGGAGTTGCTAAAAGACGCATACACTCACCACCCGGAAGCTTCGCATACTAAACCTGAAGATGGCACTCAAAGGCACCTTAGATAACCCCCATCATTCTTATGTTGTGTTGGATGAATAGATTTTGTGTCCGAACGGCTGAGTCTTGGCGCCGACCGTCCAATCTCCTCTGCATCTATAGAAAAGACAATCCATTAGTTGGTCTCCATAACTCAAAATTAGAGAACACTCTATGCTGATAAGTTAAGATGCGAGTTGCACGTAGCCTCTCCCGTCTTTCAACAATCTTGTAAACTGTCATATGTAATGTCTAATACCCTCTACGTTTCCGAAAACACATTTTGCGAAATCGTCATGCATGTTCTATTCTAAATACAGTATATCTAATGGTTGTATATACGCATGTGTAATATGTACAGAGGTCAAGTCGGCCTTAGCTTTCTTTGTCTTAGAAGAAGAACCCCGGACAGGATGTAAGTCCATCCATCATATTGAACTCTCGCTCCACGGTATGTGTACCGTTGGAGGCAATCAAGTCATACGTTCGGATGTAATTGCCAGCTTGGTTGTTAGGGAAGTCTTGAGGAATGACTCCCGTGACAATGGAGGCATTGTAGAGAGTGTATCCTGATCCACTGATGGGTCCGGCCTTGACAAAGTCGAGGGGAATAGACCCAACGGCAGGAGTAAGAGATAATAGGGGTTCTGGGACATGCACAATGGCCTTTAGTGTGTTGAGATAAGAGTCATCGCGGATCTATTCCATGGTGTTAGAAGTTATTCCCAAACGTCGGATTAAAGTGTATGAGCTTACAGCAACAGTCAGATTCATTAATCCCTCAGAGTGTGTCTCTGTGCACGAGAGCTGAGGTTGCGTGAGAAGAGTGTCATCGAAAGGGAATCCATGGCCACCATTCGTGTGAAGAGTGCTGTTAGTCACTCCGTTGATGTTGTCGATGACCTCGACGTCAAATCCGGAAATGCCCTGAGCTAGAGGCACCTCAACCGTGAAGGGATACGTCCAGAAGGTAAGCGGGGGGTTTCCGTACATGACGTGGCCGGAAGCGAAGGCTACGATGTTGTTGCTAACAGTGCAAGGCTTAGCCGGCGTGCAAGTCACTCCGGCACGAGGGTGAATGTGAAGCTTGATGGAGCGGTTGGGGTTGGCGGCGACATCACCGATGAGCTATGGTGAATTCGGTTAGTCAATCTTAATTCTATGCATCATCTGTGGAGGCAAAAGAACAAACTCGGATGTAGCCAGTCAGGGTCATCGTTCCGTTAGAGTTGACGGTAGCAAACAGACGCGATGGCTTCACAGGATAAGGCTGGAGAGGCTGGGTAAGAATCACACCCTTGGGGACTGTGTTGATCATTCGCTCGAGTAGATCTTGGCACGTCTTGTAAAAGTAAGCGGGAGAAGTTGCCATGCGCCCAATTTCGATGCCTCCATCTGAAGCAAAGATTCTCGCGTCAGATCTGGTGGTCTCGTTGTGGCCAAATGCAAGCGGGTTCTGTGTGACGTTGTTCACGTATTGAACAGCACTATTTCATGTTAGTTGGCACTATTATTCAAGCAAGTGCTGATATCTTACACGGTGTTGTCAAAGGCAGTGAATCCTGAGTTAGTCGTGTCGAATGTCTGTGTGTTGTCATCCGTGGCCTGCGCGTAACTGTTAGCCCATCTTCAATTCAGAGTAGGCGGTCCCAGTCTTATAGCCATGTTGATGTGACCAAAAGAGCATCTTACCGGATCCTTTACGACGTCTACAATCTCCGGAAAGTCCACGCCGTGAACTCCTCCAAGGGTATGACCGCATGCAACCAGTCCGATCATTTCTTGTGGAGTAAACCCCTGCTTCTGGAAGCTGGTAACGTGTTCATCCAAGGGCTGCTCCGGCCTGGGCACGCCTGTCGGGCCTGGGCCAGTGGCATCGACTCTGCCAGCTCTGAAGGGAATCTCGACGCTTCCATTTGAGCAGCCATTTGCAGCAAACAGTGCTCCCAGAGCAATAAGATCCGCCATCGACGACCGCGGTGTCAAAAAGGCAACCAAATTCATCAAAGTCTCGTTGAAACCAATACCCGGGTTCTCGTCACGGTTGACTTCGTAGCCGATCGATGCGTCGATTCCTCCTATTCCATTCTCAACATCCGCAGTTGCCATGTCGTGATACGCAGTTCGCAGCCATTCTGCGGCGCCGTTGCGGCCGGTGCCAAAGGTAACCTTTTCGCAGGGGACAATAAAGGTCGCAGGAGAGTGGCCGGAGTTGAAGCCCTGTTGCTCATAGAGCATAGTCTCTAGCAGATCGGTTTTGGCTGGCCATATTTGTTCCTGCTCGGCATAAGCTGAGCCAGCTACCAAGCCGAGTCTGGCGACGGTAGAGAGAAAACGGGTTGACAACACCATGGCGACGGTTCAGAAGCGTGTTACACCTATGGAGGTTCGTGAGATAGCAGCTTGTCGCCCCTGTTAGGGAGGTTTCAACAAGACAGAAGCATCTTATATAGAATCCACCTGTCGCATATGGTACGACACCGGAACTGAGAGCAACGTTGTGCCCATGTTCTTGGCCAAAGCCCGCCCCTGGTTCCTGAAGGGATTCATTCCCAAATTTTGGTCACCTTCCTCTTAAGTCGTCCTGGGATGGCATTGAAGGAGAGAAACCCTGAATCAAGGACGTAATACAGAGCGCAAAGGAAGTCTCCCGTCGTCGCAAAATTGGCATTCGCCTGTGAATAATTCCGCAAACGCCATTGGGTGCCTCGCGCAGCGGTCAGCCCGTAGCGCTGGCAATCATGCAAGGGCGAATACGACCTGCCTAGAAGGCAAGATCTATAGTTCAAATGAGGACAAGGTAAGTGCGTGTCATAAACAAGGGACTGCTGTAAGCCAGGATCACTATGATCTGAAAAACTTAGAGTTGGGTGAGATTTTAGCATACGGGGCTCTTGAAAGACTTATAGCGGTTCGACGATCCACCACTGCCTTGTGAAACCTCGCCCGGCTTCCAGATGCATCGAACCATATTTACTTGGACATCGAGAAGTCAGCGTCTGGCTAGCCTTTACTGGCATGTGAGTGAAGCTGACACTTGGGGATCCCGTCTGTCCGTACGAGTATTCCCGAGTAAAATCGGTCGTACAAATAACCAGTTGCTATCTACGGCATAGGAATGGCATGGCGTACGTAAGATGAGAGTATTGCACCTGAATACGCTTTGCGTGTTCGTCACAACTTTCACAATCTCATTCTGCCCAAATGGACCTCCGGCAATGAGCCTTGTGCGGCATTTCAGCTTTTATTTGCTCAATACTTAACTACATAATGATGGAACAGGACGTGCGTATCAAAGAAGAAGCGCGGTATAAGCCCGACGTACGAGATGCATACATATACGATAAATAACGGATGACGTCTTTTGTTACATGCGCGTTCGTATGCGTATCTTGAATGAGACTTCGCATCGACATCTTATAATTGAGGCCATATCGATTTGCAACGTGGCAGATACTCTGATCTGTGGAGAAAGAGACGCCGTCAGCGACGCTCGCCACAGCACTTGAGATTATGGCGATAGGCGATAACATAATTATAGGTTACCAAAACCATGGATACTTCAAGCTCTCAAGAACTTTCAGGCTTATTACCCAACGGGAAGATCTGGTGGCGCACATAAACTCTACACGCTCATATGGATGGGGAGTAGATCTCGCACTAAAACGCCCCCTAGTATTTGGGTTTGTGCTTGAAGCGAACCTGGAACTCAGAGTGTAAACTTTAAGGCACTCGTTTCCCCCCCCAAAAAAAAAATCAACAGACCTGGAAAACAAACAGTTCTCCCATTTTCATCAACATCAGAACTGCTCTACTGTTTCATAAACAAACTCGTTTCTATAACCCAACAACCGGACTCATCGATCGCTGACAAGATGGAGATAGAAGAGCTCACTACCTCAAGCGCCCTCACGCAGCTCGAAAGAATAGGCCAAGGCCGCTGCGGAACTGTTTGGGCAGCTCGTTGTTCAACTTGTGACGACCATAGCCATCTGGCTATGAAGCGAGGGGATGGAAGCACAACCAGATCGGTGTCGTACGAATATCAGGTTCATCAGAAAGTCGCGACAGCTTTCAAAGGATCAAACTTTTCATCGTTTGCTATTCCTCGATCCGTTGGGTTTCTGGATGCTCAAGACAATGCAGCTTGGTCCGACGTGTTACCACGACTTCCTTCTGACTACACGGCATGTAATGCTATTATTAGCGAAAAGATTATCCCGGTCAACGCATCCGCTCGGAGACTCCTTGTACAGAAGTTTCGACCCGACGTGAACGTGGAAGAGGTAATGAGAAGCCAGAACAACGAACACTGCCTTATTCGACCTTATCTCGGCCGCCGGCGATACCACCAGAGTGAGACTGAGGCAAGCACAGGAGGATCAAGACGACCCTTACGAGCACTTAGCCTGCGGAACTACCCGCTTCATCTGGATCAGATGGAGCAGCTTGGCATTGATCCGAGTGGCTATGCGATGGCCATGGCAGACGCTTTGGCATTCCTACACTGGGTTGCTAAAGTCGATGGCAATGATGTTGAATATGTACTCGCTCAACCTCGACACCAATCAGATATATCGTCTTCCACCAGTCCCGGAGACATATACTCCGATAATACTGCGAGTTTAGGTCCTCATATGATGTGGATTCTGGATTTTGACCTGTGCCGAGATATATCATTCGACGAGGAGGGCGTTAAGAAGGCTCATAAGGCTTTTTGGGGCAACGATCCCTTTTTCCCCCGGCCCGGAAGAGACAATCCAGCGGATCAGAGGCTTTGGACCATATTTCAAGATCGATACATTGAGTCCAGCGCCGCAGTATTGCATCAAGAGCCGGATTGCATCAAGAGACTCCCCTTTCTATTAATTGAGCAGCTCAAACGACCTAAGACCGTCTCAAGTTCTTGATTGAAAGCTTTGAAGTTGATAACCACTTGAAGCATAGGGAACAGATTTTGACCTGTACATAACAAAAGCTCGACAACAGCTAGTTTGAGCATCTTGGGAGGGTGGACACAGGAGTTATAGCAGAGTGGCATCATCCAAGGCGCAAAGCAGCGATGGGAAAGGCTTGAGGGATCTTGGCGGGAATAGAGGGGAGGGGAACAGTGCTGTATATATGACCCTTCTACATCCATCGTTATCGGGAAGATAGTTTACAAGAAGTTTTCGACCTCACTGATGCTGCTAGGCCGTTAGAATTCAACTGTGTCGCTATTGTGCGTCTAATGGGTATCGAAATCTTTCTCAGGTTAATAGTCTACTATAGGAAGCCTTCGGTCTTCGTCGAATCTTCATTGAGCTAAGAAATTGGGTCAGTAAATGCTACAACTTCAAGACCCCAGAAGAGAAAAACTCACATCTTCTCACATAAACGCCGTTGTTTGTTGTGAAACCTTAGCAATAGCGGGCTATTAATACCCAAAGATGCGTCGTCGTCCAGTTCATCATCGATGATCATATGACTAAAAGCGCGATAGTGAACGGCATCCGCCCCTCTCCAACCATAGTTGATATCCCACTGTTCCTGAAAGAGGACATCCTGCATTTGTGTCTTGAAATCGAGCTCGCGATATACTTGTCGGAATATTCGTGCGCTGATTTCATCCCCCATATTGAACGCGTCTCGGACCTCGCAGAAGTATGATATCCAGGAGTCCCCAAGTCCCCAAGAGGAGACGCCATAGCCTGGGCATAGCTCCGACAATCCAAATTTCAGTGCCTGATAAAAGGCATATTCAACACTCCTCTTGTAGTCTGGATTCAACTTTTTGCGACTCCGCTCATCGAGTAGACCGATGAACCCATATAAACGGTCCCGTATGTCTGTGCATTGCAAGCGGCCGAATTTGCGCATGATGCTGTGGAGCTCATCTGGAACTCGAGACTGATATGTTTCAAAATTCATTGAAGGCTTTTGAAGATCAGAGACCATGTCTTCCAGAGTGCCAATAGCACATCCTTCCGGGGTAGTGTCTTTTGCCATCCGGGGAACGAGTCTCATCCTGTGCGCAAGAATGGCCTCTGAGGGGCAGCGTAGTCGGCTTGTATCGCTTCTCAAAACACTCAGCCTTCCATCTGCAGCAAATTTCGTTTGAACAAATTCTCTCACTTGTGGTGTTCTGCCAAAGAGCGTGGGCGAGAATGTAAAGGGCCCGCACCATATGGTCAAGTGAGAAGCCAGCAAAACTTCCTGTACAACCCAGACGCGGGTCCAATACGGCGCATAGCTGAGATACTTGAGCGCTTTCCATTCTCTTTCTGACCATCTTGCGCACGACACTTCTGATGCTTGGCTCAGAGTTCGACAACCCTCGTCATACTCTTGTGGTAATATTCCAAGCCAGGAAATGACGCATGTTGCGCGGCTGTAGATCAAAGCCATTGCTTGAACTTGCGCTTGCCGCTCGTCATAATCGAGCTGGTTTATGCACACGGCGTCGACAAAGAAAAGTCCGCATTCTCCCCTGGCTGTTGCTGAAGCAAGAAAGTCGAAGAGGTTCTGTCGTACAAAGAACTCCTGATTGTCGACTCGTATTGACCGGAGATCACCTGCTGAGGTCGCTTTACCCCATGTATAAGATAGAGCTCTATAAGAGGTAGAGGACAAATCTTCTAGGGATACCACAACTAAATCGTATTGCCAACTCTGATCCCCGGGGTTTCGTGATATCTGCAGTAAGCGAATTTCTGTTGCGCTTTTTATAGTGGGATGTCGAAATTCTGATTTGCGATTCAAGTTATTGTCGATGCTATCTTCCATGCTCGTTGCTGCTTCTTCGTGGCTATTCATAACACAGCGTTTATACCTTTAATGCACGAGTAATGATGCCTATAAATTGGCTGCCTTTTCTTCAATCGATACAAATCTCGTCCGCGATACTAGGCTGCAACCGAATATGATTGGGTTGTCTGACAAGTGTGCCTTACGGCTTACTTTCTGCCCAACCAAGTCTTTTGGAGGCCTGCTTCTATGATGGGCATCATGTGCAGTTCGGCGGAGCCGATGGCAGACTTTTATTGGCTTATTGCCGCCGGCGATGTATCCCACCGAGCAGGAATAATTGTTTCTAATGGGGTAGTGAAGATCTAGCACAGCCTTGACAGCTTTTAGTGTTGAACAGCCACAAGAGCAACTGTTAATACGTCTCGTTCGACGTTTGGAAGATGAAAGATTTTGTAATTGTTTGCTTTTCGAGAAATCTACCTGTAAAAATTGCCTGATGACTCGCTTGTCAATTGGGATCTCTGTCACCGCTTCACAGCGATGCTCAACGTTGACCCTCCATTCCTCCGGATAGTTAGCAATACCAATACAATTTATAACATCGGCAGTATGTTCATAGAAACATGTTGATTATTTTACATTTAGTAGGCATAAGATCACTTGCTTAAGTAAGCGTGTGCATAAAATAAAGAGCAACATCTTGCTGCTCAACTGCATCCATTCCATTGTCCGACTGGCCCAAAGCAAACACCGGTTTTCAGATGCGATTACCCTCTCAAACGAGTTTGCTGTTGACAAAGGAGAGGGCTTGCTGCCCGTACTCCTGACCATAACCTTGGTGAGTGTTTGCGTTGTTTCCGTTGCAGCAGTAGGGGTCTGAAGCATCGCAGTACGACTTGATCTTTGATCCGCTGGGGCAGACGAAGCCAGAAGGGCGGGCAGCAAACTAATACACGACACATTAGAAACAACACTCTGTAAGAAATGGACCTTTGGAAGGAGATCGAATACTTACGCCCTGGGCTGCGCAAGATCCAACATTGTACGCCAGTCCGCGGACATAGCGAGGGTCGCCCATGAAGATTGCGGCCCGGATAGCACTGACTGCTCCCGCAGAGAGAGGGACAGCAGTGTTTGGGTAGCCATTTCCAGGATCGCCTCCTCCACACAGCGCATCATCCATGATTTGGCCGCCCTGTGCGATATGTCAGTACATGCGCGTTATTCCATCAATACACTCAAGGGACACAGACCTGGGAGTATCCAACTAACACAAGCTTTGTGTTGGGGCATTGGTTGTGATAGTTGTTCACAGCCTGGACAACAGCATTGATACCAGCCACCACAGAGTTAGCATAGCTAATACCACCGCATTGGCTCTGACCACCGCAGGCTGGGTAGTTGATGGCCTCGGCTGTCGTGCCGGGGTGAGAGTTGACAATGAGATTCACAACAGTACCAGAAGAGCCATATCCTGGTGGTGCTGTGGTTTCACGGGCGCCAAAAACGTGGATTCCGGGGCATTGACGCTTCTCCAACTCCACTGGGCTGGCCGTGGCAAGAAGAGCCTGGCTCAGCAAGAAAGTAATGGTGCTCTTGACTGATGGCATTTTGCTTTGATGAGAAAATATTTATGGGTATAAGTCAATTGGGTGAGTTGAACGAATGGTAAGATGCTGGTTATTCCAGGGCATGACTTGGCCTGGAGATCAAGAGATTATATAGAAAATGGTACTTGTATAGAGAAATTTAATGATGTCGATGATTGAATCTATTCACAACGTATAGGTGTTTGTCTTCACCAGCGCTTATTCCACTTCCATGCCAAAGCCCCAATTTGTTCTAGTCACCGTTGTATTCCTTTCCCCCAGCCAGCCATCCAGATGATGCTGAGCTTTAGGCTAAATCAGTTCCGTTGCAGCCATGAACACCGATTGGATGCTCTATTATTATGCATTGGCCAGCGAAACGTGTCTGGCATTCTCATCACCGCCCATGGAGTAATGTGTTAACAGAGATCGTCAGTTAGCTTGTCATCGTGTTTACCAAGATACTAAGAAATATCATCAATTGCCCTGCCCAAACCCTTTGGACCGAGGAGCCGACAACCTGCAGGTGCCTCAATTACGCGGCTTCATGGTCAAGGTCAGTCTCCTCTTTTGCCGGGCTCATCCGCATTTTCGCGGGTCATTATACAAATCCAATCTTCTGCATGGGAAATGCCTGTTACTTATTACGATCACCGGGTAAGTTGCCTAGCAATACGAACCAGGTTTTGACTTTGTCCCAAATACTCCGTAGCCACATTTGAATGCCGTAGTCATAATCCTAGGCTGCTACTGTTATAAACCGCCAGATTTTGAGGTTGAACGGAAATATCGTTCTTCACTCGCAACAACTCAAAAACCACTTTCTCGTGAGTTTAGACGCCCTTTAGCTATGGCTCTTTCTTAGAAATTGGCCACATGAGGGAGATCAACGTTAATTAAGTGTCCATTTGCCAAGATTTCTTATATTAATATGTTAACTTTAAAATAACCCTATGTGCCGGTTAATCTGCATCCGACATTCTAGCCTCCTCTTCCCATCTCTCCACATTCTCTAATTGCAGGCTATCTCATGCAATTGTTACTAAATAGACCGAGAAACGGAGGGCTGAAAGGCGCTTCAACCCCACACTGGGGTCAGATGCTTATTATGAAAGAGGTTGCAAAGAGACACCATGATGCAACCTTTCGGCAGATTTTTCAACGTGGGAGAATTGGATCTTGGATATCTGATTGGTAGGTTAATTGTATTAACTTAGCCGGACGCACCCCAGATCTGCAAGGTCAGTCGCGACCACCCGAAGCCCGACTTAAGGTTTGAATGCCTGGATATTAGAGCGTGGATGTGAATCCTGCTTGATCCCCTGTAGATGACTCGGCATGAAGGTGATTATTAACTTGGACTGCAGATGCAATTGAACCGGCTTTCATGAAGTTTAGGCAATATTCTTACATCTTTCATTCACAGAACATGAAGAGCCGAGGCCCGCACAACTTCGCTGAGCGGTGACACGACATTTCCCAGAGGCAGCTTCAACTAAAGAACAAATCGTGGGTGTTTGTGAAAATAATTCTTCGAATTCGCCATGGTCTTAATGAACCAATAATAAAATAAGATCACATCAGATCTCCGCCGCTCAACTGATCCATGACGTTACAGAGCACCGTGAGTGTTTTTCAGTCCGTATTGGAGTACCTATTCCAGTCACCACCAAAGCCATCATTTACGTGACTTTCAGATTTGCCCCAAAACATTGCTCTTATATCACGAAAGATTGATGCCCGCCTTGGCTCGCTGGAGGATCGGACTGTATCAGCGTCTGAGTCTGCGTCTGAATCGGAATCGAGATGAATGCCTTGATTAGTATATTTTCATCTCCCTCAGGCTCGGGTTTGCCGGAACGGATAAACTTACTTGGGAAAGAAGTTTGAGAGCTTATGAAACCAGATTGAGAGAAAAGAGAGGGCTCTGGATCGTCCATGTCAGGTATACTTGCTTCATCCACTGGAATCTCAAGCGTCGACCCATGTATTGAAGGACCCTCCCAAATTTCTTCGTCATCGCTTTCGGAATCACCCTGGGGTAAAGGCGATCTTATTGGAGAACAGAGCTGCCTTGGGAAACCACTAATCGGCGGTGGAAGCGTTGACGCTGACGAGAATACATCATTGGCGCTGTAACGGTATGTATACGGCCGCAGGCATAGCGCAGTATTTGTTTCGATGAAAACATCAGCAACATTGAAGGCAATATAAACTGGTTTATATACGCCGTGTTGCTGCATCCGTTCAATAGCTCCATCTGGAAACTGAATGTTTCGGTCTGTTCGGCGTGTTTGGGATCCTGACTCGAGATTCTGTTGCAATAAAAAGAATGGTTCAAAATTGCCGTGGATAAACTTCTGCAAAATTTGTCCAAGGCTTTTGAGATCGTTGCTTCCATTACTGAAACGGCAACGAATATATTCTATCTATAGTTAGCGTGTTGATTTATCGCTTGTTGACAATGGCGAACTGGTGTACGGAACGTGAAAGAGCGATTGACGTGCGAGACATAGAAGGGGTATCCGTTGATGCGATTGTATCAAACAACTGCAGAGTTCTTCTTACCGCTACACTGGTAGCCTCCATGTTGTCTGAAGGCTTAATCTCGTATGTGTCAAAATAAAAACTCGTCGCCACTAGTTTATCTGCAACTTTGAGGATCTCGAGATTGCCTTCAAGGTCAACCTGAGCCCACTGTTCGACGTCCTCTAATGCGCCTATGTCATCCATCTTAGGTCTTTTATCAGGGAATTTGACCTTGATGCGAATATTTCGGCTTGTGATTGCCCTTTCCCTTGCAGCTTGCCTTGGACTTGATTTGGCGCAATACCGTCTCCAGATTTTTTCAGCATCCAACTGGCCGTCGATCAACGCAGCGGCAGTTCGCCACATATTGCTAAGGCCATGAACTGCAGGTTGATATGTCTCTGCGGGAAGCTCTGCAGCGAGACCAGTTCCCAAGGATAAAATGATGTCGGCAGGCCATTGGCTGACTTCGTCCCAAAGGAGTCGCCTTTCTTGATCAGCCACCCAAACTGGGCAATTGTGATGAACGGCACCGTCAATATATGTTTCCTTCGAACCAGCATGGAAAAAGGGGTTGAAGTACGGTGGTGCAGCAAAAGTAGCTCTGGCAGCTTCCCATATTTTGAGTTCCTTGTCAGGATCATGTGGTCTCACGAAGTCATACAATACTGTATCATCGAAAGAGGTTCAACTCAGGCGCGCTTGTTATAAACTTGCTCTCTCACCTTGGGATACAACAGCGAATATTGAGCTAGATTTTAATGAGCACTTCAGAGATAACACGAATATGAATCTCATCTTTAAGTGCACATGGTAGCCTAAAGAACTCACAATTACCTAGGTAGGTGGATGTCACTTGTTGAATGATCTTCGCTTCACACATTTCGTCATTTGACTGGAAATGGCTCGGGCCGATGAAGAGATTATAAGTGTAAATATTTTGTCTAGCCAATCAACAGGACCCATGGCGCAACGGTAGCGCGTCAGATTCCAGCTCGGAATCTCCTGAAGGTTATCCGTTCGAATCGGGTTGGGTTCAATACCCTTCAACTTCTTTTTTTTTGCTTCTGTTGTCATATGTCTGAAGTGTTTCAGTTCTTTACAGAACATTGAACAAGTGAGATTTTTTGTCCTAGCATAGTATCTTTCTCTCGTCTCTCTATGGTCAGATATTTGTCACTACCATCACCATTCTATTGGGGCTGGCGCTATTTACTCTCATTATACCGTCAGTCGGTCCAAGTAACGAATGAATGGGCGCCCAGAACGAAAACGTTGCAATCTAATGGGAACACTTAAATTATGAGTAGAAAACCCGTCATTTTCTGGCTTGTTTTAAACTATTCTACCAATTTGCTCCGTCATAATATGGCTTTTTGCCCGAGTCTTAGGCTTTGGAGTTTAGGATGAAAGTGTGAGTACGAAACTCGCCCCCAAGGCACAAAATCTCAGTCAAACATAACGCCGTTCCTCAGCGTCCCAATACCAGAAATGTTTACTTCCATTCGAGTTCCTGGTTGCAGCCACTTAGGCGGGTTGAAGCCTGCTCCCACTCCTAGTTGAGAACCGAAAGTTAGCTGACACTCGAAAGTTGTTGCCCTGATCACATAAGACTCACCACCAGGCGTTCCAGTCATGATAACGCTTCCGGCCTCAAGTGTTGTTCCTTGACTTAGATAGCTTACAAGCTCAGCGCAGTCAAATAAAAGGTCAGAGACTCCCTCATCTTGGCGGACTTCTCCGTCGACAATTGTCTTTAATTGAAGCTTTGATGGATCGCCGACCAGCTCGGAAGCCACCAAACAAGGACCTAACGGAGCATAGGTATCGAATCCTTTGCTGAATCCCCACTGAGGTACGGGCCCTGCTAGAGTTTTGTCTCGCTGCAGCTTGCGTGACGAAATATCGTTGCCGCAAGTATACGCTGCGATGTAAGAAAGTGCATCTTCTCGAGAGACGTTCTTGGCTGGCTTTCCAATTACAAAACAAAGCTCGCCTTCGTAATCTGCCTGCTCATCTTGCGCAATCTTTGGAATATGGACGAGCTCATCATGACCGATGACACAGGTTGATGGCTTGAAGAAAATGAAAGGATATGGTGGAACTGTTCTGTTGGCTTCTCTAACTGTAAAATAGTCAGCTTCTGGATATGGAAATACACAACATGTTCACTGACTGTGCTTGGCATAATTGAGCCCTACACATCTCAGTATAGGCACTTCATTTTGTGCAAGCGGTCCGAGTAGTTTCTTGACTGTGACAACTTCTTCAGTCACTTTTGTCTCGCCTGTGGTATCGTATATGTCTTGCCCGACAATAATCTTGGCCTTTAGTTTCGTTTCCTCTGTGGTAGAACCAATGTCAAAATTTGGTGATGGGAGGATGGGCTCTCCACGAAGTATCCGACCATCGGTGGCCACGAAGCGAATAAGACGCTGCCAAACAACTTTCATGTTCACGATTTCAGATGTAAGCATACAATATTGATCACCTCAAACTATACGATGACGGATACTAATATAAATCATTGTTCCTCTCATGAACCACCAACACTAACCATCCGGGGATCTAGGGACGATATCCGAATGGGTTCGATCAGTGTAAGCCACATTCCGGGGATGTTTCGGACGCATCTCCGGCGGGGCACAAGAGTCAGTTAAGATAGGCTCTCGGGTTTATTTGCCTTCACACGGCTTTAGAGTATGATGTGACGCTGCTGTTGAGATGTAATCTTGCATAAGGTGCTTAGTCCCGAGCACCAATCGTTTGGCTAGTCGAAGCCGTCATAAGATCTTTCTCTGGCAGCTTTAATCCACATCAAACACTTATAAGCTTCTCTCGAATCGCACAACTTCATAAATTATTTGTTTGAACCATCTTAGCTGTACTAATACTTGCAAATCTCTCCAAAGTAGCATTCTTTGCTAGTTTTATCCGACCTGTCACCATGACTGTCAAGCGGAAGTTGCCTTCTCCGTCAGCGACAGTTGAAGTTTCTGCGCTTCCCACTGGCAAACTCTACTTACCCGATCGGTGGCTATTCGAAGATGGCGACAATAATATACGGAAAGCAAGACAATTCTCTCCCGATTTTAGCTTCCTCATCAGCCATCCATCTGGCGAGCACATTCTCTTCGATCTTGGATTAAGAAAAGTGTGTATCAATTCGCCTTTTCATAAAACAGTGTTGCCGTACTGATAGCTCCATGTTAGGAACTGGAAAACAATCCGGATGTCATCCGGGCTGACTATCCTTGTATTGCACCAGTCGTACCGAAAGATGCCACCGACCTTTTGGATGAGGGCCCTGTAAAATCTTCAGAGATCTCAACTGTTGTGTTTTCACACCTTCACTTTGACCACACTGGAGATCCAGCCAAGTTTTCTCATGCGACTTTCGTAACCGGCCCAGGATCTTCTGCGGCAACCACTCCGGGATATCCCAGAGCAGCCAAATCGCCATTTTTATCTGTCGTCATTGAACACTCAAAGTATCGAGAGCTTTCATTTGAGACAGATCCGTGGGTTCCGATCGGGCCCTTTGAGCGCGCATACGATTATTTTTCCGATGGTTCGTTCTACCTTCTTGACACACCTGGCCATATGCCTGGCCATTTAGGTGCATTGGCACACACAGATACGGATGAATGGGTGTTTTTGGGAGGTGATTGTTGCCATCATCGCGCATTGCTAGTAGGAGCGCGACCCGTCAGTACCACCGTTGGTCCAAATGGGACACCAAGCTTTCATAAAGATCCCCTAACGGCTATCTCTACTATTGAGAAAGTAAATATATTGCAGAGCGGAGGGGATGTAATGGCAGCATTGGCTCATGATGCTATCTTGGAAGGACTGATGCCTCTATATCCGGAGAAGCTCAATGGATGGAAAGGAGCTCAGTGGAAACAGGATATAGATGACATAGTCGAGCAGATGTACCCTTATCAGTAGGCCGAGACTAAACCAGATCGTATTCCAACAAATCAGGTTGACACAATTTAGAAACAATCGGAGAGAAACAATCAGAGATTCCTTTCCGAATCCGCGTGTTTAATATAGGGTGATTTTCTTCATCGGAGAACATCCTAGACAAGATAGATGATGTAAGAGCATAACTAGGAAGAGTGTGGCGCTGTTATGGCCTCCGAACTTGGTTGGCGGGTGCTGCTGGTTTAATCGGCCTCTGTAGTGCCGAGCTGATAAAAGGCATGTCGTACATGTTTTTTTTTGTATTGGTGTGTATACCTAGTACTGATAGATGCGGAGTTCAAAAGCTACATGTATGGAGTATTTTAGTCAAAGTATTTATCTGTATCTATTTTCCTTGCGTACCTATTATGTTAAGCTCCTCCTATTCTTAGGCTGATGATTGCGGAGATTCGCCGACCCTAACTCCGGACTTCTGTAGGGGCGATTCCTGACCAGCCGGTGTAATTTACACTCTCGATCCCCAACATGAACAATCTGAAGCAAATGGCAGGAACCAAATTCTATTTCGTCGATGGCGCTCAAACCAACAGAGCTGCCAAGAAGCTGGCACGGAGCCATGTTATGAAGGGCAAGAATGCTGGCAAGAAATTCCACCGGCGATCAAGGCTGCAACTTGCACCGCCGAGGGTCAATGCAGGTGAACGAGCAGTCATCTTGCGGCGGGATCTAGACAAGTCACAAAAAGAGTTTCATTACAGCGATGAAGAATACGCCGAGCTTATGGCCATCATGGAATATCCTCGCAATGCGATACTGACGGGCCTGCCGGTGAACATTACGAATCATTCGATGGAAATAATGAACGAATGTGAGGCTCTCGCGCTCGTCGCGATCTCCTAAAACCCGATTTTTAGAACCACTACTGATAAATGATACCAGACTTCACCCGTATAATGAATAGATTGTACCGCCTTAACCCATGGCTTTCCATGGATGAGGTTAGGAGAATGTGGCTCCCTCTCATTTTCGCCAATCAACCGGGTATGTTCGAGCGTGCCTGCTGGAGCCATGCAATCACTCTAACCTCTCGAAATCTTCAGCTTACTATTGCAATATCGCCCTAATGCAAACCTGCAACGAGATTTACTCCGACAATGGAAACAGCTCACCCAAAGCATTATACCATTTGTCAGAGACGTTCAATTATGTTACGACACTACTTGCCGGCCCCGATGCCCTATCAGATGCCGCAATCATGATCGTGGTGACTCTTGTAAGCCAAGAGCTGATCAGAAAGGGATACGGGAACCTCAGAGTCCATCTTGACGGCCTGCAGAAGATGATTCAGCTTCGTGGTGGCCTGCCCAAACTTGAAGGAAGTATTGCACTGTTAATGAAACTCTGCAAGTAAGTAAAATCATAATAATGATACGACCCTTGGTGTAGCTTCTCTAGCTTACATATAGTTTCAAAGAGTGGACATTATGCTTGCAATTCAGCACGGTGGGCCGCCATTATTCTTCAGAGATCGCATGGTCAAAGTACGGGATGTCTTGGCACGCAAAAAGATAGATTTCGATGGTAATGCTGTCACATCGTGCCCGCAGCATCATTTGCTAGAATCATATCTTCACGACATATTGGTGGACATGATGGGGGCGACATCACTGTTCAACAGTGGTGTGAAACTCGACTTGGAAACTCTTCAAGAAATGGTATTATCGATTGGGTACCGTCTCACACAGTTTCGCCCTTCAGAAGAAGACCGAAGGTTATGGCAGTTACAAGCCTCCTACCACATCGGCCTGACAATATGGACAATGACGGTCTTTTTACATGGTGGACGCCGCCAAATTTTGGACTACGAGCGCTTAGATCGTCGACTGAAGGAAATTCTTGACAGTGATCTAGAAAATCGCAATCCTGAACTCGCTCTCTGGCTTTTAATTCTTGGTGGTGTTTGGGTGTCTGATGGTTATGATGAGCACTGGCTTCCACCAAAGATACGACCAATGGCAATGAGACTTAATATTCGCAGCTGGGATGAAGCGTACACCATCCTTGGCCATTTCCCTTGGATTCATGTCTTGCACGATGACCTGGGCCGTGCGTTATGGGATCGAGCGCACCGGGACGAGCTGATGCCCAGCTGGATAATGTTGTGAAACCTAGTATTTCATCTTCAACTGTACTAAGACACTCTTCTTCGACTCTATGGACACAAGGAGCCCAAAGGGCCAATAATCCTAGATACTTTCACCAAGAGAACTTTTCCTTCACCAGATCTTCCGATAGAGCCCAGAGCCTCTCAGCCTCGCTGCTAGATACAGCAAGGGGGTGCGCGGCACCATTAATTTGACAATCCGCTAGGAACGAGCCGTAATTCTCCTTGCCATCGACCGTCTCACCAGCTTTCAGTTTTGGATCTAGAGCAGCTACCAGCGAAGTTGAAGCTCCCGAGCCGAGGGTTTGATAGAGAAATATGCCTTTGTCTATCATGGCGTCCACGGCCGCCCGTTGTTCCTTAGTAAAGGCCCTGCCCAAGTCCGTTGGCATGATGCCAGGATGCACGGCCAAGGAGAGGATGCCGTACTTCTCGTACAGCCTCTTGGTTGCTCCGATGCTAAATAGGACATTGGCTACTTTACTGCGGTTGTAGCCGTCGATAGGGACGTATGCTTTATCTTCACAGTCCTTAAACCCCCATGCCTCTAGGATCGGATAGGGCGGCTGTTCCACTTCGGGCAGCTCTTTGTTTGGCTTGTCAAAATTGATGTCACTCCAACGCATAGTCGCAACGGTAGGCGACAAGGAAGAGACATTGACAATCCGTGTGGTTCCCTTGGGTTTGCCCTCGGCAGACTTGATCAGCTTTGGCATAATCAGGCATGTCAACAGCCAATGTCCGATATGATTAGTCGCAAAGTGCATCTCCAGTCCATCAACACTAAGTGTTCGCTCTGGGAGACCCATCACGCCAGCGCTATTCACTAAGATATCAATAGCAGGAACATCAGGCCAGGCCAAGACCTCCGCAGCAGCTGCACGAACGGACTTTTGGCTGGAAAGATCAACCTTTAGCGCACGACAGTTGGCATCGGGGAAGTCCTGCTTGATAGCATCGATGCACTCTTGGATTCTATCGACGTTGCGCCCGGCCAGGATTAGACAAGCTGGGGACTGAGACGCCTGTATAACTTGTCAATCAGCAAATACATCACGAAACTTGGCACATGATATAGTAACTTACAAAAGCGTGAGCAGTATAGAACCCAATTCCATTACGATTGGCGCCAGTAACTATGATGGTTTTATTGCGGATCTCATTTGGGAAAGCCTTGGCAACGTCGACACCCTCGGTCTCTTTGCTGAACTCTGGATGTGATGTAGCCATTTTGTAAGAAGAGATTGTGAAATTGCAGAGATTGGTTGGTAAGAAGAATGAATTGCACTTGAAGAGAGAGAAGACTGCGTCGAGTTGCTCGAAAGAAGAACACCAACATTTGAACATAACTCCATCATTTTATATTCTGTTGAGGCGGACTTAGCATGTCCTGATTACATCGTTGACCTTCAACGTCGGCCTTGACAGCGAATAAGAGATTCGATGCCTAATTTGGAAGACAAGGACATTATACACAAACTCCGCAAAGTGATACTTGTTGTATATTGTAGACTCCTCGATTCTCCGCGGTGCAGGCCGTGAGCCAATGAGAGACTTGTTGCCAAATCTAGTACAGCGGCATCGCCAGACCCAGGAACAGCCAATAAGAGATTGATTTCCTAATTCGGATTCGCGACACAGTCGTATTGCTAGGGCTGAGTCGAGTCATGCGCTGCAGTTCCGCTCCTCCTTCTAGTTGGCTATCGCGAGCCTCGGTCACAGGTCTGTAGACGTATGAGATTTTTAGAAAAGCTACCTACTCAGTAATCTATTGTCTCAACGATGCACAGCATGGACGTGTATTTGCCAAACTCCGCAGTATACGGCTATAGTATCGCAATAACCAATTAAATCGCCACTTCGGGAACTCTGCTCGGGACGAATAATTATTAATTGAGAATTGACTTACATAAATTGGCCAGCATACTTTCAGCATTGGAAAGAAGGAAAGCGCACATTTCACGATTAATTTGACAGTTGAGCGTAAGAACTCAGAAAACACATAAAGCTTTATTCAGACATGATCTATTTGAAACTAATGATGCTAGTGATGCTGGGTCCAAGATCTCGCAGATAAAAACTCCGGTGCTAGCCATCTTCTGCTCAAGATGAAATGTTTATTTACAGAGCATCAGCCCACTTGAGCGCGTCGGTGGGCTCGAGGCGCAGCATGTAGTCGGGGTCGATGTGAACGTTCCTGACAACTCCCTTTGTGTCAACCAGGAGAGTGGTGGGAACAGGGACGGCCCATGAGTCGTCGCCATTGCGGGTCTTCAGGTCAACGGAAAAGGCGTCAAAGACAGTCTTGAGGGACTTGGGCTGGTCCCAGACGATGCCGAGCTGGCGAGCGAACTTGTTGCCAACATCAGACAAGACCTCGAACTTGAGCTCGTTCTTCTCAGTGGTTGACAGAGAGGTGTTGGGAAGCTCAGGAGAGATGGCAACGACGGTGACGCCCTTGGCCTTGAAGGCATCCAGGTGTGATTGCAGAGAGCGCAGAGCCAGGTTGCAGAAGGGGCACCATTCACCACGGTAAAAGGTAATCAGGATGGGGCCCTTGGCGAGGAGGCTCTCGCTGGTGACCTCCTGGCCGAGAGCATTGGGAAGCTTGAAGCTGGGGAGAGTTGATCCGGCCTGGACGGCGGCACTCTTGTCAAAGCTAGCCTTGATCCCGGCAATGGATTCCTTAATGGTGTCGTAGACAGGAGCAGGGGCGTTTTGGCTGACGCCTTCGTGAAGGGCAGACAACTGAGAAGCAAGGGTAGCCATTTTTGGATGTTTAAAGTAAGAGATGAAGGATAAAAGTGAAGAAATTGTTGTGATTGTTGAAAGTGTTGAGAGTGTGTGTGATGATATCGAAACAAAACTTCAACTTCCACGATACTATTTGCATCTCTTTATACATCTTTTGCCATTGATCGATTGAAATCAAATGGTATCCTATTCGAATTTGTCAGGACGCGCTTCGTAATACACATTGGTGAATATCGTGCTGTTTCTGTTTCGGGTCATTGGTGTGGATCGGGGAGCAATGCTACAATCCCATTACATGAGCATTTGGCTTAGAGCTCACTTACACACATCCATAGCGCCCATCTTATCTGTTCAGGCAAACGGCGTCATTCGACTATTGTCTGCAGCCCAGTTTTCCATAGGCCAAAGTCGTTTTGCTAAAGAATCTAGCGTGAGGAAAGTTTTTGCGAAATGGATTCTATTGGTGGAAGACGAGAAACCTTGCCACTTTCAGCCGTCGCAAAAACTTGCGCCGTCTAGGGGGTTTTAGTGAGTTACAATGTCTGATTGGCTAGAAAACTACGGTGGAAAATGGCAAGAAAATGCGACGAACAGGATAGAAACTCATGGTTGTAGACACCTATAACTACGAACGGACAAGATTGAATCACTAGAGAAGGGTTACACGATACGTACGGATTGAACGGGCAGGCAGTAAACGGAACTTACAAGATTTGTAACTCGATATCCCCCATATCCCACTCGGCAGCGAATCTGCATTTCAAATCAGTTGATGTTGCAAATTCCACTCGAAATAAATCTCTTGCTCCCGATGAAGTGTCGTGCTGTCCCATCAAGTCCTCTGTGGAATCATAAACCGAAAAGGGGCTAGGCCTAGGGAGCGAGATAAAATAGGTATGTGGAGTGCTTATACGACGCTTCCGTAATGGCCTCTAGCACTATAGCAGCAGTAGTAGGATCCTTGGGATTACAGCCAGGTGGAACCCCCCCGGTCTTCTTGTGCCCTGCGGTGACCCATCGGGAGTTGAAAGAATCCTCTCGTACAACCATGAAAGAACGATCCATACATTGAATTCAACAGAAGCATCTCTTTATCGAGATCGAGGTTTGAACTATTGTACATTGTCAACTAATTCAGCAAACTGTTGCTTTTACTTCGAGTTGTAGGCGGCAACTTCGCCACTCGGATAACAGCATCTGCTCTCTAGCTGAAAAATTATTGATGTATCTATCTCTAGCAGTATCCAAGAAGACAAACCCAACACTTCTATGGATGCAAATATCAATAACATCGATGAAACGTCATACAAGACAACCGCCTAACGATGGGTTACACGAGAACCGAGCGAACGACCAGTATGCAGAGCATAATATCATGGGTGTCATCTTCATGATAATAGCCAATACAAGTTCTTGAAGCTTTTCTTTACGTTTCATACAGAGGCTTTGTCAATTATCCAGTGATGAGGGAGGAGATGTTATCATGGGTTGTTCCTCTAGGGTAGAAAAATGCCTTTGGAATGCAAGTAAATATAGTTCTGGAGGAGCATCAGATCCCTGGTGGCAGAATATTTGAACAGAACCAATTGTCAACCCAAGCACCTGGTACAGTAGATCGGAGACCATAGCAGCATGCCTTTGCTGTTGTCTCTTCGGTGTTGCTGCAATAAGTGTGTAATGTTTATACCTTCTTTCCTCTCCGGGACAACCGGTCAAAAGACCTCATACACGTCATCATCTCCGCCCTTTGTTAACCCATTCAACAATTCAGATTATTACATCACTAAGCACAATCAGTGGCCATCTCTTGGGAGCGGAAGGATTTGCTCAGCTGTATTACCTGCATGAGTTAATTCCATTGTACTACCAAAATAGCACCGAGTATCTCAGCCGTGTCTCCTCATTTTAGCGTCAGCTCCGACCTTCCGAGCACCTTGGCAGCATTATGGTTCGATCCAACAGATAAACGACATTTGCCACTCCAACGCCCGGAATGCGTCTGTGATCAAGCATATATGTAAGGTATTGGAAACTGTTCTGTTTACAACAAGATTTTAGACATTTCTACCGGTATTTCGAACTTCTTCCTCATGTGGAAATGCCTCGCCTTAAGATAAACGAAACACGAAATGAATAGCGACTCGTTCCACTACTTTTCGAAATTCCCTCCCGAAATACGACGGCATATCTGGCACTACTGCCTGCCGTATCGCGTAGCCGAAGAAGATTTCCCCTATTTCCTCCTCGATGGCAGCGAGTCTCGTCAAGCTTGCTGGGCCAAAAGCTCAACGTATCAAAACGCCCAGAAGCCTGCCATCGCGGTCGTGAACAGAGAGTCTCGCCAAGTCGCCCTGCAACATGGAAAAATTTGGGAACCACCGGATTGTCACAGCTTGGAGTCGATATGGGTACAACCGAATAGGGATACGCTGCTTCTCAACTACACGAGGGTATGTGATCTAGTCATGTACGGAAGCGTCGATGCCACCTCGAGTGTAGTAGTCATGTTCCTATGGCGGGCAGAGGAACACAAGATGCAGCCTTGCATTGTCGCAGAGGTCCTTCACCCTTTCAATTTGAAAGCGCTGCTAGATGGCGATGCTGCGTCCGAGAACCCTCGCGTTCTGTACAGAAACGTAGACAATCTCGACTCAGGCGATATTGCGGGCTATGCAGAATGCATCCAACAGCAAAAGATAGTTTTGGGCATAGCAATGGCCGCGATATCACTACATATCTCTGCGGAAGCTGCTCTCGATTCTGGCCTCTTCGGGCTACTGGGCGATGCGCCTATCCAGCTGGTTGATTTCGATGACGAAGCTCGTTTGAGGCAATTCTACACTCTATTTAGAGAGAATGCTCTAGAGGAGGAGCCGGCCGTGCAAACACTGTTCGAGTCATTCTTGAGCTCTCGATTCCGTATAGCAGTAGAGACATGGGCCAGGCAGGCTGACTGGATCATCATGGCTAATCTGTGGCACTACGGACGATATTCTGAGCGATACCGCGATATTCTGGGGCAAGATCCGTCCTCGGCATGGACACCTCGGCTGGAAGACTGTTTTTATTTCTCAATGTGCGAGTATTTGCCCAACGACGATCACCCGTGGGTAAAGCAAGCCAGAGAGAAGGCACCCAAGCTGCGACCACAAATCATGGTGCGATATTGTACTCACAAATGCTATACAATGGGACAACTGCCCGATCATCACGCCACAAACCTGTGGTGGAATCCGGGCTTTTGAAGGTAATTCCAAACCAGGTACAGTGCATTCATTTCCTTGTCCCCTATTTTGGTATACAATTGACTAAAGTGGTCTACGGTGCTTTTCGCACCATAAAGCGAAGTTGGATAGGTGGTTTAGCCTCAAGCTCTGCAATGATGGAAACGATTATCTAGTGTGCAACAATCTCATATTTGAAACTAGAGGTATCCCCTAACGGATTAACCTGAAAACAACCATATCACATTCCAGTTATATCTTTTTCAAATCCCTTCAGAGCCTCCTAATGGTAAATCTCAACCCCTTTGCGTGTATAAGCCGTTTGGCTTCGATTGATGTAATTTCGGTCACAGAAGGTTTGAACTTGAACTCTTGGCAAAGTTCTACATCTGCTGACCACTTGCTCCCGGTTCCATCTCCAACACGGTCCCACAGCTCCCTCCAGCTCTGAGGGTTGTGCTGGAATTGCTTTCTCCCGCTCACATCGCCGACCCGCGAATACTCCATTGCGGCCTCACCGCCTGATTGTCTTCCAATGATGAGAGAGTCCGGTTGTGGAGCGAGCAAATGAATGATTCTTTTGGCAATTTCCTCTTGTTCTTCAAGATTGAACAAGTGGAAGAAATCGCCCACATAAATGATGTTCATTTGTCCGGACAGCTTCGCAAGCGGCGAAGAATCGTCAAAGATGTCGGCCGCTATGAATGTAGTCTGAAGTCGATCTTTATCCTTGAATAGCTCATAACCCATAGAGAGATATTCACCCCACAGATCAGATCCATATGTGTTGGCAGAAGGTGCCCCGTCATGGACAAGTTTACGGATCTCTTGGCCAAAGCAACAGCCCAGATCCATGAATTTGTCGCCATTCCTCACTCGCTCCAGAACCTCTTGATATACCTCTGTAGTCATCATGATCAGATCTAAGAAGCGGTACCGTCTAATACATGGGTAATGTCGCTGCAACAAGTCAGTATATGCATGTAAAGAAGAAATTATGATCTTTATGAGATTATTTACCACTTTTAAAGCTTTTTCTTTCTGTTTTAATGTTAGTTGAAGTTATAAGCTGCTGGAAACTGACGCTAAACTTACAATCGATTTAACATGGCTCTTGACATCCTCATCTGGAATTCCGCTATACTCGCGCAGCAGCTTTAACCCCGAGTCAAGGTCGTAGATTTCGTATGGACTTTCTCCAATTGGGGGGCTCATTGTGTTAGACATGGTTGTTAGTAATTGCTGGTAAATTGATGTGGGATAGGTTACCCTGGATACTTAAATCCTTGAAACGAAGATGCTATTGTTAACGTTGTTGTGAGTCAAAAATTCAGCCAGTAGGCATCAGCGTGGGGTCAGCGTTTTGTTAGGCTTAAAGAGGAAGGAAAGGAAACTAAGTCGCTACAGATGAACCTTTGTGAGTGATGAAAGACATCAAAGGATGCCCGAGCATATAGATATCTCAAATGCAAATGAAATGATAACTATGTTAACTATGTTAACGAGACTTGTACGTAGATGATGCCTTTGCGTACTTGCACTCAACTTGTAGTCGGTCGCTTCATACACATTCGGGTCATGTTGTGACTTCCCCACATACTGGATTAACTGGAGTTACCAATAGATAGCTTCAAAAGCGCCGTATAAGACATTAGCGTTTACAAACACGATCGATTTAGTGAGGTAACTCACAACTAATACTAAAGATAACAACAAGATGATGATTATAATATCTAAGACGCTATACAAAGTGCATTCTCCTACTCTTCATTACAATTTCCTTAGCGTTAAGCAAAAGACGTACGGCCACTGCTAAAGTATCCAAACTCTTCTTAACAGCAAATGTTCACAACTACGAGGTCGTTATCTCACTGGCTGGCTGCTTTACTAGGAGACTTGTTTGGAAACCTGCTTCCCAATCGCCACATGAAGAGCAATTTTTCCGATTTCATTTCTGGGGATATATCGGAACGCTGCTCAAATTCCGAGCCACGCGCTCCGGGTTTGTCGGGCGGATCCCCCCTCTGTTTCGTTCGGAGCTAGTTCAGCCATCGGAATTATTGAGTTCTCACAAGTCCATCTCCGATATATACCAGCAATGGTTAATTCTGGGAACACTGGCTTGACCTTTTTAGGTGGCCTGTCATAACTCGATTTTGGCTGTCCTGCTCGCCATTGTCTCCCTGTCAGATCTTGTCAGCACGCTATCAATCCAATTATGTTATTGACCAACACACAAACTGCGGCCTGGTTGGACCATCCCCATCATGGCGCAACCCTTACGCTAAGAAACGACATTCTTATCCCTGAGCCATCAGAGGGAGAGGTTCTAGTGAAATTGGAATGCTCTGGTTTTTGCCATTCTGATGTCCACAGCATCTATGGAGAAACACCCATGGAGACGAACATCGCAGGGCACGAGGGCGTGGGGCGTGTTGTCAAACGTAAGTACATGGATGCCAAATTCGGCTTGAAAAGTTGATATCTTGCTCATCATTTATATGCATTAGTTGGCAAGGGTGTATCAAGCGATGTAATGGGGAAGTTGGTGGGTGTAAAATGGGTCTATAGTGCCTGTGGAGAGTGTGAGACCTGCAAAGTGAGATACGTGCACTGTCCGCATCAGAACAATTCTGGGAGAGTAAGTTGGCCTTGTTGTCTGAATTGAACGTTGAAACACTATTTACAGAGACGCTAGAATGTACCAGGGACTTTTCAACAATATGTTGTTTCGCCGCTGAAATACACGACCATTGTCCCCGAGGGCTTAGAGCCGGAAATAGTAGCCCCATTGCTTTGTGGTGAGTTTCATTGCGTCCAGTTTACTTCAACCTAGCATGAGTGGCTGATACAATGATGCAGCTGGGATCACCGTATACGCAGGAGTTACACAAGCTTCCAAATTCATCACACAAGGAGACTCCATAGTCATTCTAGGAGCAGGCGGCGGCCTTGGCCATCTTGCCGTTCAAGTTGCTAGCGTCTCTGGATATCGTGTCATCGCCGTCGACAGTGGCGATAAAGCTGATGTTTGCATGACAAGCGGCGCCGCTGAATTCGTGGATTTTTTGAAGCAAGACGTGTGTACTGTCTAAAATTTGCATACTATATGGATGATATAGATACTGACTGATTCAGGTTGAGCAAACTGTCAAGGGATTGACAGGTGGGATTGGGGCTCACGCAGTCATGGTGACTGCTGGTTCTGAGAAAGCTTACGAATCTGTGCCGAAGCTGCTCAAAAACCTCGGTGTCTTGGTATGCATTGGAATTCCAAGATTAGACTTTCACGTTCCAATTTCACCTTTCGAGATTATTGTTCGAGGTGAGCTAAGCTATCCATGAGAAGGCATACTTGCGTGAGCCGAGAAAGCTGATGGGGGTTTAGGCTTGAAAATCGTGGGAACATCCGTCGGTACGGAAAGCGACGTTCAAGAGCTCTTACAATTGACTGCTGAAGGAAAGATAAAGCCACAAATTGAGGTATACGATTTTAACGAGATTAATGACGTGATGGGCAAATTGGCAAAATTTCAGGTAAAAGGCAGGGCAGTACTGAGATTGCCCCAATAATCATGAAGCATTTCACTCGTTTAGCAGCAATACAGGACTATTAGTGAGGACAGTATTACAGATAGATTTAGTATCATGGCATGACTATATATTTATGGTATCATTATTCCTACCCTCTGTAGGCAGCTGACGACAAATTCACATCTGCTTCCAGGCATTGATCAAGTCCCTCCTCTTTGGTTAGTAACTTTGTATAGGAACCTCCATTACAACCTGTTGAGAAGAATCCATGAGTCCAGTTAGAAAGTCAAGATTATCCTCGGTCAAAAATTCCCCAAGGTCTAATCCAAGAGGAGATAATTCTGTGTCAGAGCGAGACGGTGCAGAGGGGAAGCCTGGCATCTGAGAAGAGTCCAACTCGCCCGGCTGGAGAATGTTGAACCAATTTGCCTGACCATTGCCTCCACCTAAAATCGTTGTGAGTAACTACAAGCGGAGAAAATGCAATTGGAGATTTACCTTTTGTTGTTGCGGCGACTCGCACAAGTGTTTCGAGATATTTACGGCATCTCTGTACCAGTCGCGCGCCGCCACCAAGATTTTGCAGTGCCTCGAGGGCTAAATATAAACTTGTCCTGAGGTCCTCGGTCCCCAACCCAGCAGTCATAGTGCCTACTATTCCATTCGCCTGAATCAAAAGACCAGAAAACACCACAAGAGCAGCGTTGAAAGCTAAATTTATTAGTAGTGATCTCGCTTCGTCATTCGTAGTACAACTTACTATAGTAGGTCGAGAACCACCAAGCTCCAAGAAGAGATGGCTTCTTTCCCATCTTGTGAACAATAGAGATGATTTCAGAAGCAGATTCCAAACAGACTTGAAAGCTCCCATGCCCAAATTGACGCAAGAAAAGCCCCTCTTCGGAGTTCCTACTGCCGTTGTTGATCTGCTCTAAGAACCTTGCCAGGACTTGCCGGTGGAGCAGAATTCGAGTATTAAGATATCGCAATGAAAGGATGATTGAGAGGCGGTCAAAAATTATGTTCTGGTTAGATTCAGATGGCGAATCATCCCACGGTCGGGCCTTGAGCTGCAACGGCAAATCGCGTCTCCATTGCAATAGCTTACTCTCCAATCTGATTCCGCTCTCAAGCATCAGAGAAATTGAGGGCTGTGGAGCACAGCCGAGATTTTGGCCATATTGATCCGCAATTACATCGCCTAGGATCGAAAAAAGCTTTCTGTGTTTTCATCAGCAAAAAGAAGTGTATAATATTAAGTAGAAGTCTCTTACATTGTGAAGATATAAAACGATACCGTTGATGGGCTGCCCAATATTTCCAGAGGCGGGCCAGTGACGGCATTGATTACATTGAATTCAACATCTAAAGGAAGTGCTATCTGAACGTACTCGACTGGTATCGCTGGGGGACGACCGAATGTCATGCTCAGCGTTCTAGATGTATGATGAGTTGATATGTATGGTACTTTTGAAGACAATCTGGTCACTCACCTATCGAGAACTACACAGCCATACCAAGTGCGTTTCCTTATCTCTCTCTCAAGTGGTGAAAATTTGGTATACGAACTAGAGGTATGGAGCCCTAACTGAAGGGCTGCTTTTACTGTGAGCCCATGCAGGTTCCATGTTTGGGCAGAGCGCTGTGTTCCTTGCAGGAACTGCGTCATCAACAATAGGTATTGGACTATAATGTGTTAATTGATGCCACCACTTGATCCAATCTTCCTTACCAATCTCGACATTTGCCGTTCTGAATGCCATCTTTCCGGACAAAGCTTGGGCGCGCTTGAAGAAGACATCTGACTCTGCCGCATTTCGTTCGACAGGCAAATCGGGTCGGGCGCTGACACAAGTGGCGAACGCTAGAATCATGTTTAATAGACATAACCACGAGCGTCTAATCGATGTGAAATTGTTCTGTTTTGCCGCAGCAAACTCTTCCAGCAGAGAGCCCTCGTGCACGTATGGAAATAGCATCCCTGTGTCGGCAAAGAACAGTCGGATAAGATGTAACATGTCTGCTTCAGGTGGAAGACTGTAAACATCCACAGCCGCCGACAGACTATGATCCAGACTTTGTGCTCCAGCGATTGGTGATGCTGGTCGAGAGATGCTCATCATGGCGCCCTCCATCCTTGCATCAACTGGGAGAGCTCGTGTGGGGTCCGCGTTTGCGGCGGTAGCCATGGCGTGCGTGATCTGTCCAATGAAAGCAATATTGGAAGAAGGTCCTGTGTTTATATAGACATTAGAAACTGCCAGGAAATAGGCAAACTATGAGACGAAGTTACCGAAGAAGCCAGATTCCTGTTCATCTGCAAAAGTAATGGCCCCCATTCCGTCCACAGTGTCTTCAAATTGGATTTGAGCTTGAGAGTCATCTCTGATTGACTCTTCAGCATCTTCCGAATCCAGTACACTTCTGGAGTTTAATGAAGGGGGAGCAGCTGTTTCTTGTCTCCCCACAAGCAGACGCAGAGTCTCTTCAATAGAGTGTAGCCTTCCCTCGAGCTCTGTAGAGTATCTAGCATCAAAGTGGAGTCAGTATGCAACGATAAGGCCATGAGATAGCATAGTAACGTGAAGAACAAAGAGAACCCGAGTCATACTGTTTCCCCGACGCCCCTGCTGGCTGCTGATAGAAGCACTCTAGGCCCATCTCGACACACATCGTACACCGGGGACGCGAGCCGTCACACTGAGTGATGGTCAGACAAATCGAACGATAGTATGATACTATTACCCGGTACATACCCGTGTTTTTCGGGAACTATATGCAGTGTGAGGTCAGCAAATTATATATTTTGGCCATATCCCGTATTAATGCATCCAGTTTCTCAATCCCCTTAAGCTGAATGTTTCTATATGTATATAGGAATAGAGGATTCAAGATAGGGCACTCTATTACCGGCAACTATTACAAGCTAGTGCTGTTCTCTGACGCTTGAAAAAGGTTTGCTGAGGAGCAGCATCGTATGAAGGGGCGGATCGTTTCCTCTCGCCATTCTTACCCCCGCTGGTATTTGGACTCATTGTGTGTGGCTTGAGGGCATTCGACCCATGAAAGCGGCGCTTATCAAGTATTAAGCGATGTTGAATATTCGTATATTCAACCGACACTCAATTGATCATGACAAGATCACTTGGTGTGTAGACAACAATGGGAGAAAGATGCGAGATCTCGGAGGGAAGCGAGCTAGACCGGGGCTATCACGGATCTTTATACGGAGAACATGCGTGGAGAAAAAAGCCACAGAGCGGACAGCTTTTGGTGCCAACAAAAGCCGGGGTAAGATGGGTGGCACACCTCAGCATTTTATTTTCCGGGTCCCCCGGATTTCAGTTCAGCTCGGTTTTTGCAGGCACATACTGGTATTTCGGGTTACACTAGTGTGAAGAAATGATGATTCTTACTCATGAAGATTTGTAGTATAATTGAGGCTGGCTGTGTACATGTGCATCACATGTACGATTGGGTTGATTGGCTTTGCAATGCCCCGAATGAATAAATTCTCCAAAGTATTGGCGACCACATGAGGATATTTCACCAGATTCTAGCATTGTGGCCTAAAGAATAGCATATAAAACTACAGTAGTTGTCAGTATATCCTATATATGTATAAACTAGAAGGCATCACCATGATGTGATGGCTGGGCCTCCTTCCAGTGTTTTGCGCTCCATTCACGAATCTCTTTGCCTCGCCACCAAAAGATGAAAATAGGAATATGCGCAACGAAAATAAGCGCCGCTAAAACTCCAAATGGTTCTGCATAGCCAGCTGAGGTATTCCAAGGCACTACTGCATACGAAATGCCAAAGGCGGCAAAGTTCTTGAATCCGTTCAAGACCACAAGTGTCGCGTCTGCTCGGGCCTCGTAGATATCTACCAGGTACGTTTGCGTGAGATTATTGGCGGTGACAAAACAGAACATGACTAGAAAATAAATCTCGTAGTCAGTAATGATCTCTATTTGTCTTTTCAGAGTGATTCGATTCAACATACCTAAGGCTTCGCCAATAAGGGGAGCAATCCAAGGGCTTTTGTTTTGAGCACAGACTCCCACGACGATACATCCAACTGGCCCAATTATACAAGTCGATACAAAAAACATGAGCCGCCATTCGGGTAAGAAGTTTGCGCGTTTTCGGAGTCTTGAGATCACAACATCGTTTAGGATGCCGCAGTACGGAATGGCGATCCATACCGCAATCAACGGTGCAAAGCCAGTCAAGGCAATCTGCTTAATATCGAAGTTGTATACGCCTGTGTAGATAAAGGTGTTGGATGTAAGCATATAATTGGTTGCCATTAACATGATACTGAAATGAATCGTCATGGCGATGACGGCGGGATGCGGCAAGTACTTGAAAGGATAACAGAAGGACTTCCAGAGGCTATTATGAAGAAAGAGTGTTACGTCAGAGACACAGCGTCGTTTTTGGTTCCTCAAATATATGATGCTTACCTGTCGACCTTGCTGCGGCCGCCTCCAGATACGGCCCAAAATCTAAAGTTGTCCACCAGCTTGGGCTGGCGGTGATGAAGATTTCCAGATTGTCTTGTGTACTGTGTCTCCGGGAAGAAAAGGAAAAGCAGGCCACAGGATCCAAGAGACAAAAATGAGACAGTCCACTGAATCCAGCGCCAGCCCAGGTCAGCCGTAATGTAGCCTCCAATCAGGGAGCCCACCGCGAAACCCGAAGCCTGGAACAAGACATAGAGTCCCATACACTTGGCGCGATCATGGAGAAAGAATACGTCCGCTATGGCCTGAGGCCCGAGTGTTTCTGGAGACGCCGAGAAGATGGAGGCCAACGTCCTGGCAGCGATGAGTGATCCTGATGATTTGGCCACTGCTCCCCAGATGCAGAATAGCCCTGTGGCCAGGCTAGTAAAGACAAACACAAGGCGGACACCGTAACGATTTCCCACAGAAACCCAGATCAGGGAAGCAACTCCGTACGAAAGCAAAGGAGCTCCGACTAGGTAAGTGACAGAGCTGAGACTCATGTGTAGCTCTTCTGAAATTGGAAAGAAGGCAGCAGCCACGGAAATCATGTTAAGGGGTCCGATGATTGTCCATATGCACATAACCAGTAGAATAAGTATCTTCCGCCAGCTAGCGAAGTTGAGGGGGTCGAATGGGTCGTCACTAGGTTGAGGAATAAGTGGCAGGCCCCTCCGTGAGAGTTTGGGCTCGACCGCTGGAAGATTCTCATCTTGAACGTATGCATGGATGGGAGAGTCCATCTTCTCGATGTCCTCGGAAGAGGGTGCGGTAGCCATGATTGCTTAGGTGATGAAGGTTGATGGATAATATTAAAGGAAGAAGGTAGTTTGGGAAAAAAAGACTGACCAGACTTGTGGTAGTCTTGGAATCTAATCAATGATTGCTTCTATCACCGCTTCGCCATCTTTATATCTTTCTCGTTACAGTAGTTCTATAAAATCTTTACCATTGTCATCCCCCTTTACACGTTCACTCAATTATCTAGCAAAATTACTCGCCGGGGCTAGAAAACCAGCCGCAATGCGTTACCAAAGCTGCCATTGGTTGCCAGGCTGGTGGCTTGAAGCCTAGTTTTGAATGGAGCAATTTCTCTCTATATGATTAGAAGAAAAGTTCACCTCCATCGCTAAATACACTTCCGATCTGCCCGCGAAGACGCGGGGAAGAGTCTCGACAAGTTCCCCGTGGGGAAGATGCCACTTTCGTGGGAGCAACTCCACAGGCTAAAATAGTCTTCGGAATTATCGAGACCCAAGAGCCACGGCCGTCGTTTCTAGGAGATCCGCAAGTTCATCCAGGATATCCGCTCCGAAATTTCCCCACGGGCAATTCACAATTTTGTGTTTCAGATGCCTAACTAAGGTGGACTATGCTGTCTCACTTCGGAGAGTACATGCAGTACAACATCTCTACTGGTCACCTGAGCAGATGTGACACAATTGACAATCAAGAGATTTATTTACCGCAGACCCTACAACCAAATTTCTTCATCAACATCTTGAACAATTTACTTTGACAATATGGAGAAAATTGATACACACGCGCATGTTGTTCCTCCTGGGTGGAGGAAGTATTGCGAAGAGCATGGGTTTGGAAAGCCCGACGGAATGCCGGCGATTCCAGTATGTGGAAATTTCCAGTCTTCAATTTTGTCTTTCACTCGACTAACGATAGCCCACGTAGGAATGGACACCAGAAGCGCATATTGCACTCATGGATAAGCTAGGAGTTACCAAGTCTATTCTCAGCATCACATCCCCTGGCACTTATCTCAAGCCTGGTGATGATGCTCTTGCGCGCAAGATCACTCGCGAGACCAATGAGGAATTGGCGGAAATTTGCTCCAAGTATCCTTCTCGTTTTGGCTTCTTTGCATCATTACCCCTGCCCGATATTGAGGGGTCTCTGGCCGAGATTGATCATGCCATCAAGCTTGGCGCATCAGGCTTTGCTGTAATGACTAATGCACATGGCCAATATCTCGGGGATTCCACTCTCGATGCCGTCTTTCACAAACTTAATGAAGTCAGCGCCATCTTGTTCATGCATCCCACCACTTGCTGTGGGAGCGATCCTAGCGCCGTCAAGCCCATGAACCAGTATCCTTCTCCAATGCTAGAGTTTTTCTTTGACACTACGCGCGCAGTAACAAATCTACTGCTGTCTGGAACTGTGGAACGGAATCCCAACATCTCATTCCTCGTCTCTCATTGCGGAGCTACTCTTCCACCACTTGTGGAGCGGTTCACAAGCTTTGCAGCCATTATCAACGCACCTTCAACGCTCAACTCAGATCAGGTTAAAGAATTGTTTAAGACTAGATTCTTTTTCGATCTTGCTGGGTTTCCATTTCCTGATCTGATACATGGTTATCTTCGCGTGTCGGACGAGTCTCGGTTGCTATATGGTACCGATTTCCCATTCACGCCAGCACATATGATAGAAGTTCAAGGTCAGACTATGGATAGTGGACTTAGAGAGTTATTTGATGAGGAAACCATCAAGGGTATCTACTCTGGACATGCAAAGAGACTGTTAAATCTTTAGTTTATTTGCAAAGTACAGAATGGAGACAATAGATGAATACATTGATTCACTCCATAGTCACCTTTTACACAACTGCCTGTGTGATTCATGAGTTCGTCAAATTGTGTTGTGAATTACTTGAAAAACGAATACGCTTAATATTTGTATTTGTAAGTTTGGGAAAAGCGAAGACAAAGAGTCCCAATATTCTGTATTGCATACTTTAGACATGGGAGCAACTATTAGATCTCATACAGTTGGGAGATGGTGTTTTCAAACACTATTCAATTAATTTCACGTAGTAGTAGTGAAAGAGTCAGCATCTAGTCTAGCACTGATAAATATTACGTCGTCACTCAGACACTAAAGTCTCAACATCAACACCCTCAGTCCGCAAAAATCCCAAAGCTCTCAGCATGGGCTTATCATCAAACCGATACAAATATGCCGTGCGTTCACCGCTCGCAAAATGCTGATACTTGTTCCATGCCGGGATACAGAAAGTGTCTCCCTTCTTCCACTCGAAGATCTTACCGTCAATGACGGAGTGGCCGCTGCCCTCCACGATGTGATAGACGGATGATGCCGTCTCGCGGATTTCTAGGGAGCTGGTACCAGCGTTTAATCTCTCTGCTGAACCACCAAGAATCTTTGACACTGAATCACAAGTTAGCTAGGTGAAATTTACATGAATACTAGATAGACAAACCTTCGCTACCATCTCCCTTTAGGTATGGTTTGGTCACCCAGTCACCTTCTTCAGCATCTAGGCGAGCCTGCATCTTAGCCCAAGGGAACACAATGGGGCTATTGTCTGTGTCGACATCCTCGGCAGGGTATCTAGGCTTGTCATAGTGCTCTACAAAATGCACGGGGAAGTGTCGGAAATTGGGCAAGTCGAGACCATCGAGCCAAATCATTGGCCCGGACCCATCCTTGCCATGATCATGCCAATTCCAGGTTGGCGTAAGAATCACGTCGCCGCGGTTCATCTTGATACGGCGACCATGAACGGCAGTGAAGCCACCATTGCCTTCAATAATAAACCGCATAGCAAAGGCTGTGTGTCGGTGGGCCGGAGCGGTCTCATTGGGCATAACTAACTGAAGGCCAGCATACACAGTATCTGTAGTGTAAGGCGCATCTGTCCGAGGATGTGTTAGTCGACAGAAATACTTTAAAGACAATGACTTGGGACGGCTTACCTCTGGCTGGATTCACCAGCATAAGTACTCTTCGCTCAGCTTGTTTCTCCGTGATAAGCTCTCCTGCACGGAGCAAGTATGGCTTAATCTCATCATACTTCCAGATGTGCGGGACGCAGGTTGGATTGGGGGCTGGGGGATTAAGCTTTGACATTTGCGCCCATAGTGGTAAAGTATTGGTCGACTGTAGCTGAGATAGAAGCTCATTTGTCTGCTGTTCTTTTGTTTTCGCGTCCACAGTCAGCTGCTGTGATGCAACTCCTGTCTTGACTTCGGTTAGGATAGCCATGTTGGGAAAGAGGTTAGGTGTCCTTTGTTGATACTCTACAATATTTTCTTGTCGACGACAATGTTGATCAATTCTGAGGTATTCTCGGTTTCTTTGTATTTGTATCTTTCCACATTATACACAACAGTGGCAAGACAGCTTCTTGCAGTCGTCTTGAGGTTTGGAATGAATGAAGCAGCTGATGGTTTGTGGCGTTCCGATGCATCCCCGACGCAGCTCACCCGTCCGGGGGTGGGCCGGAACGTCGGTAAGGGCGACTATTCGCACTATCGGGGCTGGGGATATGGAATGATTGAACTTGTCTTGCGCTTGTATGGTATGTGAAGTGGTGTCATGATGTGTGAGGAGTAGCAAGACTGTCTGCTCTGCCCGTGATGAATAAGAAGATGCCTCAGCTCGAAAGTGAAACAACCATCACGATCAAGATCGACCACAATGGCTCCAAGCACTACCGACTCTATTGACAATTCAGAGGGAGTTGTCTCTAAGAAGACAACCCTTTCTATATCATCGTCCATAAAGGTAAGAAGTTCAATACCAATAAGCCTTTGGCGATTCTCTAATGAAGCTGCAGACCGCATCATATCCCACACGCAGCTTGGAGTTTCTCCGCAAATTAGATCAAACAGCTGCTGTTCAAGGGCTTCACAACGGCTCGTTGCACCTCAATGGAGGATCGAAACCATCACCTTTGCTTTTCAAGGTAATTGTGGTGGGCGCTGGACTTGGCGGTCTCGCCACCGCAATTGCAATGGCACGGAAAGGCCACTCCGTGACAGTCCTTGAACAAGCTCCAGCACTTGGTGAGGTAGGCTATTTCTCTTTACTGCTTGAAGTTATCGAGCATGATGAGTAACAAGAAATGCGTAGGTTGGAGCTGGTATCCAAGTCCCACCCAATTCTGCCAAGCTGCTCTTGAAATGGGGGCTTGGGCCACTCCTTGGAGACAGAGTCGTCGAGCCTGAGGGCATTACCTTTCGGCGATGGAGCAATGGAAAGCCCATTGGCTATACCAAGCTTCAACCGGACTTTCGAAGCTCATTCGGGGCGCCTTATTACGTGGTTCACAGAGCCCATCTCCACGATGCATTGCACCAACTGGCGCTACAGCTCGGAGTTGATGTCAGAGTCAATCACAAGGTTGTTGAATACAATGAAGAAAATCCTTCTGTCAAAGTCGAGGATGGTACCATACTTTCGGCCGACCTTGTAATTGCCGCCGACGGTAAACCTTTTGCTCCCTCTTCGTTTTGTATACCATTTGTTCTAACACTGCACCAGGCGTCAAGTCTTTAGCACGAAACCACATTCTGCGTCACGAGAAAAAGGAACCCATTCGCACAGGCTTTGCTGCCTACCGAGCGACAGTGGATGTTGAAAAGATGCGCGATGACCCTGATACAGCATGGCTCCTAGAGAAACCTGCCCTCAATATCTGGATCGGCCCAGAGCGGCATGTCATGACATACACAATTGCTTCTGGCAAATCCTTCAACATGGTGTTATCTCATATTGATCATTCTGATCCCAGTACCTGGCGCCCAGAGACGGCCATCGATGATATGAGAGCTTATTTTGAGGGATGGGATCCAAAGTAAGTCGTTGAAGATCTAGTCGCTCATCTTTTTAGCCATTGGTCTGATGCATTTTATCATAGGCTGTTCAAGGTTATCAGTAAGATTAATAAGACACTCAAGTGGCCTCTCATGTCCGGTGATGCTTCCATCTCACATTGGGTGGCTCAATCCGGCAAACTTCTAATGCTCGGCGACGCTGCACATGCAATGGTTCCATACATGTCGCAAGGGGCTGCCATGGCCGTTGAAGACGGTGCTGCTCTGGCGACATCATTAGCCCATGTCACAGACCTCTCACAATTGCCAAAGGCGCTCTCTATTTTTGAGACCGAGCGCATGAAACGCAGTGGTCAGATGCAGGAAGCCAGTCTAGTGAATGGAAAGCTATGGCATTTCGAAGATGGACCTGAGCAACAAGCCAGAGATGAGGCAATGAGGCCTGAAGTTGAAGGAAGGCATTTTATACAGAGTCCTAACCAGTGGAGCGATCCAGTAACGCAAGCGTGGGCGTATGGGTATGATGCTGAGGAAGAAATTGAGAAGCGATGGAAGCAGTCGAAATAAATGGTGGCTAGAACAATGGCGATAGGTTACATATTTTCTTGTAATGAGCTGTCAAGTAAGATCCCTTATAATTATTATTATTTTCTTCCCATCACAATGGTATAGCGCAGACAGTACTGTACCCTTCACATTTTGGTGATCTTAAGTCGTGAGCTTATACTTGAACCTGACGAAGATATTATGCAGACATGAAAGGTAAGACGAGAGAAAATATTATTACTTTTATGTATATAGCTTTGCTGATTCTTTTCAAGAGTGGATATGCAATTCACTTGGCAAATTTATGCAGTGGATGATATGAGCATCATTGTCTATCATAGTTCGTCTCTTGCACACTTGATGGCTATCTAATTCGCAATCACAGTCTTTGTCTGCAAAAACTCCTCAAACGCCCAGTGGCTGCCAAATCTCCCAAACCCGCTATTCTTATGCCCTCCATGCGGCAAGGTAAATCCGTCATGGAAAGTTGGTCCGTTGATATGAACCGCTCCACTGTCCAATCTTCTTGCTAGAGGTATCGCTTGCAGACTCGACGCAGTATAAATTGCCCCAGACAAGCCATACTCACATTCATTAATCATGTCGACCGCTTCATCTACAGTGTCGTATGTTGCAATTCCAACCACAGGGCCGAAGGATTCATTTTGCCAGAATTCCATATCTTTAGTCAGGCCTTCAATCACAGTGCCATATAATGGGCCGTGTTCTCCGTCCAAGGATGAAGCGGTAATTACCGTGGCACCTTTGCGGGCGGCGTCGTCCAGAAGCCCTAAAATTCGGGTCGTACTTCGTCTATTAATGACGTGTTTGACTTGAATAGCAGAAGCAGACTCGAGTCGCTGTCGGACAAGGCTGCAGAATGCCGACTTCAATTTCCGAGGCACTAGGACGATATCTGTAGACATACAAATTTGACCGCTCTATAACCCAAAGGAATGAATCAGCGTACTTGTTGATCTAAAGAAAAGTAAGAGTTGCTTTCACGTACATTGATAAAGGCCGCATCTAGAATTGTAGCGGCCGTAGTTTCCAAGTCGGCATCTTCAAGCACCAAACTGAAGTTTTTACCACCTAATTCCAAGAGTACAGGCTTCAAGAAATGGCCTGCTTGGGAGGCAATGTGTCTACCCACGGCCGTTGACCCGGTAAAGTTGCACTTTCTCACCGACGGATGCGAAATAAGAGTATTGAACGTGTCTGATGCGTCTTCAGGCTTGTGCACAAGAAAGTTGACCACTCCAGGTGGGAATCCAGCATCTCGGAAGAGGTTGGCGATGAAGTAATGTGTTCTGGGGCTTAGCTCGGATCCCTTAATTGGCAAAGTCAGTATGGCAATTATTTACTATTATATAAACCAGAAGAGGAACTACCTTGAGTATCGCGCAGTTTCCAGCGGCAACAGCGGCAGCAATAGATCGCATTCCAAGCATTGCTGGTGCATTCCAAGGCGCAATGCCCAGCACGACACCAAGCGGATCTTTGAAGACCAGAGCGAGTGAGTCTGGCGATTCGGTCTCTGGTATTAACCCAGATAAGATTCCGGACGTTATGAGAGCCGTTACTTGTTCGATGATCTCAAGTGTGGCATGAAAGTTGATCGAAGCCCATACGGAAGAGCAACCAAGCTCTTCTGCTACAATAGACGACAACTCAGATGCCCTCTCTTTCAAAAGCTAGAATATGCCAAGAATTAGAGACTTCGAACATGTCATTGCGTATAGAGCATTTTTAACCAACCTCTGCTACTCTTTGGAACAATACTTGCCGCTCCCTGACAGACGACTTTCTCCACTTTGGAAATGCTGCGGTGGAAGACTCCAAGGCTTGCTTACACAGTTCTGGTGTAACGCCTTGAGCTTTCCATTGCGATCCTCTGCCACTGTCGGGATTTGAAACGAAGATTGACTTTTCGTCTTCAAGGACAACGTCATTGCCATCAATGATTAGTGGGACGGTGTTGGACTTCATGATGAGGTTGGAGATGCAAATGATATGATAGATTAGGAGACAGTGGAATTCATAAATAAATCGTGATTGCAGAAGTTGGATTCATCATATTAGATGGTTCTTAGCATCCTTATTCAATACAAGTCAATTCATCTTTGAGTAAACTAAAGACATTCACTATTGCGGCTTTCGGCTTTCGGAGCTCAATGGTCATCGTTCCGTTGCGGATGAAGTGGCGCTCGCTTTTCGGCGGGCACTCCGTTTCTTCCCCGAAGCCACATTATTGAACTTGTCAGTGCTATCGACCAGAAGTACCTTGAAAAGTGTTTAGTAACGATTAGAACACCGGGGATATATTGGATCAGCTTTATACGCGGCTCTACACGCTTCGCAACATCTCCGCTGCTCATTCATATGGGCTGTACACATGTGCTGCGGTGGGCATCCTGATCCAACTCTCACAGCGCCAGTAAGCTCTACGGCAGAGGTCGTAATATTATTCTCAGACCCTAACGGCGAGGGGCAAATTGACGACTCACATGGTGCATTCCCGCCGCTTCATATCACGCTGGGCCAATTTATCGAGAATATAGTGAGAATCTCATCTGAGAGCACTGGCTTAGAACTCATTTCCCACTTCAATCTCGGTGACAAGTTTCTTGTAGAAGCGTGCAATTCAGGCTACGCCTCACCCTTACGCATCCCGCCAATATAGTTATGCCTGGAGATTTCGTTCGGGACTTTTGCGTCTGTTGGACTGAAAGGAATACGATATACGACAGCTTCTTACCAGGCAGCCAAATTTAAACAAAGGAGGTTCTCGACCACCAATTCCGGTAAATTAAGTCAGGCTGAAGGAATATGGGATCCGCGCGTCCTACACGCGATGTGCATGTTAACTGATGTTTTTGGCGTTGAACATAGAGTACGTCTTAAACGCTCCAAATGAAGGGTGAGAACGTAATACGATTGCTCTCTAGGCTTCAATGTTGTTACCTGCATAGGCGTATTACCTTATCTTCCAGGTTGGCTTTTACAGTCGCGACGGTGGATCAATGGGCTGGGCTAAACCACATATGTAGAATGACCATAGATCGATTAGTTAATACCTACGTTACATGTAGTTATATATTTGTTTAAACCATCTCGCCTGTAGTTGTCAGATCTACAGTCTATATTCTGGTATCAATCTCGTTTGTTTCTCCTCAACATTTGCCAATCAACATACCAAAATGCCCGACTCACTGTTTAATATTTTAACCACAAATGCCGTGGATCTACAGCGGCTTCTAGCGGACAACAAGCTCACCAGCGTCCAGATTGTCCAACAGTGCTTGGACCAAATAGATCGCCATGAATCAGCTCTTAATGCCCTCATCTCCCCCGCACCCCGCGATAAAGTGTTGCGCGCTGCTGCGGCCTTGGATGAAGAGCGCAGCAGTGGCAGCGTACGTGGTCCATTTCACGGAATCCCGATTGTCCTCAAGGTATGTTTGTTTCGACTCCCTATTTACGGTAGTACATAGGCTGAGTTGCCCTATAGGACAGCTTCATCACCGCTTCCAATCTTGGGATGAGCAACACCGCAGGATCATGGGCGTTTGTCGGGGCCAGGGCCAGCAAAAACTCTGCCATTGCGCAGTTGCTGATAGATGCTGGTCTAATAATCATAGGAAAGGCTAATATGACGGTATGAATACTCTTGAATGTTTTTTGTAATATACTAATGAGTATGGTGATAGGAGTTTGCTGGCATGAAAACGACAAAGATGATGCCGGGATGGTCCAGCCATGGCGGCCAAACATTATCTCCCTACGTGGGCAAGATTGAAGAAAATGAAACCTTACTAGGACACTCGGTCAGTAAACCCTTGACACCCTATTCAATCCGTGACAGGCGATGCTCATACGCACCAGGCCCCAGGAGGATCCTCCACCGGCTCTGCAGTTGCTGTGGCAGCTGGCTTTAGTCCTCTAGCAATGGGCACAGAAACAATCGGATCCATCATCACCCCTTCGACGCGTGCCGGCCTCTACTCTCTCAAAGTTACAACTGGCGCTCTGGATACCACTGGTACATACTCAATGACGGACTTCTTTGACAGCGTAGGACCCATGGCAAAGAGCTCCGCAGACGTGCGAACAATGGCCGAGATTCTACTACAACGCACTTTTAATTCTCCAGATTTCGGATCTTGGAAAGGATTATCCGTCGGATTTCTGGACCCCAACGTGTGGAAAATGGCGAAGGAGATGTGCCCGCCTCACGAAGGCACTGCAGAACAAATGGTAAGTAAATTCTTGTGATGCACCAGTCCTCATTACGTCTAATTTTATACAGGTGGAAGACTACGAAAACGTCGTCAAACTCCTTCAGAAAGATGGCTGCTCGTTGAAATACCCTGTCAAAATTGCTGACGTCGATGAGTTGACTGTGAATGGAGAAGACGCCATCATGCCCATCGCATGTGAGCATCAAGTCCCCCAAATCTCAAGTCTACATCGCTAACCGCACGCCTATCAGTCTGGGAATTTAAAAACGTAGGCATACTCCGCTTCATCGAGTCGTTTGACGAATGCCCAGTCCGCAGTGCAGAGGATATTGTCAAATTCAACAAAGAAAACAGCGAAAAAACAATGCCCCCGCGTAAGTTTCTCATAGCCAGAAGCACAACCGAGTGATGATCTCTAAGATTCCATGTCTCCAGCATTCACCGAACAAGGCGATCTCGAAAAAACTCTCGGCTGCAACGACGACCCAGCAAAGATTGAGGGGTTACGAAAGGGGCTCCGACAGGTAGGCCAACAGATAATCAGCACTGCCTTCGACACCCAGGGCGTGAACCTTATCGTGGCTCCCGGCGATAGTTCTCTGTGTATACACGCGGCCGCAGCAGGTAAAAACACCTCATGAAAGACAAGAGTGGAGCATATTTTGCTAACTTCAGTAGGTTATCCACTCGCAACGGTGCCTGTCGGTCAATTGCGTTACAACGGACGACCATTTGGCTTGTGTATATTGGCTAGAGCAAACGAAGAAGAGCTATTATTGCGTTTCATGGCGGCATACGAGGCAGTTGCTGCGCCTCGTCCGGTGCCGAACCTGTAATTGCTCGTGGGTCAATAGCATCTCGTTGTATCTCTTATCAAACTTTCTTATAGCTTTCACGAGAAGCGTCGTGGCGTATCTTTATATATATATCTATCCACTATTAAACATTTCAGGTTTTCTAGAAAAGTATGTTCCTAACTTTCTTTGATCCACACGTTCAATTTCAGGACAGCCCTGGTTACAATGTACGTATATGCGGCGATGAGTTAAGCTCCAACGAGGGGAACTGTTCAGTTGTTCCACCCCAGAGCAGGAGCCACATGAACCAGAGGATACTTAAGTTTGTTCCCGCTGTCATCTCCAAAGCAACAAATAGTAAGTTTCTGCCACAAATTATTTACTACTCCATAGTGTGCCAATGGCATGGCGTATCGCGCGTAGGACAACAAGCTTAACTATATTCTTCGTATAACCCTCTAGTATATCCTTTTAAGTTTACTCCTCAACTATATCTATCAGTCCATCCTCATCTCATTCGTAAAAATGGCTAAACAGCCAAGTTAGCACCATTACAGAGGTATATGATGTGACCCCTCCGCCATGTTTCCTGCGACATTTAGGAAGTTTTTTCCATAGAGTTTTGAGCAGTGTCTCCTCTACCCGTCCTATCTTTTCTTCTCCTTCATATTCTGTACATCCCATAAAGAAGAATACCTAGCATGTCAAGATCATCCCTCAGGACATATCACAGAACATAGCACATCAGTAACATATCAAATCTTTGTCAATATTCGCAAAACATCGCAATGCAATTCGCAAGTATATTCCTCATGGCAGGCATAGCCTTGTCCATAACACCTCCCGATGCAACCCTTATAGAACGCGGAGCCACGCTTGCAGAACCCGGCCAGCCCCAAGACGTGGTAACCACCGACAACAACATTCTCAACGGCACATACCACCCCAACGTCGCCCAAACCACGCCGTCCAGCAATCATACTCTACCTCTACAGCTCGTCAACAAATTCAGTGGCGGCCCCATAAACGCTTACATCCAAGGCCTGGACATGAACGGCGCCATCGTCTTCATCACCGCAGACGGCAGCCTCGTATACCCCAGCTCCAGCGGCTCTTCTCTCCCCGTCGAGATCAAGCAAGACATTGCAATTCCTCTCCCCTCCATGAACGAATCCATCACCCTCAACCTCTCCATCCCCCTCAACTCGGGAAGAATCTACTTCTGCGAGGGCAATCTCACCTTTGCCATTCTCGACCGCGGAGACGGCGAAGGCCTCGTACAGCCTTCCCTCAACTCTCAAGATCCCAGCGCCTCCCTCAACTGGGGCTTCATAGAACTGACGTACCCCCAAGACGGCTCAGTCTACGCCAACATCAGCTACGTCGACTTTGTCGGGCTCATCCTCAGCATGGTCCTCTCGACCACAGGCGGAGGAACTCCCCAAATCACCCGCGGACTCCAGCCAGACGCCGTTCCCAGAATCTGCTACGGTCTCTACGACCAGAGTCTCAGGGACGACTACCACTGGCTCGGAATGTGCGTCATGTCCGACAAGGGCCGTCCCATCCGCGTCATCTCCCCAAACTACTACCATCGCACCCACGAAAGCGCCTTCAAAGAGTACTGGACGAAGTACGTCGACCAAGTTTGGGAGACCTACTCAAGAACGCCCCTCATCATCGACACCCAACGCGAATTCGGCAACGTCACATGCCTCGTCGCCGACGAGACGCTGCGCTGCGCCAACGACCCCCATCTATACCTCAAGCCCTCGGCAGCCGACATCTGGGGCTGCAACGGCGGCCCCTTTGCCCGATACGAGGACGAGGCTCCCATTCACCTTGCCATCGTCCCCCGTCTCTGCGCGGGATTCGTGCGTTCGACGCTTCTCCTCCATGGAGGACACGTGCAGCCCAGTTTGGGATCGGAACATCACTACATGGTCAGCCCGACGAATCATTATAGCCGGCTTGTGCATGAATTGCAGTTGGATGGTAGGGGCTACGCATTTTCATACGACGACGTCAATCCTAACGGGAATGAGGATGCGTCGGGGACAGTTGCGGCCGGGAACCCAAGTCTACTGACGATTTATGTTGGCTCTCCGCCGACAGATGTATAAATCAGATAGGCTGACAGCAGGAGCTACAGGAGACGGCGGTGTACACGAGAGCTTTGAGATGGTTTCAATGTTGTTTCTCTTTTACTGGATTCTGCATTGATGGCTTTCACTACATAGCACGCTATACTACCAAAATACAAACGTTGATATGACCAATGTGACAACAAACACAAACAATGCAATGCAAACATGACGTATATGCCACCCCAACACGAGATCTCATTGCTCAAACGCCTTGAATGCGCAAAATGTTACTTCAACGAATGGAATGCGCATCAATTCGCCAATATGCTCGCAGAATACCCGTACTTGTTGTATTGAGAAACGCCGCGCTGGTGTATATATGTACTGTAAACATGGCCATAAAGCCTTATCGGAGCAGCTAAGGGTTTTCACATCCCGTTTTCCATCAAAAACTCATACGAGGGGGTATCTTTCAACTAATCCGCCGGAAAGGAGTGACGCGTTCAATTCGGATATGCTCAAATGGCTTCAAAAAAAAAAAGACTGTCTCATTGGTGCAGGCTGCAAATCACTGCACAAATCGCGCCGTGAGGCGGAACGTTTTTCCATGGGCTGTCGCCAGGGACTATCTCGAGGTGTTTTCAAACAATTAAAAAAGTTGAAGTAGTGAATGCTGAGCGTGGCAGTATTTCATGCCAGCAGTACAAGAAACGGCAATATACATAGAACGAGAGTCGGGCTGCCGCTCCGGAGAAGCGACGCAGCCCCTGAGGAGCCAGTGGTTTGAGTGGGCTGGGCTACGCTGGATGTACCCTCTTGGCCGTTGAGGCCCATGGCAGGCTCGGTCGAGGACGGGGGGGCAAAGGTAGCTGTGCCGGTGCTATCTGCAGTAGCAGAGGCAACGCTCGTATCCGTGGCCGTAGCGATACTTTTGTTGCCGGTGGAGGAGCCGGTACGCTTGGCAAATCCTAAATCCAGTTAGTATTCCGTTGGGTCTGGCAGGTCATATATTCGCAAAAAGAAACTCACCAATTCGCTTCTGGTCCTTGTCGAAGACGGCGTAGACGTTCTTCAGGAATGTGTCGCCAAAGAGCCAGGATCCCTGGACTACCTCATAGCCGTAGACGTTGCTGGTGCACTTTCCGGTGCTATCCTTGGGGGAGATCCAGTCCTCGCTGGAGATGGCATGATCAACACCGGAAAAGGTGACGACCAAGGGGGTAGTGGTGTCGCAGGGAACTGTCCAAGTGACACCGTCTGAGCTCTGCGCTCCATCAATGACAGAGTGAAGAGCCTTGACATTCTTTGCCGGGCCGAACATGTAGGAGGTGCCGGTATCAATGTAGGCATTGATGCCACCAGCACCGCCCTTCTTGCCGTTGTAGGACATGTCGTCTAACGGGATGGTCCAGTCGTTACCAGTGGGGATGGAGGTATACGTGATGGCGCCGGTGTACCTGGAAGGGTTTGTGGCACCAAAAGTGACCTCGCCGTCGTTGTAATTATCAGATGCTCGAGCCAATGCGACAGAGAAGATGCTCGAGCTCAGCATGCCAGCACCCTCCAACGCCGATAGGAAATTCTCATTGGCACCACTGTTCATGGACATGCCGAGAATGCCATCAAAGGCAAAGTGCACAAAGTCCGAAGAGGTATTGGTGGCCAAACCAAACTGATATGACAAGCTCATGCCTGCCACTTCGATGGTGTCGGTGACCAGCGAACCACTAACAGATCCAGACCCATAGGCGATGGAGAAATCCTTTGAACTGGACTTTAGTGTAGTCGAATCCTTGGGTCCGAAGGAGTCATGCAACGAGCAGGCTTCCGATGTGCAGTCGGTGCCCATGACCCAGCTCGAACCAGCTCCGGTGTCGAGCAGCATGTAGAGCTTGGTCTTCCCAGAACCAAGCAATGCCTCCACGAAATACGAATAATCGGTTCCGTCCTGGTCGAGCCCCGCAGTCTTTGGGGTTTTGGGGTCAACAGCCTCCATGATATGGAACTGGTTGCCTCGTTTGGAGAGATTCGAATCATGCTTGGAATCGGTATTCGAGGGGCTACGTTCGTTGTATTTGTGAGCCAGCAAAGCCGCTTGCCATGCAGCCTTTTGTTCTTGCGATGCAGGAGCCTGGCGAATCATGGTTGGTCAGCATGCATGCATAAGCGCCGTGTGAGGTTTTCGACTTGGACTTACACGTCTGGATGCTCTTCGTCTGATGTCGAATGTCATGCCATTTTCCACACTCCTCTTTGCCTCACCAGCATTGTGATCTTCGAGCTCCTTCAGCCACGGCGGCGTATACGGATAGAACGCAAGGGCGCCCGACGCATACAAAGCCAGCGGCGCCAGCAGGACGGTATTTGGGCGCATGTTGAATTAAGAAGCAGCGGTTTGGGGCTCGAGAAGCCCGGGGAGTCAAGTTATTAGGTGATTAGAAATTACGCATATAACATTGCCAGATTACTGGAGAGGAGCAAAACAATTGGAGGGGGGGATTTTGGATGGCGACAAATTCGAGGATGGCGAGCAGAGCAGATGCAACGAGTACTTGGACGGAGAGGGAAGGTCAAATTCAGACAGGGGAGAGACAAGATGCTGCAGATGGATTCGAATCGGACAGTCGGATCGGTATCGCAGTTGAGACGAGGGAAATCGGAAGAGGAAGCCGATTAGCTTATGCAAATGCCAGGACAAGCAAAAACAAGGAACGATGCGCTAATATTAAAGGATAGACGATGAGCTGCAGCCCGCTAAACGCGACGGATAGCAATGGGGGGAAACAAATGATAAAATAAGCAAAATGATTAAATAAGTAAAAGAGATGAGGGGGAAAAGACTAAAAGGAAATGGCAAGTCTATATGGGTAGGAGGAGGAGGAGGAGGAGGAGAGTAGAGGAGGAGAGGTAGAAGGAGGAGGAGGAGGAGGAATGGCGATGGCGGCGATGAGATGAGGGGAGGCGAGGAAAGATAAGTCAAGTTCAAGCTTGGATAGAAATTGGACGAGGCCCTTATCGAGGCCAACGGACGCTAAAAGCAACGCAGCAGATTGCCCTGGAATAATCGAACGTCGCTTTTGTGGAGTGTGTTCAGAAAGGAGCAGAGCTAGGGAGATGGAAGCGAGATGTCCAAATTAATGAAACCCTCGGGGCGGCCCTGTCACTACAAGTACTAAAACCAAGGCGCTACCAAAAAACCCGCCGGCCGCGCAGGACACAGACAGTTTTGGCGGTCTTGCGGGTTCTAGCGCGGGGAAAATGCGCGAGCGGGCTTGTACAGGTACCGACACCAGCGGCGGCGGTACCAACATGAACATGACCCGGCGAACGCCTCATCCGTCTTTTTTTCTTCTCTGGTTGGAAACTCTTGCAGCTGATGGCCCTGATGGTGCATCACCTGCTGTCCTTTCCGCAAGCCTCGCTGCAAGCCCTGTCTCGAATCGGACTCTGTCCGCATCGTCGTCTGCTCGTCAATCGGGACATGATGTTTCGTCTCGCATCGTGTCTTTTCTCTCCGTGGCGTGGCGCTTCCTTCATCTATCGTATCGTATCGTGCATGGCATGCGGGTTTGCTGCGTATTACCTCACGTTGCATCCAGTGGAGGTCATGCCCTGCTTAGCACGTTCCGGGGCCTGGATTGAGCGATGGCCACTGATTCGATACAGTCCCAGACCCAGGTTGAGAGCACACCACCAGTTTAACTGGAACTGAATCGGGTTGCATTGGCTCGAGGCTGCTAAGCTCGAAGCGGCGCCGCTCAAGGCTCCATCCCACGATACTGGATTGCCGGAGTATCAACGAGGCTCCATGCTGGCATCAAATCGAAATGAAGTCGTTGCAGTACCAGGGTTGGCTGTTCGGTCTGCTGCAAACCATTCAACCAACTCCAACTGATCCGCATGCCAACCAACCCGCTTGGAGCCAAGTGAGTGCTGTGTCGCTAGAGCAAACGACCAGACGCAAGAAAACCACCGCCCGAGACAACGGCAAGGATCTGTCTGGATGTCAAGTACGAGTAGCATCTACTAAGAGGCTAAGAGACCAAGAGGGCAGCTGGAGCTCAAATGGGGGCCCCTCTAACCCTTGCACTACAGCAGACTAAAACTCCCCCCAAAATGCGGCTCAGACTAGCATCAACACTTGCAGCAAACTCGAGTCTCAGATGAGCCAGTGGAAAGACGAAGCTCGGCTCTGCAGTGACGTGAATGGCTTCAGTGTTTTCTTTCTTGGGATAATACTTTGATGTTGCTGCAACACATGACAGCCTGTCTTTTGCCTCTGGATGTCATCTCGAGTGCCGCATGGAAGCTACTGGGTAATGGATGGCCGTTGGGAACCGAGGATTGACCCATTGACACCAAACGGCGGAATTACGCCAGTCCGTCCCTGCATCGTCTCTGTTCTACCCGAGATGCGGAAAACCAAAACCAAAACTAAAATCAAAGAAAATCAAATCAACAATTCAGACACCTGGAGATGCGGCGCAAATCATATCTCATCTCATGTCTCTCGCTTGTCGTTCGTCGTTTCGTTTCAACGCCCCCCCTCGAACCGCCGCTGCCGCTCGGCTTTTTCGCCCTCTAAAATCGCCCATCCCATCCGCAGGCAGGGCGACCTGTGCCTAGGTAGCCGAGCGGGCCGCTACTAAACGAAACATGGAAAGCCTCCAGCGCTCGAGGCCGCCAATCCCCATCCGGCCCCAGCACCCCTCCAGCGCCTGAGCCTAGCCCCAAACCCGTCCAGTCCACTGAACCCTCGCCCTGCACCTTTGCCGATGCGCAGATCGAACTTCGCCAATGCATGGAAGACTTGGAAGCTCACCTGCGGCCTCTGCACGTGCTAATGCACGTATGTGCTTTGGTTTCATGTGTGTCAATCATTACATATGTGTACTTGCAACGGCGCCAAGGACCGGCTGTGAGTCCATGTACCACCATCTGCATGTCGCACTTCGACCATCCATCCGTACCTCCTATCAATGTCGATGGAGATGTCGATGGAGATGTCGATGTGGCTGCTGAAGCGAGTCAGAAGCAGGGAGATGACAAGAAAAAGTCTCACGATCCAGCCTGTCATCTGCAGCTGCGGCGTGCGCGAGGCGGGAATTGCCAATCACGGCCATACACGTCGACTTCAATCATGTGTGTCTTCAGCTTTCTTTTCTTTTCTTTTTCTTTCTTTCTCTTTTTTTCCCATTCCTCTTTGCGATGAATCCCGAGTCTGCCACTCACAATGCGGTTGGCTGCATCACCCGTGTGCCTGTACAAGCCGTACTTGTCTCTATACTTGCTCGACATTGATACCACCTTGCCTCCCAGTCTGTAACATCTGATATCAGTTGACGCCTGTTCTGGAGCTGCTGTGTCGGGGCAACGGCTCTGTAGATCATGGAGCTAGCGCCAGGATTCATCTCCAAAGGCCCGATCACCCAGGCCTTGGGACTTGGGACTTACACCCGCGTCCGCGCGCTACGGAGTTATGCTGCCACAATTTCCACGATCTTGTTCTACATGCATCTACGGAGTACCTAGCTGATCGGATGTGCTCGTACGGAGTACCTAGTGATTGAGCCTATTCAATCTTCCGGCTGTTGCTGTCGCCATTCACGCTGAAGACAATCTCGTTTACTTGTCCAGCTCGTCTACGTTCTTCTCATCTCCGCGCTCTTTTCTAAAATAGCAGTAGCTTAATCCTTTTCTTAGAGCCTCAACTCCATGCATTGCATTTTCGCTTGTCTTCTTCCCCCTCCCCACCCTCATTCTCGCTTCTCTTCTTCAATGCCGCTGCTTGCTCAACACCCCCCGTCGGCTTGGCGCCCCGGAAAAGGTCTCCTCAACGCCGCTCGCCATCAAATTCCTAGATTCATGCATCTCTAATCCTTCCATCTGTCAAAGCTCATCCGGTCACATCTCTCCTTACGTAAATTAACTCGGCAGACAAGTCTCATGCGTCAATATCCTCGTCATCCACCGTCTTTCGGCAGTTTACGGACATCAAGCTCCCAGTGAATGACCAACCCCGGCTTTGGAATGCGGCCGATGCTGGTCTTAATCTTTCCGGCATACCTACCTGAATCCCAAATCACCGCAGCTACGGAACTGCAGGTAGGCCCAAGGAAAAAGAGCTGGTATCGGCTGGAGAAGAAGAAAAAAATCAAGGATTGACGTGCCTCGAGTAAACAACCCCGGCATTCAGCACGGTGCACCTTATTAAACTATGTCCAAACGCGGAGACTCTGGCCTTGCTCACAGCCACATCATCCCCCCTAACCCTTGAACGCTATGGCTCGATTTCTTTCGTGCATAGGAGTGGGAAAAGAGGTTTTAAAGTTCTTACTGACCAAATGGGAAGACAAAATAACCGGCGCCTTATCCATATCTCTCTCTCTCTCTCTCTCTCTCTCTCTCTCTCCTCCTCATCGCTTATACAGCTGCGGAATTATAGGTCCGGATCCAACTCGATGCCTGTTCCAAGAATCTCGCTCCATCCGACTTTTCCTCCACGCCGCTCAGCAGCGCCAGCCTCGTAGACTCGACCCCTTCCCGGCAAACCCTGTCACACCAAGGCCTCGCCGCAATGTTTCTAAAAAAATACCACACAGACTCATTCCGCCAGTGAAATGAAGCCGCCAGCCTCGTCGCCTCGCTAACAACCGACGCCGCGTATTCCGGGTGCCGGTCCAGGAAGAACATGAGAAACGCCCACCCGGAGATGTCGTCGTGGTGGGCCATGGCCCATTTCTTCGCCGCGTCCAGCATGCCCGAGAGGTTGTCTAGCACGCCCGGGAGGTTGTTGTCCTTGTCCCCTCGCGACGCCGTCTTCTCGGACACGGCCTTGGTCAGGTACCGCGCGTGAAGCCAGGCGTAGTAGTTGCGTGGGTGTCGCTCGGCGGCTACCGAGATGACTCTTTTCATGGTGTCTGTGGCGTCTATCTCGAGGCCGTCATCTTGGAAGCGCTGCATCAGCCATTGGCGATGGCTCCATAGCGTGGGCGATTTCGTATGGCGATGGAGGCGGCTTGTAAGGAGGCTGTCTATCAGGTACTGTTCATCGTAAAGCCTTGACTCAATGTCTGTGCCTGACTTGATCGTGTGTTGGAGCAGCCTCTTTCTCGTGTTTGCGGCGGTAAGATGTTCGGGGTCCATCAAGAGCATCACGGTTGTCGCTCTCAACACGAGCCCATCGTCGCTGGTCTCATCCCGCAATCCTTCCACGTGTTTTCGAAGTATCCTGCGGGCATAAAGAAAAGCCTGCACCAATCGTAGCTTTGGCACCGCTATTGCTGGTCCATCTTGTAGCAGTATCGTCTGTCCATCGACCATGTGGCTTCGCCCCAGCAGTTCAATCTCCAACAACTCCGGCAGTCGCTGCGACAGCGCATCCGCGATTCTGGTGAAAACCTGCTCATGGTCGCCATGCTCAATTGCCCTCTTGACATCGTCATCCAAAGCTCTCGACATTGGAAAAACCCACGTCGTTTTGTCGATTCAACGCGTGTATTTTGTATCGCTTTCAAGGTTAGTGCAGGGTAAGTGCATGGTGGAGTCGGAGCACGGCAGACAGCCCACATGCAATAGCTCGGGGTTATGACATACGTCGTTCTTGTCCAGCTGGCCAAAGTCGAAGCTGCAGAGTCACCTGTCCAACCTTCAACCACGAGCCACAAGCAGAGCAGAGCTTCGCCTTTGCCGCAGTTTGAGAGAAAGCGGCAGTGGGAATCAGCATCACCGTGTTACACTTTTCGCAAAGCTACTTCGTCGCTGTCAAGATGGCTTCCCTCATGCTCATCGTCTTCCTCGTCGAGGCCACCGTGAGCTTCATCAACGCCGTCGGTGCGGCCAAGATCAACGACCTGGTACGGCTCGACCATAGCCCCTGGGATCTCTTCCGTGCAAAATCCCTGGCCATTTGGTGCTAATACTCTTTGCGCAGCTCTGGACCCTCATCAACTTCCTCCCCGTGCCGACCTCCAAAGCCGCCGCCGAGCAGCGAACAGTCCAAGCCGACTATCTTGCCGTGCGGCGGGAGATGAACGCCACGAGCAGCCAGGACGAGTTTGCAAAGTGGGCAAAGCTGAGGCGCAAGCACGACAAGCTCCTCGAGCAGCTTGAGGCATCGAGTGCGTACATCTCTCGCATCCCCCGAGACATTATGCATCTCCCTTGTGTACCTACGACCGAAATACTGACCGGTGTTCCGTGCGTTTACATGTGTAGAAAAGGGACTCGATTCCGCCCGCTCCAAGTTCGACAGCGCCCTCACAGCCTTGCGCTTCCTCCTTACTCGCGCGCCGCAATACATTATTCCCTTCTGGTACGCCACCGAGCCCATGTTCTGGCTGCCGCATGGCTGGTTCCCTTACTACGCCGAGTGGATCATCTCGTTCCCGCGTGCTCCCCTGGGGAGCGTCAGCATCGCATCGTGGCAGCTCGCTTGCGCAGGCATCGTCACACTGCTGAGCGACATCTTGACCTTCATCTTCAAGCTCGTTTTGGGCTCAAAGCAGCCAGAAACGCCCGTTACAGCTCCCGCCGAGGAGAAGAGCAAGGAGACGAGCACTACGGACGAGAAGAAGACTTCATAGATGGCGCTAGAGGCAGTTTGATAATAGAGAGAATAACCCTACGCCCCACGTGGTCTCGACATGGCGAAAACCAAGAAAGAAAGAAAAACATGGAAATTGTGTGGAAGAATGTATCTCGTAGAATTTTGACGCAAAGTTCCTCATTGCAAACGCTGAGACTTTGTAACACGACAGAGAAAAGGGTTTATATAGGCATCATATTGACTCTGGCGACCACGGAGAAAAGAGGATCGCTAAAGCTTCGAATGTGCCACCAAAGAAGGAAAAAAAAAAGAAAATTCACGAGTCGCACGAGGCACGAGGCACGAGACCGGTTAGGCGCAAAGGGGGAAACATGTATATCTCATTGATGAAGATACTGCTGCTAGCTGTAGTAGTGCCGATAACTCGAGTATCGGGTGCGCACAAAAAGGCTGAAACGAAATTGCAAAGACGAGAGGAAGAAATTGAGGTTGATGAAGGAAGCAAGGAAATTGGGAAAAGCGAAAAAAAAAAAATCTGGATTCATAGAGGAAAAGTTGGCGGGGATCGGGCAATAGTTAAACCCGTTCCCGTCCCCACTCGATGCCAAATGCTTCAAGTGGTCCCTCAACTAAACACCAAAGGACATTATTGAAGCAATTACACAGATTCCAAGTATGGTGACCAATCATGTGCCATATTTCTTGATCTTTTCATTCGCTATGGACTTTACGAGTGATTCCATTTGTATAGCAGGGAGTCGTGTTGCTAAACATTAAGCTCACTGAGACATCCCGGGACGTTCTGGAGATGCCTCGACGGGAAAAGGTCTGTGCTGCAAAGGTTCGCACTGGCTGGACATTTATTCGCCGCCGCGATATTGCCACTGCACTTTATCGCTGCCCTCCTATAAGTCACGTATAGACAGGTAGATGAGATCGGTTGATCGTAAGCTGAACGTGCCTATGGCTCACTTTGATACCGTGGTTCCTAAGGCTACACAGGCCGATTGTTTCCGCGGCCGGTTATGCTATAGGGTGCTGGTCGAGCAAGAGACATAATGTGTATAGCTCTCTGACCGTTAATATGCTTGAATACGGATGTCTGTGCTTGCAAATACTGTAAGTAGAGAGGCATCAGTAAGTACGTGTGTCTCCGAGTATTTCATAAGAGAAAATGCCATGGTCGTCCAAAAAGTAATGGGTTTATTTAAATATTCACTTCTACTTTCCCAAGTTATCTTTCAGCAGACAAAAGAACACGCCTGATCCTCTTAATCTGACAGCAAAGCCGCACCATCAAGTGAAGAAAGTCTATCAAACAACCCATGGCTCAAGCGGACAAAGATCAACTGATACCTATACACTTGTAGACGCAAAGTAGGGCTGGGCCCTTTTAAAATATGAGAATGTTTAATCGTATGTCTTACGTGATTTCAAATGTACAACGGCATGTTGAAACGAAACGCCACCGATCCTGTAGGCATTTAAAACGGCGCATTGTAAGCGGCAGTGCATGTTTGGTAGCCACATGGCGTTAACAAAGCAGTGGCATTACAATAGGACCCCACCGATTCTATTCTTTCTGCCGCTCTATTGTGCCAATTATAGGTCAGGGATTGTTGGAAAGCACAGCGAATAGGGCTGGGCCAAGAGCCGTGTTTGTTCCATACGCTTGAGGTCTTGGATGCCACACGCGACCAGCATCTCCATGAGACTAAAGGATCAGGATCATGTCGCTAAACAGACATTGCCTCCTTTGTATGCAGACTCATGGTGTCTTGGCTGTGCACATGAAACATAAACAGATCCGCAATGCTATGCGACTCGGAGTGTTGAGTCCTGCCGAATTTGATGCAGGTAGGTAGGGGATGGGCGGTGGCAAACTCCTCTAAAGGGATGGAAAAAACTTGATTTTCTTATACATCACACCGCTCAAATGCATTGGTATGTCTGTATAAACGTAAACGGTACAGCGTTCATTATTTCAGACCAGTAAAAAATAAACCCGCTCCTATGAGAGATCTCAGTCCGGTAATGAAACTTATATACAGAGTACACGATAAAATTCCAGAAGCCTCCTTATAGCTTAGAATGCCTCAGTCCTACAGAGGGAGGTGTAACATCTGTGCCTTTGTCACTATTCCTCGGCCTCCACATCAAATATAACGGTTCAGATGAAAAGTCCTCCATCAAATCCCTGGTCTCATCGCTTGGGTTCTCAACTTTCATTGGAAAATTGATAATGTTCAAAAGGATAGACCCGGCTCTTTCGAGCGTGCCCCTGCTCAGTTGGACACATTCGGTATACCCCTCGACGTCAAACTCGTCAAGCAAGGACTCATATTTGCCCGTAAGGAGCGGCGCAGCGTGAAGGCTGCGGTATTCAGGGAGGATCCACATGGCTTGGCCATCTAGATAATTGCAAAGCCCAAGAATCAGTAAAACTCACCAGCATGGATATCATGGTCGCGACTTACAAATGTGCTCTCGTCCCTTCATCGCTCGGCGGTGCCACACATCCAACTGTCCATACAACTGCTCAGACATCATACGGAGCTGTGACCCCGGCTCAAATCCGTAATGAGGAGTATCAGGCATATTCCTCGGATGCTCTTCGTCCCTCCAATGAGTCACGCAGCAGCCTCCTACAATGAGTGGCGGTGACTTTTCCGTGTCGACGAGCTTGAACCACATCTGTCCGGGACTAGTACGTGCAGCAGCAAGGTACTGAGCCTTCTTTACTGCAAAAGCTGCAGCTTCTTTTGGGCCACCTTCACCGATGTGAGGGAATGTGACTACCATTGGGGCTTGTCTTGGAATGCTCCATGATTTCCAAAAACTGCCAAAGACTCCATCCCAGTCTTTATCAAGATCAACGGGAAGAACTTTGAGATTGCTTAGAGAAGGCATAGTGAGAATAAAGGAGGATTGTTGTCAAGTTGTAAAAGACTCAGAGAGCTTGTACTATAGACATTGAAGAGAGATGCGATGCCCATCTATTTATATGGAAATTCTTCAGGCATCGAGGTTGAAGACAGACCTGTTCCGCCTCTCGCGGGACATGCCACACTGAGATTCGAGCATTCACCCTGTGTAACACCTTGTTGATTTAGTTCCGTATTGCTAGTTTGGTAACTGCTTCTGTGATGATTCGTATACACATAAGGTAAAGCGGACCGATCCGTCCTACATTTGCTGAAGCTGAAGATGGCAGCCCCCTGTCAGAGTGCCTAATTAGTGGAGAAGTCGCTGTGGCTTTCAACGCATTCGGTCAGACCGGCGGATTTTCACCGTACGAATGGCAGGTAGCAATCCTTAAAGAAATAGACCTGCATACGCTGGGTAGCCTGGTAGATGCTACCTAGTTCTCCTTCAGCTCGGTGAAGAGGCGAGCTGATCTACGAGCTGACCTGGTTGTTCTCGCTTCTAACTGGCGCATCTGTCAACTCAAGATTAGGCAGTGCAAGGCAGTGGTACGGAGTCAAGGACAGCCAATCGTTCAATTCAAAGATGCTGGCTGAAAACCCCCCACTAGCTATATGTGTACTAGCAAGCACTCCAGCAATTGTCCAATAACGATCAGTTACACGCTCGCTTTTACAGCAGCAACTTCCTCGTCCAGAGGCAAGATGTGCGGAAGTGGCCCAACGGGAGTAATTGAAAGAGGATTGATGGGAGTATGGCTCTTAGTGTAGTGATTTTTAATGTGCAGGAAGTTGGTGGTTTCTTTGAAACCCGCGACGTTCCAGTAGAGGTTTCGCAACCATTTGTGAATGTGCGGGTAGCCGGAGCGGATGTCTCGAATGTTGCACTTGAAGTGTTGGACATATACGGGCTGCATAGCTGTTAGCAATGTGTTCATGAATTATCTTTACATTCATCTTTGAGAGATGGAGTAAACCTGGAACAAATGAATACCACGTACATCAAACCGAATGATTGTGACATAGCTGTAACCTTCATGTCAGCATTTGCTTCGTCTATCCCAAAACGGAGGCATTTGACGCTAACTTACAGTCTAACGTCAACTTCTGTGAGATTCTTTCCAAACCAAAACGGCCCCTCAGTGGATGCCAAGTGCTCTTCGCACTTATCCAAGGCCTCGAAAAGCTCGGTAACGGCACGCTCGTAAGCTTCCTGCGTCGACGCAACACCGCATTTATACACGCCGTTATTAATGTTATCGTAATGCCAAGAATGGACCTCGTCAATCTGGCCCTGGAGTGCTTCGGGGTATAGAACAACGTTGCGATACTTTTCGTCGATGATGTCGTCAAACTGGGGGTGGATAGATGTCAGCTCGTGTTATATACATTGACAGAGAAATAATCATTAGAAGCCAACCTCTGTGCCAAACATGCGGAGGATTTCGCTACTCTCGTTGTTTACAATGACTTTTTGGATCTTGTCATACAACACTGGGACACTGAACCGGGCTTGGTAGTCAGGATCAGTCTCGTAGTAAACTTGTCGCAGATGAGTAAAGCCTTCATGAAGCGGGTCTGGTATAACATTGTCTCCTTCGGCGTCTGTATCTTCGGCAGTTGCAAAGCGCCATCCTGTAAAACGATTAGTCGTTTGTAGTGTCCCAGGGTCAAGAGTCGCTAGTTACCGCCGTCCTTCAAATACCAGTGCACAGATGTGAATGGGATGATGTCTTCTAGACCCTTGAGTTTTCGAGCAATCAAAATTCGATGCGCCTATTACTTAGATGAGTTTTGACACGAAGAAATTGGAATCGTGGAATGGTGACAGACCCAGGGACAAGCATAGCTGACATAGAGGTGATATCTGCCCTTCTCTGCTGGAAATTTGGCTCCAGATTCTTTGGAGACTTTCTCACGGAGGACGGCAGGGGGCCGCTGGAAGTTACCAGACTTGTCGGAAAAGCTCTTCCAGTTACTAGTAATATTGCCGTTGGACTGTTTCAATGGTGGAAATATTAGCAATGTTCTCTATTGTGGCATGCCAACCCATTTGAGAGATGTAAGTCGAATATCTCATCGCACGGAGCGATGCCATGATACTCACCATTTTGGTGCAAATGATTCACAATGAATAAACACAATTGCCGCAAGAAACAAGAAACTCTGCCATGTTATCAAACAAGAGGGGAAACAAGGCGGCATATGAGTGCCTGAATACATTCTCTGTTATTCACCCTTATAAATCAGCTGCGCGCGCGCTGACTCATGCCGCGCGGTAAATCGCATCACACCAGAATCGTATTTCACTAGTAAATCGGGGAAGCTCCTCCACAGCCTGAGCATATTCATTGGTGAAGTTTATGTAGCAGACGCTTTGTAAGGGCTTTTTTAGGAAGTAGGCCAGACTAGAAAGATGCCAAAAACGGTAAATCGATCCGCCTCTTAATTTAGCGTTGTAGGGCGTAGCTTAGATGCTTGATGAGCTTAATGATGTTGAATACCACATCACACATTTTGGGCATGACCTGGTGCCACAATTGGGAAGACAAGTAAAGAATTCTTAGACATATACAGATAAGTAGTGCCCGGGGTTTCTTTTTAATAACTCTAATAGTCATGTAATTTATCAGGCTGTGAGAGCGAGTCTAATGGAGAGCCTATAGAAACTGTATCTTTAACGATGCCTGTTGCTTAAACAACTGTAGAGTTGGATTTATGAAGGTTGTGCATCGCAATTAGATACAATGCCGAGGGAGTTCTGTGACGACTGCTTAACAGCTACGACGCTGATTGTCTTAATCACAAGTCCCATGAGGCGCGAATCGTATGCTGTTTCTGCGCAGGAGTCTTAAGGAGCGAAGCTGGAGATTGAACTATGGAGTAGGCAATCATTGCATTAACAAGAATTCATCTGCACCTCGCGCGGATTGTGAAACCTCTTTCGCTCAATTCAAGCAACATTCATGAGTTATTCCGATATTTTTCCTACCCATGGCAGCGGCAAAGTCCGCTTCCCCGCTTGTCCTGTAGGCTGTAATACTGAGCCTTGTGTTACTGACAACGTATCGTTCCCCAAGTCACTCGACGGCGGCTCAAGCCGAGAAACGTAACCAAACAAATAAATTGAAGAAAGAAGGGAAGAAGAGGAGAGAAAAGGAAAAGGGAGGCGAAAAATTCAGCTGGGCATCAAACAAGGCTGACCTGTTGTTAGGCTGGAGGTAAGTATTGGGCTGTATGGAACGACAGGACAAGCCGTCATTCTGGAGCCGTGTTTCGAAGGCGAAACATGTTCAGCCCTCCAACAAATCAAGTCGGTCTCAGGCTACAGCTCCATTATCGTCAGCGGCAGCAATGAGCGCCAGCGATAGTCGGCAGCAAGGCCGGTTTGGAAAGAGACGATTCTCGTCACTCTTCTCGGGAAAAGGTAAAGCGGGGAGTGACAAAAGCCGAGACCATTCAAATGATTTTGTTTTTCAAGAGGACAAATCTGGCACAGTCAAGTTTGACTCTTTGAATGAACACGACGGAAAAAATGGGAAACTCCCCAATGCGGACCCTGATCCTTGGATTGAGGCGTACGAAAAACTGCGAAACGACGAGAAAGAAGGGAAACTCGTCAATGCGTATGAAAAGATACTCACTCATCGTGCTACTGTCAAAAATATGGGCACTCGATATGCAGAGGATGATATCCGGGCCGATGCTCCTAACCAATTCGAAGGCCTTACCGAGGCTGGCAGGGTCGATATGATGAAGGCTACTCTAAGTCCTGTTTTAGAAAGAGCTAAGCAAGAGAAGGCTTGGAAGAATGTCGCCCTATACGCCGAAACACTCATCACAACTGTTGGTAAAGGGGTTGGAGATACTCTGCAAGCCCATCCGCCGGCGGCCATGGCCTGGTCAGGCATCTGCCTCTTGCTCCCGGTAAGTGCCCTCGTCTGCAAGTCGCATCCTCGTACTAATCAAATCAGATCATTGTAAAGCCAATCAAAGAAGAAGAAAAAGTGACTGAGGGGCTAGAGTTTGTAATGAATCGCATGGACTGGTACGTCCCACTGACCAAAGTGGTCTTGCAGCGGGAGTGGCCAGAGAATGTCGCACTTCAGCAGCACCGAAGCAGCCTTAGAGACGAGGTCGTCGATCTATTCAAATCTCTCCTACAATTCGAGATGGAATGTGCCTGCCGGGCTTACAGCACACATCCGGTCGTTCGCGTTCTTGGAGACATTGTCAGCTTGAGCGGCTGGGGAGACAAGCTGGAGGCTATCAAAAAGCACGGGGAAGCAATTGAAAAGGATCTCCAGAGTTATGGAATAAACACATTGGCGGAATATTCCTTGCAAACAGCGTCAAACACTAAAGATATCTTGACTGAAGTCAAGAAATTTAACGAGGTTGCCACCAGAGTCGAAACAACGAGGGCTGCTGAGAGGAGAGACGATCTGGTAGGGCTCATCTCGCGATTCGGAGCCACCACGTACCGCGACCAAATGGAATTCAACCCTAAAAGGCATCCAGGTACTTGTGAGTGGTTTTGCAGACACCCAAAGTATACATCGTGGTTAAATTCCACCAAAAACGAATTGCTTCTCGTCACGGCTGAACCAGGCTGCGGTAAGTCGGTACTGGCCCGATTCTTGATCGAAACAGAGTTGCCGTCTCAGCGAGAAGACGCCGTTATTGGATACTTCTTCTTCAAAGATAATCCGGTGCAGAACAACTTGATAAACGCACTGAGCGCCATTCTTCATCAACTACTGAATCTCTGCCCGGATGTTCTTGATACTCTAGGAACAGATATCAAGAAGTTGTCGCCTGAGCTGCTTAAAGACTGTGGCCAGTTATGGGGGCTTATCGAGGACGCTTGCAAAAACCTCACGGAGAAAACAGTATTCTGTGTTTTCGACGCGTTTGATGAGTGCAATAGCGACGGCCGTGAAAGACTCATGCGTCTGCTCGCCTCTCATCAGTTCAGCAGGAGGCGTATACGATTCTTAATCACAAGCCGGGGCTATCCGGCAATTGTTGGACCGTTTCGATCTATTGCTGAGAATCTTGTTCGCCTAGAAGGGGAAGAAAAGAGTGAGAAAGATCAGTTGCAGAATGAAATTGACATTGTTTTCCGCCATCGTGTTGAGAGTCTGATTAAGGACAGGGGGCTCGGCCAAAAGGTATCTGAGCTGCTGTATGAACGACTTCACACGAAGGGAAAGGGACAGCGGACATATCTTTGGGTTCGTCTCGTCTTCAAATTCCTAGACGACAATTACCCACTGAATCTTGATCAGTGGGGGGGCCTTTTGGATCAGCTCCCAGAAGATGTTCCCGGAGCTTATGAAAAGCTGTTATCTAACGTCAAAAGTATCGACCGTACGCATGTCGAGACACTTTTACGTCTCATCTATGTCGCTGAGGAACCGCTGAGTCTGAGTGCAGCAAACGTAGCTGTTAATCTTCGCGGTAAATATTCGCTAGACTCTTTGGATGACCTTGGTTTATCAGATGATGAATCTTTTAAGGAATGGGTCATCAACACGTGCGGATTTTTCATTACCGACTACGATGGCAAACTGTTCTTCATACACCAGACAGCCAAAGAGTTTCTTTCGCCAGTAGAGCAGACTTCCATGGACAAATTGGGCTCTGGGAATAAAAAGGGCTTTCAATGGAGAGGTTCCTTGAGCACCGAGGAAGAGGCTCATCTCGCAATGACTGAATGCTGCTTAGCCAACCTAGCCACATACAGGAAACGCCCGGAAACAAAGCAACTTGAAGCACTCATTGAGGATGCATGGGACCGTGATCAAGCAGTATATGCCGATGGTATAAAGGAGCTCAAACACCGATTATGCGTTTCCGACGGATTCTTCCATTACAGCTCAAAATATTGGCCGAAACATTTCCGAGCAGCAAAACTCCACCTCACAGACATATGCACTGATGGTGTAGAGATTTGGGATGCGCATCAAACTGCCAAACAGGCATTACTTCAAGCCTACCGATTAGTGATGACTTATCCTGCACGTTCCGCATGGCTGTTGTCATCTACTATGATGGCTGAAATCGAAGGCCTCATGAAGCGATACCGATATGGACGTCTCCTAACGGGAGTAAGCTCTGAGTATGTTGCGAAATTTGGCAAAGGTTCGGACAAATTAGAAGCTTGGCCTTCAACGACACTGCTCTCTGTCCGGTGCTCCCCAATCATTTTCGCCTGCCTTTTCGGCTTCCCTTTGTTCATACAAGAATGGCTTGCAGACAATGCCAAGGAAAACACAGCGCAAGATGCTGAACAGAAAGGCCACTCGCACAGCTGCGACGTCGAGGCAAAATTGGCCTTGGTGAACGCGATGTTCACGATTACCGGAAATGCCCAAGAGAGAGAGTACTGTATCTCTGAGATTCTACGCTACGAGACGAAATTCGCACTTGACGACCTTTCTAGGCTTGAGCGTCTTCTTTGGTTTGGGAATAAGATACTCGACGCGGTACCGGGATATCTCGACGACGGAGGGATGGAACTACTCGTTCGTGATCAGTTGAAGAAGTTTGAAGCAACGAAAAGACCTGAGGATAAGCATAGAGGGGACTCTGTCAAGAGAAAACCTAGAAGAGCGGAAACAACTTGATATCCCGTAGATTAATCTGACGCCCAATTGGAGCAAATCCAACTTTTAATGTAAGAGAGACAGTCGAATGAGCCAATCAGTAATATATTAACTGCCTCCCAAGCTTCTTAAACTGGCAAGTGGATAACAGAAAGAGCGAGACTGCAAAATGAATAAGTGCATACATTCAGTAATATCAGAATCGAGTGTATCTTCCAGGCCTCCTTTGCCAGAAGAGGAAAAAGAATCAACCTTTATCTCTTCGACTAATGAGACATCAATCCAGACTCTCAAGATCGAAATGCAAGAATGTCAACCCGCCGGGGCGACGACCTATGACAACAGTTTGGCCATATACAGCGACGCAAGTAGGCCTGTATTCGTGAGGGAGCCAAAGAAGATTCCTCCCGCCAAGAGTCACCCACTCTTTCCCAACGAACAAAGCATAATCGCAAATATCCTGGTTGAGAGATTCATTGGGAAAGGTGTTTTCTGCCAATTTAAGCATTCCGTAGTCCGTTTTTAGATACTGGCCGTCAGTCGAGAATGCCAGCTCCGTGAGAATTTGATCAGTCTCGAGCGTCTGTTGGAGCGCTCCCGTAGCAGCATCCAAGAGCCGTACTGTATAATTGCCCAATGCTAAGGCTAGTATCTTACCGTTGGGTGAGAAGGTAATGGCCGTGACCCAAGCTGAACTGCTCTGTACCTGAAGAGTCTTCTGGAGCGCGCCTGTGACTATGTCCCAGAGCCTCACCGTATAATCAACTGAGGCCGAGGCCAACGTTTTGCCATTAGGTGAGAAAGCAATGGCCCCGACAGCCTCGGTATGTCCTGTAAGTGTTTTCTGAAGTACATGCGTAGCTGTATCCCAGAGCCGTACTGTAGAATCGTTTGACGCTGAGGCCAGTGTTTTAGCGTCTGGCGAAAAAGAGATGGCATTGATATAGTTGTCATGCCCTTCAAGTGCCTGTTGGAAAGTATCCGCCGTGATATCCCAAAACCATACCATACAGTCATCTGAGGCTAACGCTAGTATTGTGCTGTTAGGTGAGAAAGCAATAGCCCTAACCCGACTGCTGTGTTTTCGAGATGTTTGATGATGCGTAGCTGTATCCCAGAGCTGGACTATCCAATCATCTGAGACTGAAGCTAGCGTTTTTCCATCTGACGAGAAGACAACACCATAGACATTAACATCAGGTCCCTTTGGCGTTTGCTGTGAGCTTATAGATGCATCCCAGAGCCGTACCGTGCAGTCGTCTGAGGCCGAGACCAGTGTCTGACTATCAGGCGAGAAGGCAACTGCATTAACATAATCGCTATGCCCCTCTAGTGTTTCCCGGGGCATGCCTGTGGCGGTATTCCAAAGCTGTACCGTGCCGTCGTTCGAGGCCGAGGCCAATGTCTGACCATCTGGTGAAAAAGTAACAGCTCTGACCCAATCGCTATGTCCCTCACACGTTTGCTGGAGCACACCCGTAGTTACATCCCAGAGCCGTACTGTACGGTCATCTGAGGCTGAGGCTAACGTCTTACCATCTTGCGAAAAACTAACTGCCCTAGTTGAACCCCCATGTCCCCTGAGTGTTTGTTGAAGTGCGCCCCTACTTGTGTCCCAGAGCCTGACTGTGTGGTCAGACGAGGCCGAGGCCAGCGTTATACCGTCTGGCGAGAAAGCAACTGCATAAACCCACCCGCTGTGACCCTCGAGCTTCTGCTGAAACAAGCCTGTAGCTGCATCCCAAAGACGTATTGTGCGGTCATTCGAGGCTGAAGCTACTGAGTTACTGTCCGGCGAGAAGACAACAGCTCTAACCCACTCGCTATGGCCTTCAAGCTTGTGCAGGAACGCGCCTGTAGGGGCACGCCAGAGCTGTACCGTGCGGTCGTTTGAAGCCGAGGCTAGTATCTTGCCGTCTGGCGAGAAGGCAATGGCCCTGACCCAGTCGCTATGTCCTTCAAGCATCTGCCTAAACGTGCCGAGAGCTGCATCCCAGAGTCGTATAGTGCAGTCATTTGAGGCCGAGGCTATCGTATTGCCACTCGGAGACACGGCAACGGCATTAACATAACCATTATGCCCCTCGAGCGTCTGCCGGAGCGTGCCCCAGCGGTCTCTGACGCCTACAACTGTTTTGATGAATGATAACCTTTCCCTCCACTGCTCGTTCTGGGTAATGCTGGTTTTTGGACAGAACACGAGTGCAGCACCGTATACCTGTAAAGGAGCGCGTTCTATGATTGATCCATAGCTAAGGACGAATTTCTCAGCATCTCTCAGGAAGGCAGTAAGCTCATGACTATCCATTTGGTGAGATACCTGGAGACAATTAGTCGTGAAATAAGACGAATGGAGGTTAATAATATTCTACCTCCAGCAGCTCTCTTATCGACTTTATCGCGGCTGGCAAATTCCTCGTTAATGACAGACACTCAAGCCAATGAAGGAACTGTGTTTTTAGAAAGCGGAGCACTATCCCGTCGTCCGTCAGTGCCTCTTTGCATTCTGTATCTTTGCTATGTTGACAGAGATGGTCAGCCCAGAATATGCAAGAGTATCGGACTGGAGCTAACGGATCTGGATGACGCGGTTGTGTATCTCTGAAGCCGAAGTCAATGCTGTAGATGTTTTTCTTCAGCATTGCTATTGCGGAGAAGGAGTGCCTACTAATGTCAGCATGTCTTTGTGCAACTCCAGCCAGCTGAAGTGAGCTCCAATTTGTGTATAGATAGTCCTTGGCCGTTACGTGGATGATGAAGACATGATCGTCTCGTAGAATTAGGAACGAGCCGCACATCTTGACAAATTCCTCGATTCTATCCCTATTGATTGGAGGCAGTCCGGATACAATGGCTATCTCCAACAGATGTAGGGGACGATATGCAAGAGTAGCTGCCGTAAGCACGAGCAGACAATACTTTCTTTCGTATAGCTGGTGGATTTGCTCTATCATTTGAGCATAAATCCCCCGTAGGTCTGTTGGTACGTCACTGATTACTTCTAAAACATCCTTGCGCCTGATACTTTGTCTTTGTAGTTGCTGGATGACTAGGGATACCCAGAGAAAATTCCCATGGGTCTTCTCGTGGAGAGTATTCCGAACGAGTTGTCGGAGCTCATCGTCGCCTTGTAAGGACCTGAGTTCGGACACCCTTTCGTCAATATACGTGTGAACAGCGTCAGATACAGACATAGCATTGTTTAAGTCAATACTCAGTCCTAAGTCAAAGTCATTGGACCTCAGAAATCGGTCGACGATGTAGGTTTCCCGGCTGGATACGATCCATTTGGCATGCGAGAAATTAGGCAGAAGTCCCAAGATAAACCCAATGAGACGTTTCAAGTCAGTGCATTCGTCAAGGGCGTCGATGACCAGGTAGACGGTCGTTCCGCTCAGGTCTTGTAAAATCTTTATGAAGATGGCGCATAAGTGGTCCCAGGAATTTGGACTTTCAAAAAGCGCTCCGCCGACAGGATCATACTCCTCACGTACGCGCCAGATAAGGTATGGTTGTTGGATAATGAGTAGGTAGATCAGATTGCGTAGCATGGCAGTACCGTTGTTGAAACGAACGTCGGTTGCCTGGCAGAAGAAGTAGGAGAGCAGTGGGTCGGCATTCGGGTCGCTCAATCTCGTCGATGGTTTTATTTCGTTGATGAGACCACAAAGCAGCATGGTCTTGCCCGTGCCAGGACTACCCTTAATCCAGAGCATCCGGTTCTGCTCGTCGCGCCATTGCCGGAAATTGGGGTGATCGAGGATCCAGCTATATGACCCTTTGAGTAGGCCACCTTTAATATCCTCAATTCGGGCTTTGTCGTCGCGAGGATCGGACACGCAGAGATCTCGTAAACAAGCCTTGTTCGCAGGATTAAGATCAAACCCATTCGTCTCCCTGTCAAACTTGGAATCATCTCGATTGATCGACAGTGGTGTGGGATAGATGGTTGTGATCGGTGGATCTGCGTTGCTATGAGAGTTGGATGAGTGCGCTGAGGCTTGTCAGCGAGAACAATCAGGGTCAGACACACTGCGTATACCTTGTGAAGAATTTGCTGAGGCCAGGCCATATGTAGGTGAGCCATCCTGCGTCTTCGGTTTCGCTGAATCCCCTTCTCTACGCCTGAGATGCTTCAACAATTTCTTCTTGAGAGTAAAGTCGCCCGCCATTGGTTCTGCGAGACTATCGACAATAGCAATGCACTATACGGAGCGCTTCGGTGATTGTTGCGAGTGAAGTCTACGTCAAGATTTCCCCGTCATTCTAACGACCCCCTCACGTACTTTGGGTCACACACAAATGCGGGGTATGAAGAAGGCCTCACAGGACAATTCGAATAACTGGACGGTTGTATTTATTTGCTTCTTCAATCTTCCAGCTCTAGAGATTCTTAACCCTAATATTTCATTTCACTAAGATGCAGTCTCATGGCCAAGTGCGATCTAATGTCTATTGCTACACATTTGTAGAAACTTGCTGTAATTCGCTGTAAGCGCTTACAAGTATTCACTAACATGCGGTGTACGCATACAGGTTGAACGAAACCGGTTCCAATAAAAAGCCTCATTTACATCGCAATTTTGATTCAAATCAGGGTTAGAATGGCTGAAAATGGACTACAGTCACAAGGGACTGAGACCCTTCGGCTGGTTATACTTGGTAGTGAGATTATGAGACCTGGACCTGAGTCTATCTGACCACATCGTATGTAGTGTCCAGAAATGGCTTTTAGTTCGTTGATTCGTGTAGGTAGTTGATTGGAGAATGACGCTTTCCAGACTGCAAATTATATTCGGCATTTACATTTTCTACCAATTCCTGTCTGATGAAACATACTAGGAATCATTCCATTCATAGACACATTCGCAAGGCCATTCTGCACAAAGAGAACAGTCATTGACCTTATTACCAGGAGACTATAGCAAGACTTAATACTCCTGGGTTAGCAACATATACACCAAAATATTGTTTAATTCTACCATCTACGCTACGTACACTTCTTGATAGCCGGCAGCCATATACATGTTTACATACCTATTTCTTAACGTGGTTAACCACCAGTTGTCTAAATTCCTCAGGAGTCACCAACTTGATCCCGAGCAAATCGTTGTCTCTACCATACGGGACGCCCGCTTCGACCTCGAGCCCAAAAATAGTAGAACCAAGGGAATCTCGTACAACCTCAAACTCCATACCTCTCACGGCCTCGACAGCTTCGTATGCAGCAGCAAGGGAGCTCTTGCTGTCTTGGTGAATTGTGGAGAGCTTCAAGTCAGGGCGACTTTCCTGTACAGCGGATAGGATTTCATTCTGGGTTGCCATGCCGGTGGTTGCGTAAAGGTCTTTGCTTTCGTCTCTTTGGGATTTAGCAGGACGTTGGAGACAGCCCGACCAGTGTCTGCCAGAGTGGTGATGCCGACAGAAATATCGCCCCCGTTCCATACATTAGCTGTGGCGGTTTTCCACTCCACAAAGAAGTAATCAAGGCCCCATTCGAGGAACGGTCCAGTATATAAGACTCTATACGTCATGCGCGATTCTTTCAGCAGGTCCTGGATAAGACCTTTCTCACGCAGGTAAGGAACGGCTCGAACTGACGGGATGCTCACGTCAAGGCCGTAATCAGAAGGAAGAAATCTCTTGACACCAGCTATGGTTGCGGCTCCAACAAGCGCCTTTTGTTCATCATAGTACAAGTGGTTCATGGCCGATACAACAGCGTCCTGTCCTTTGAGAGCATCCAACAGGGAGTCAGTTGATTTGTAATCGATTCTCGCAATTTTGACGCCGTCAAACGCAATTTTGGATGAATTAGATTCCCGTAAGAGAACCGTGACGTTGAACCCAGCTTCTTTAACGGCTTTGACGACCGCTGGCCCGAGATAGCCAGTTGCACCAGCAATTGCAATATTCCTGAAGGAGCTCATTATTGGTGCTATTTGGTGAATTAAAACAATAGATGATCATATATGCAAACGTTGATGCTATCGATGTAGATAAATCTAGGTTATTGGGGGTTTCCATATCTTTTTATGTCCTCTACCAGTTCGATAATCCTGAATAGTTTTCCCCATTTCAATATGTTTCCAACTTCTATGCCAACAACTACTTTATTAATGCTGATTATTTATCCAATGTGAAAGAAGCATCTTGTATGACATTCGAAAGTAGGACGGGTAGTAATGTATAGTCAATTGTCTATTTCTCAAGTTCGATTTTCATCAAAACATATACTAAACACTTGAGAATAGCTCAGTCAACAAGACGAATCCGGCAATTGCTCCATCAAACACCTCAGGCAGCCTATGATTGGGAAAATGAAACATGTTGCCGTTTGTAACAAAAATAGTCTCACTGGCTAAGATCCGTAGGAAACCCCATGTTGGATTTCCAAGCAACATTGATTAGCTATTATCTGCGTACGGCTGCGCATAGGCCTCTAACTATAAAACATCTCTCTGGCGGACGATGATTTATCATCAAGCCTCCCTCGTTACGGCGTCGCTCGACGATGTGCAGATAGTGTGGACATCTCCTTTCAGTAGGCTGCATTTTCCCATCCGGGTAACCTTAAGTTTCGACCCTAGCCATGTTCAGAATTAGGCACCCTGGTAACAAATGCAAAGACATACATACTTAATTTGTAGTCAACGCCTCGTCATTCGCCGGTAAGCAACCGGGGATTCAACAGCCTGAGCCTCCGCAGATGATCAATACCCAAGTCCAGATGAAACACAAACAAGGGCGGTGATAAAACTCCTTGAGAGCGTTGCTCGAACTTTTATCATTGTACGCATTTGGCATCTATATGATTTGTAATATCTACTGGATAGGTTAGATACGTGTATCGGCGTGAAGGCTAAAGTCTTTGGCACAGAAGCTTACAGGAGAGGATGGATCCGTTCACTAATCTTTGTCATAATGGATTTCCAGAAATGGACATTGGTGGATTTGATCATCTTGTCAGAGGCCGGTCAGTCCCCCACCAACAGCAAATAAGGTTGAAGTTAAAGCCGTTTCCACTCTTGTATCTCTTTGCATTATATTTAACACGTGTACGAGGTATGTAGTTGTATCTGGCTTACAAATCTAGTGATATCAACGGCGACGGAGCTTCTATTCTCTCCTGTCCGATATACCAAGATCATGCCTTGATACTGCTTTATGAGCCTGATTAGCAGTAACGATATGAACTGTGACACGATATCGATCAATATTCAATATGTTGCTGAAGCCATCTCATATTAGCAATCCCGAACTTCGAGTATTTGTCCATCAAGAACGCATCTATCAGAAACGTCGTGCATTGCTGAGCGTTAGCGGTTCATCCCCTACGTTATTTGTCGTCAGCATTTTGACAACATGGACAAAGATAGCGAGGTGGCCTCCAAACACATGCTGGACTACAATGCCGAAATGGAACTGAAGCAGGGCTCGCAGTCGGATACGTCTTCTCCCGATGAATCACCCCCCACGCCACCCGCTGCCGCTTCTGCAAGCAGTCCTCCCCCAGATGGCGGACTCAACGCATGGCTTCAAGTTTTGGGAGGATGGGTGGTTTTGGCAGCTTCTTGGGGCCTTGTAAATACCTTTGGAGCATACCAAACATATTATCAGACAGTGATGCTCACATCCGAGTCAGCGTCTACGATCTCTTGGATTGGCTCTCTACAAGCATGCCTTCTATTCCTTGGAGGCCTCATTTCAGGACCTCTCTTTGACGCTGGTTATTTCACGCCGACTATGATTGGAGGGCTGCTGCTCATTTGCTTTGGAATGTTTATGACATCCATCTGCTCGGCTTACTGGCAAGTGTTGCTTGCGCAGGGAGTCTGCGTTGGCATTGGAATGGGCCTGACATTTTTGCCCGCTACGGCCATTCAGGCGCAATACTTTGCGAAGCGACGGGCTTTTGCCATGGGCGTTGCTGGGACTGGGTCCCCTGTTGGGGGAATCATCTTTCCTATTATTTTCAGCCATTTACTTCCGAAAATCGGCTTCGGGTGGACTACTCGAGTCATTGCGTTTATCATCCTAGGGCTCTCTGTTATACCCGCCATCTTTATGCGGCCTCGGTTGCCAGCATCAGGAAAAATTCGCTCTCTTGTCGATGCCTCAGCTTTTAGAGATATGGCCTTTGTGAATTTCATCATCGGTAGTCTGCTGACCTTCCTGGTCCTCTACACTGCGTTTTTCTACATCCAAGTGTTCCATGAGCTCAACCATTTGTCGACCATTGAGTTTGCACCGTATACAGTTAGATTGCTGAACGTTGGAAGCGTGATTGGCCGTTTGTTACCCATGTACCTCAGCGACAAGTATGGGGTGCTGAACGTTACAATCTTTTCCACCTTTGCCTCTGCAATTTTGGCATTTGGTTGGATGGGGATCAAAAATTTGGGCGGTATCGTCGTATTTACGCTTCTGTATGGAATTACTTCAGGTGCCACTGTTGTGGGAACACCAATCGTCGTCATGGTCGGATCTCCCGACATGTCACGAATGGGAACCCGTTTAGGTATGTCATTTATTTTCTTCGGAATAGCAATTCTTGTCGGCACGCCTATAGCAGGCGCCATATTTGGAGATTTTACACGCACGCGTTGGCTGGGTGGTATTGGATATTCCGCTGGAGGTTTGATCTTTGGAGCGGCTTTTATGTGCTTGTCGTGGATTCCCATGAGCAAAAAGAAAGGGACATGGAAGATTTAGCTAGGTGATTGTAATCAGTGTTGAGTGTAAAATGGAGAGAACCCTGTTCACTATCTCTCAAGCCTTTGGACTTCTGACCCTGACGACAGAAAACTCAAGAACTTAATATATTTAATTCACGTATAGTTTTAACAGTATAGCGCAACTTCACTCATAAAAATAGTTGGGTCACCAGTACAATGGTAATTGGGTTGTATAGATTGTCATGTCAACTATGGGCCTCTGTTGAAAGTACACCTGATGCCTCAGTACTGAACTGTGATGCGGAGTGATGATGAGCTTGTTAATAAGAGGAAGATATTCGTATCCTAAATACTACTGGCGATCAAGGAAATCGTTGATCAATGCTGCATATGCATCAGCATACTGATAGAGGAATCCATGTCCTGCGTCTGGGAATATATGCAGCGCAGCATCAGGATGGCTCATTTTCTCCCACAACAGGATGCTGTTTTTAGTCGGTATTATAGCATCGCCAGAGCCTTTTCCATTAATTAGCGCTTATGGAGTTACTCATCGATTATTTACTTACCAGTGGCGATGAGAACCGGCATCTGGAGCTCATGGAGCCGATCATACGATCCGTCCTTTGCATTGTTGGGGTCGATAAAATTAAAGTAGGCGGCATTTTGCTCTTCAGCAGACTCAAGGCTTGCCCAGTCCCTGCGATTTTGGCGCCCGGTAGTGATTCTTCCCCATGCTGCGTGGCCAGCGGCTTGGCCTTGAGCGGAACTGGTGATAAAGGTTGAGATAAATGCGTCTTTATGCTCATCAGCAGTAACGGCTGTTTGGAGCTTTTGCAGTACTGCAGGTGGGCCAAGTTGAACGCCTTCGCCAATGCTTGGTGTTGTAGCCGAAAGAATAAGATGGCGAACAAGCTTGGGCGCATTAAGAGCAATCATCTGGGCATTAAATCCGCCTCCCGAGAATCCCATAACATCCACTTGCTTCAGGCCCAATGTGTTTATGACGTTAATAAAGTACTGTGCAAGCTGAGCCATAGTTGACGGGAAATGTCCTCCAGATCTTCCAGAGTTCGGGGGATCGATAAGAATCACTGGCCGCTTTGCTGCCAATGGATCAATGAGAGCTGGATCCCAATGATCCATGGTGCCTCTTTAGTACATTAGTAATTGAGACTTCCATGTCTTTCCTGCGAATAGAGTCACCTATAGTGCATGATCAAAACGAGAGGGACACCTTCTACCAAGCCCAGTCGTCTGTAAGCAAACTTTGTGCCATCAATTTTTACAAATTCATCTTCTGCAGTTGCATAAGTTGACATTTTGATATGTTGCTTGATGATATAAGCGGTATGTTCTAAGATTCGAGACGTTTAGTTCTAGTTGGTGGGAGAAGGAAAAGTCTATGTCGGAAGGTTGGAAGATAAAGAAATACTTTCGAGATCATCCCTTGATTTTTTATATATATAATTTTCAATCTGGATTTATCAGCATCTCAACGCCGATTTTTGATACTGAACAGAACATCACTTCCTCTTGATAGTGGTGATGGGACCCACAACCTCACAATGAGACCGGAATCAACGTGAAGATTTGGATTACTGATCGGGAGATATCGAGCTTAAGTCAATGGCACGCTTCTTCGGTCTTTAGGACAGTATATATCAGTTACTTGCTTGATCAGCACGGTATTTCATAGCATGACGTGAAGTGGTGGAAACCAAAAGCATCGGATCGAGGCAGCGGCACCCCGGTCCTCGGCGGAGTTATCACTGCTACACCATTGTCCTCTTCCCCTCAACATCTGCGCTAATCTGATGTGGAAAATGGTCGTGGGGACCTGTCAAGTTTAATTTTACCTCCTCGCCACCTCGTTGCCAGTACATTATTGGTTCTCATGCGATTCTCTCGGTTCTTACGACCTGCATATACATGACCCGTGCTAATCCAATTCTAAACACCACTCTACTGGATCTTCAACTGTCATCTGATGGTTTTGTAAGTTCTTAAAACGAGAAAGCTTTCGAGATCGAGAAGCTTCTCTCATATCTCCGTATTGCTAAAACAAAGGTTGTAAATCAGTTCTGCAGCCAGCAAAACAAAAGAGAATGCGATTGGGCCCTTTGGTTGACCAATTGGACCTTATTTCTATTGATTATTATACGTACGCCGTCATTGGAGGAATTATGGTTGCCGCATGATAGTACGTGCAGGTAAAGCTGGCCGCAAGGCTCTGTAAACATAGGAGCAATCTTTGCGGGGCAGCATCATCGCCTAAGTAGATCACAATGTTCGTGGCATTTTTTTTTATTCAGTCAGTAGATAAAGGGTCCCCTGTAAATTTAGTATAATTTACAGCATTACTTTTGTTCACTTTATTTCGCTATGTACATGCAAGCTACATGGATTTGTGTGTGCGGCTGAAGGTGGCTGAAACACTTCAGAAGGGATAGGAAATGATAAACAAGGCTTCAGAAAATGATAAATCTTGGTCCGGAAAGCCAAATGACCCGAAAAGTGGAATTCTTTTCCATATCCATGCTTTACGCACGGAAGACTTATAAACAACAATCGTCCAAGCCAGGATTTTACTCATAGGGCCATGCACAGAGAGTTCCAGACACAAATCCCGGTCAGAGAATCTGGATATTGGTGTAACCACACTTTTCAACCTCTTGATGATTGGTTATAACCCCTCTTTGTATAAGTTGCCAAGCCCATGTAGGCTGCCAATGCAACGATAGATCGGCTGGGCTGAACATGTGTGCTGGAAGCGGTGATCAGAGATGGTTTGCTGCAATGTACGCGAGTTTCACCATTCCAAAAACAGAGGATCAACTGAATACCCTGCGCAGCCGTTTGCCATTGACGAGAACACGTACGCAAAGCTGATGCCTATTCTCTACGCGGTGAGCGTCATAAATGCGGTGTGATTAATTTGTGGCTTGCAGTAATAGATTGAAGGAGTTGGACTGGGCGATCAATTCGGCGATTGACAGCATGGATACGCGTAGGCAAGATGAAGAGCCTATTGTTCCTATGGAGTTGTCCATACTATGCTATACCATTGCTATTATATACTATTGACAACATGACCAAGAAAAGAAACAACGGCAGAAATACCTCGAGATACTCTTCACAAGAACCAACTACATACGATGCAATAGTGTAGCACGTGTATGCACTGGGAAGAGGTACCCAGTTGATCGGGGTCCCTGATTTGGCGTTGTTATTGCAACTAATGCGAGCCGGAAAAAGCAAAGAAATAAGGCGTCCAATAGGATCTTGTTCCCTTTACCTCATTGCATACGGTCAGAGAGGCGCCAGCATACTATTATGCGAAGCCATGGCTTCACCGGTTTGCTAGTATCCAATATTTCTATGGTCTCGCTTCGATGTTCCAGTTCAGCCGCAGCTCAGGAGGTCAATAATTATTGGAAAGCAATTTGCCTACTTCCCGCCACGTACTTTTCATATCCTCCTCGACCTAGGCACTCTCTTCATGTTTATATAGACTTGACGATCCCCCGGCTATAGTGTGTTTTTGCATCTTCTTGTGTCTTCCTCATTCACTAGCATCTCGTATTTTGTCATTTATCCTAATTTCTTTTCCCAAATTCCCTCGTGTCACTCTTAGCATAAATCAAGATGCAGCGAGCCAAGTCTGAAGCATTGCGTATCCGTCAGCGCAAAGGTCTTCGCCACCGCAAGCAAGGTCACAGTCATAGGTGCCAGGATGACTGCTGTAAATCAGACCGCCGTCAAAAGAAACGCACTGCTATAGAGAAGACTGCTGGATATGAATCGGAAACCGAAGATCTTGCCAAGAGATATGACAATGAAGTTCTTGGAATTGAGACTAAAGACTCTAGCGACGAAGAGTTTTCTCAAAATGCACCAGCATATGATATCACCAAGATGGATCAGGCTTCTAAGGAGGCTCGAGAGGCTGAGTGGAAGACAAAATGCCAGAAATCCAAGGACTACGTCCAACGATATATCCACGGTACCTTGGTAAGCCCGGAACGTCGGCATTCAACCGATCAGTCTATCGACTCCTCTGAGATCCGGCGTGAAATAGAGGAACGAGCACATCGCATCACCAACAACTATAAAGTTCTGCACGAAATATTGCTCCGTCATCAGCCTACTATACAAGCTCGTTGGACCAAGAAACGCCCAAGCCAAAAACAAAAGGTTTTGCGTGAGCTATGGGCTCATATGCCAGAAAAGCATCGCCCAGAGTTCTATGCCTTTCGCTGTGCAGGAGCTCAGAAGCGGAATAAAAAATATAGAGACTGGTACATGTGGCCCTACATCAACGAGCAGGACCTAACTGCGCGGGATTCTTTGCTCCTGTTGATCAATTCCCGCGCATTTTACACTCCATCCAATTTTGTGGATGGCGATTTGGCTGCGATGAAATTCGGCTTGGAGATGGGAATCCTGAAATCAGTTCCCCTGCCAGGATATTCCATCACCCTCTTGGATTCTGAGAACATTGAAGACTATGGAAAGCTTGTCGATATATCGACATATTCAGAATCAGAGATTATATGCCTTGACGAGAAGCGGATCAGCCCGTATTACGGCATTCTCATCCTAGAGGCTCAAGACAGGCTCATGGAGTTTCTTGTAAACTGCTGCAAGAAAATATTACACGACATCCCAGAAGGCACTCTAATCTCAGATGAGTTCCCAATTATAGCCAGCACACCAAAGCTGTCGAGCAACAGTGACATGTATGATCCTGCTATAATGGCAGCAGAGGCCCCTTACCGAGTACCGGCAAAACCCAACTTCAAACAAATCGGATTACTGCTTGGTGCTAAAGTTGCAGAGTTAAAGGATCGTCTCTTGAACTTGCGTGAAGATCCGGTTTGCTTTGCTGTTGCCTTGCAGATGATGATAGACCACTCACCAAAGGACTCGGAAGGGAATAAAGGTTCCTACTCTCGGCCGTGTGCAGAACATGACTTGACAAACGGTCTACAGTTTCTCATTTGCAAGCTATATGCCGACTTGGAGTTCTTTGCAGACTTATACGAACAAGTTCAACAACTGGAAAGGTTGCATGCCAAATATGAAGCAGACGTCCTGCCGTTCAAGGATGTGCCTGATGAAATTTTGTCGGCACTATACAAGTATCAGATGCGCCTTTGGGAGACGGTGAATATTAGGCGAGGGGCTCTCAGAGCAGTCGTCCGGAACTCTCACGCATGGTTCCGTCATTTTACTGATGGCCGTGCAAGCCTTTCTTCTTTCCGATCCGACCTAGTCAATTATAAATCGAGTTCAGTTCGCCGCCACTTGATATGGCTGCTTCAGTGTGTAACTGAATTTGATCCAAAGTTACCCAGCCTTGCCAATGCTGTTCATTTGATCTTACCTTCAATCATGGATGAGATAGAGACTCTTCGAAATACTGAATCAGAGGCATGGGAGCTCACGTCTTCTCTTACAGGAGAAATCATAGACGAGCTAGCGATCCTTGCGCAGTGTATGGAGCAAGTCGATATGTATCTTCGACGGACAAGAAGCTACAAACGCTGCGACGAAGAAAAGGAGAACAAATGTATCCATCAACTTACCAAAGATATGGATCATATTTATTCTCTCATCCAGTTAGGTGATCATATCTATGATGACGTTGTCGGATTGGCAGATACTGCCACCAAGAAACTGGTGTATCCTTGGGACAAGCGCCGGACCAAAGACAACGTGCAGGCGATGCAGAAAGCTGAACGGGACTTGGATAAATTCTGGGCCGCAGCCGATTTAGCCATGTTTGCCGAAGTTGAAAACTTTCGTGAATCAATGCTCGGACAGTATATAATAAGCGTGCAGAAGAAGCTTCGACGGACGCCAGATTGGATTGGGGAAGAACAATCTATAATACCGAGAGCTGTCAGGCAAAGAAATGCAGGTCGGGGGGAGACGGAGGTCTACAAACTTCCCTTTGCGCCCTGCGATGACCAGAGCGACAGTCCTCGAAAGTTGAAGCAAGATGGTCGTCAAGGCGTTCAGGTCAAGGTCAAGACGAAAGGACAAGCTCAAAAAGCTGTTACCCAGAGTGATATGAAACTCTTTGAGGAAGTCACACCTGAAATAATTCCCATAATTCCTGTGGACACGCGAGCCTTGAAAGTCTTCCGTGTTCTCTTCTACAATCCAGATGTAACCTCTTCACCGGGTGAGATCCCCTGGAACGATTTCATCCACGCCATGACCTGTACGGGGTTTTCTGCGCAGAAGTTGCAAGGGTCAATTTGGCAGTTTCACAGGGTGAATGATGACGGGCAACAGACGATTTTGTTCCACGAACCTCACCCGCACAAAAAGGTGCCTTTTTATGTTGCACGATCTATGGGATGGAGGTTGGGTAGGCATTTTCAATGGTCTTTGAAGACTTTTGAGTTGAAAAAGAAACAGATGGAAGCGTTGTGAGGTCAGTTTAAGAGATTGTTTGAGCTTGCAGCTGGGTACAACAATTTGTGAAAAGGAGGCATGGAATATGTTTGTTTAATTACCCTTCACTCATTTACTTATTTTGTAGTTTTGATGTTTATGCTTAGTGTTTAATGCAATTGAGGTTGATCTGTGTCCTTTTCTCCGTCTTCTCCATAGACTGTATAGTTGCCATTCAGGCGTTGTGCTTGATATTAAGAATCAGTTATCGAATTCTCGGTGATAGTACGCAATGTTTATAAATTGTGGTGATGACGGTGAGTGCATAACGCTCAGTGATATTTTGAACAGCTCTCCTCATGAAACGTTCCCCTGGAGGGGCGAGAGTCTTTCTATTGCAATCTGTTAACATACGTATTAGACAAACGAGATACATTTTTAACACTTTTTGCGTTGACATATCGACACATCGTCTATGCCACTAACGTTATTCCATGGTAGCCAGAATTTGCTGCAGTCGGGAAACTGTAGCACAAACTAGTCAATGTTTTGGTGTTGGGCGTGATACTACAAATGACTTGGAGGGAAGGTTCACCAGGCTGCACAGCCCTCATTCAAGAGCCTGCAGGGATATTCCACAGACGTTCTTGGAGTTTGAGGTTACAGAGTGGATATATGATATAGGAAAGGGGGATAACCAATCAATCCTAACGTGTTAACGCCGTTACGGCATAGTGTAAGAGCAACTAGATCCAGCCTTCGTGTTTCCCCCTTCCAGAAATTATAGGAATACGGAGTACGAGTATAGCGGTGAGAATAGCCGGATACCCCGTAAGATCGGCTACTCGCTTGAACCGGGCGTCTTCGCCAAATTTATCCATGGCTGTCAACAGGGCTTGCCGTTCGTTTAGCTCTCGGTAGGCCGCATTCAATCTTCAAGCGAGAAATGTTGCCAAAAGGGGCTTATGTGAAGACCGAACGAGATGGAGAGACGAAATTGATGCTGAATGAAAACGGTTTGCCGCCTCAGGCAATCCTTCAACCCAAGATACTGCTTTGTCTCCTAAGGAGAATATCATATGTCCGTTATATACGATATATGATCCACGGTATATCATATTGAATTCGTGTCTTTGGGTTCCTCTTGGAAGTATATACCCACGATAGGCGAGAGTCAAAATGGCAAAGAAGAAGAAAAGTTCAATTACCTGGAAGTTGATGAGACCTTCAACTCGGCATACTCGTATACGTTTTCTGCGCTGCATTTACCATCATGGCACCGTGCCTAGAGAGGCAATAGCACCCTGTAGTGAACCGCAAACACTATCACTAGAATATCTGCTCAAAGAATGGAAGATGGCAGTCATCCCCTGTACTGTAGCTAACAAGGGACCCCTGTAATGTGAACTCTCACCTTGAAATTCTAGGCTCTCGCTGTACTCGTACTCCGTACCGGATATAGCGCTAGTAAGGGCCCCGAACTTCCACGCGGAGCATATCTGCCGGAATAGGGGAGTTCTTGTTGTGCGCTTTGGTCGCCTTTGGTCCTTGGCTGGACTCATCGAGGATCCTTACCCAATCTCGTGGATAAGTTGCCTGTTGATGAAAGCATATGCGGGGTTTGACATAATGGCCCTCTTGTTGTTGATAGCAATACACGATACTCGTACTTCATGGATGGCTGTTGGCAGGTTTGGGGGGCAACCCGGTCGTCGGGCCGCTATTTCACGGCATTTCGCGGACAAATACAGTAAACGGCGGTAGGGGTCATATTTCGCGAATTCTACTCCGTCCCGATGCGATTTAACTTGCAGGGCACATGACTCAGAGCCGAACGCTGGGCAAGATGCAGGAAACGCCCGTATGGCTACCGGTGCGAAGTGATAATAAGACTCGGCCCATAAAGTGAGAACAAGTTACCAACCAGTACATATCAGGGAGGTGATGATATTATCTAGGGGAACACGGAGTAAGAGAGCTGGATACCTAAGCTATGGTAGGAATAGCTGTTCTGAATTGTTACTTTTAGGCCGTCGGCTTGTGGTTTAGTCTAGTACGCCGCAGTGTATTCCGTATGGCTATCCTATGAAGGGCATCATCCCACTATCGCACAATTACGGAACATGAATGCCGGAGTTTCGCGATAGTACTATCCCGGAACCTTTTGGTGACCGGATACAATATCCGTTGCGCCCTATCGGAAAGCGACGTTGAACTGGTGGAACAAGCTGCATCTATCCTCTTTCGCTATCATTTCTGACATGTGCAATTAACCACCTGCACTCCGTATTCCGTAGTCTACTTCATAGTCCAGAAACTGTCATTTCACACAGCTCCTGCAGATCACTTCCCAATCCTCTGCCCAGTTCCCAGGGATCAATGCGCGGTGCCCGGGGTAGGCCCCTATGCTTCCTATGTTAGCAAATGCTACGCTCTCTGTCTGTCACTATTCCTGAGCTGGTTTCGGCCGCTTCGCGATCGGCGGTTTGGAAGACGGTTCCGAGTCCGCGGATTCGCAGCGCCACTCTACTTGATGTGGTAAGTATGTTTCAGTACCATGTTGATGCAGGGGTAAAAGACAGCTCTTGACGTGAGCAAGTGGGATAGCTCTTTGCAAGCGGGTGTGGGGAATAATACAGTGCATCTGTTGGACTTCATGAAGAGCTTCATAGCAAGTACGTAAGTATATTAATAAGAATGACAAGTTTAAAAAAGCCCTGTCCGGCAGTTGTGATATACAGTAACCAATGTCCCCTCAACAAGATGCAAGAAACACCTAAAGACCGTTGAACTCCGCGCTACGGCTTCTCATCCAACTTCTTCTCCTCATCCGGGTTGGGCAAAAAGTTCAGCCATGGCCCTTCATTTATATATCCAACAAATCCACCAGCCTTGGTCTTATCGCTAACCCAGGGAGACACACGGCGCAAGAACCTCAACCACCATGTCTCCATTGCTTCATACCGTGTGACGTACCCAGACATGGTGACAATGGTGTTGGCATGGGGTCGTTGCTTCGCCTCATAAGCATCCAAAACAGCAGTGATCTCGCCCTTTGTTGGCTTTCTCCCACCATCTGCCTCGCATCGGCGCGCCAAGGGTACCAATTCGTTCATTAGATGGACAACACCCTCGATGGCCAAGTTGCCTCCCAGTCCAGGATTGATGGTCGCTTTGTGAACCGCGTCGCCCATCAACGCAACTCTACCACCGGAATTCCACTTCGGCTTCAAAACTCCCTCTTCAAGGGGCAGCATGTTCGCTCTGACTCTGTTTTCCCACAGGTCTTTGAATGTGTAGCCAGGGCCCACGGCATAGTCTCCGTATTTGGCGATCGTGGCCTCGGTCTCTTCTTCTGTGAAGCGCGGTGTATTGGGAGTCTGTGTTGTACGGTCACTCTTCACAAAAAGAAACCAAAAGGCAAGGCCTGGGACACCGGCAGCAATGACGCCGGAGAAGCCCGGATAGTAAACATTGTGGACGGCTCCCTCCGGCAAGAATGGCTTGCCGCCAGCTGACTCCTTGGAGTTCTTGGAGGTTGCAAAGATGCAATGGTAGTTGCTTATGAAGCCACTCTGCATTTCTTTTGATGCAACGGGATCAGTAGAAGCAATCTTATCAGCCATCAAGTTTCGAATTGTGCTGTGGATGCCATCGGCACCGAGGAGGATGTCTCCCTTGATGGTTTCACCTTTATCCGTAACTACCTCAACGCCATCTTCTGTCTCAGTGAAGGAAGCCACACCAGTGTGAGCTCGAACTCGAGACTTGTCTGCAATCTGGTTATAGATGCAGCTAAGCATAAACCTTCGCTCCATGAAAGTAGTCCATCGATGGAGGGTCCTGTCAGGAACGGCATGGTAATCAGTCGGGTTGTCACCTTCGCTTATTCCTTGCAGGCATAGCGTAACATTTTCAGGGGGAAAGGAAAAAAGACAGGAAAATGAAAACGAAAATACTACCATGTCGTAGGATTTGCAATTTCATTTCACACACTTACATCTTGGAAATCTCTTGTAGGATGGCGGAGTCTTCAAACATGTTACCATTCTCATCATAGTGTTGTCGAGTTTCTAACGGCACAACGCCAGCCTGGATCTCGGGCCAAATTCCAAGCTGTTCCATAACCCGCTGGGTATGCGGATGAATGGAGACAGAGGCGCCCAGATGAGGAGCGATCTCTCGCTTCTCCAGCAGGACATAGTCGATCCCAGCCTTTTCCAGCGTCACCGCCGTCGTCAAACCGACCAGACTGCCGCCGGCAATGATTACCGTGAACCGCGACGAATTGGAGTCTGCCATGGTATGTTGTATCAGAAAACAAGCCGGGTGAGTTTTAGTGTCTTCCAATGCCGTAAATGTTCAAGTTGGCCTGTATGGGGTTCAGCGGGCGTAAAAAAAAACAAGCGTGAAAACGACTGCGAGATTTAAGTCTCGTAACAGCAACGTGTGTCTTTAATAAGCCCCCGACTACGAAGCACATGCCGTGAGTATTAATACCACTAGTTAGATAGCATTGGATGATTTGATGCGCGTCCGTATTTCTTTGGCAACTAGGGTAGTGCCGTCTTCCCCGTCGCTTGGTCGTCTCATACCCCTACCATGGACATTTTAGCATGTCTGCTCTGTCCTGTCTACGCTGCCCGAGATGATGGATCCCCCCATAAAATTGAATCATCTCCAGCTAGAAGAGAAGTCTGCAGGCATTGGCAATCGAATTCTTACAGGTCATATCATGCGGAAAGACGGATGTTCAATTGCCTGTGCCTACGTTCTTACTTGGGGAATGATTGTCAGAACTACGCCTGCAAGGGTCCCTAGACCCAATGGAAAATTAAGCGCATGGAGGAAACGGGTCTTCCAGATACACGTGCGATACATGGCTATGGGGGGAATGCCAGGTACGAACAAGGAGAGCAAGATGTAGACAGTTGTCAATTCGCCGGGGACCAAATTTAGCTTGTCTCCGATATCTGCAGTTCGTGGCAAGTCCAGCTGTTGGGCCACACTAACCGTTGTGAAGACGCAAGTTCGCCTCTTGTAGCAAAACGGCAGGCCTTCAAGGATTGAATCCATGCAAGGAACAGAAAGATTTTCCCTTCTCTTCTCCGTACTGCTACGGGGTACCTTGTCGTTGTTGTATGAGCATTCCTGTTTCGGCACAGGCACTTTGTCGGGTGCGGCTTCGCCGTTGCTATGACCATCATATATAGACTAACAGTGCCGTCCCAAGATACCGGAATCATGCGTTGTTGTGGGCGATTCTCAAAGTGTGCTTCGGGCTCCATCAAGACTCCGAAATGGCGACCGGACCTGTAGACATGACACTGTTGCCGGATGAGAAGTACGAGATTGCTGTCTCGTATGGTACCATCATCGGCACGGGTGCCTTTGCAATTGTTGTTTGCAGTACGAAACTCTACATTCGCAAGTTTATGTTGAACTCTTTTGGCATTGATGACTGGGCATGCTTGGTTGGTTTGGTAAGTGTCCACAGCCAGTGATCTCAACTGTCGCATACGTGTTCCTCATCCTAACGAAGCTTTTGCGGCCAGATATTCGTTACGACATTCAACGGGATTGGATTGGCAGTGGTATACTATGGCGCCGGAAAACATATTCAACATGTTACGCCGGACGAACTTAAACACTGGTTCATGGTATGTCGTCCGGTATCCTTTTCCATCTCGCCACAGGCAAGAGGTAACTAACCGCTGTCTGATCAACCAGCTATACTACGTTTGCATTTGTCTTTACTTATCGATTTCCTTTGCCGTCAAATCGAGTATTCTTCTCTTTCTTCGACGAGTCTTCCCCGTCCGTAAGTTTTATCTTCAATCCATAGATCTTCTAGATTTGGCGTATTAACGTTGAGCCTTTCTCACAGCATACGTTCAATACACCACTATGGGACTCCTGATCTTCTTTACGCTGTTTACTATTTCCGGAACTTTCCTCGCTGCGTTCCAATGCAATCCGCCCAAGTACACATATGACATCGTCTTTCTCATGGCTCCCGATCGCGCCAATTTCTGCTTCCCAGCCATGACGTCTTATGCCATTTTTATGTATCAGGCGGTTCTCATCTTCTGCTGCGATATCATCATGTTCTTATTGCCATTCCCTGCTTTGATGAGCGTGCAACTGAACAGCAGGAAGAGTCTTGCGCTGTTGGCGGTCTTTGGAAGCGGCGTTGTCGCCTGTATCGCCCCAGCAATCAGATTCAAGAGCTTGAACTTTTACAAAACAGGAAGTACTGATACCACTTGTATGTTTGTCCCTTATTTCCCCCAAAGGCATAGAGATCCAGCTAATCAGATTCCATCACAGTTGAGGGTGCATCTTCTTTGTACTGGATGGCCATTGAGTATAACATGGGTTTAGTTGCCGGATCCCTTCCAGCACTTCGTCCGCTCTTCCAACGTATGGGCATGTTCGGTAGCAGCAATGATCCTTCTTCCAACAACCAGAACCAGTTCACACCGTCGTACCAACTCGAAGATCAGAATAGCAAGCAATGGGGAACTGGAAGACGAACCCAAGGAAGCAAAAACAGATACCAAGGAGACAGTGTGCTGGACCAAACCGTTATAGACCGAGATGATTCTTCACGGGATAGCGAGGAAGCACGGATCGTGAAAACCGAGGTCTTTACGGTGACTACCGAAGCCCGTGAAGCAGATTCCCGAGGCAACCAGCAGGCCTGGCGCCAGTTCGATTAAACCAGCGTCTCAAATTTGGCACCTCTACCCATGTTGATGCGCATTTTATAACACAAGTAAAAGGATATGTAAATACGAGGGGATATATCTGGCCTTTTTCGGCATTGTTGGATGGATGTTTGCGATTTTATGTACCAACCAGCTGCAAAGCCTGGACGCGGAGCTACACGGGCGGTAATTTTGACTTCTTTTTACACCACTATAGATTAAAACGCAATGGATATTATCTTTGGTTAATACGACGGCAAAGAATTATACTCAAGATACTGGAATACCGAACGACAACGTATTAAACCTTAATGAATCTGCTCCAAGCTCTCCGGTAGATATATTGTGCTACTTTATCGGATCATCACAATTGGGGCAGAGATCTCGTTGACTTTGCAGCTTGTTGACATCCATCTGAGACATTGCGGCATCAAAAGTTACACACAACATTTGATGAGGCGCCATTATCGGACGAGCGGTATACACCGCTTCATGATTGACCCAAAAATCTTCCGCAATTCGAGCAGCCAAGAACGAATGCTTTTACGGCAGCTTTCCGTCGGTACGTAAAATAAGGCTACGGCATGTAGCTCGCACTACGAAGTTAAGACGCCGCCGCCGTCGCAATCTAGCCGCCGCTATGCTCTAGTCTTAGCAATACCTAAATTGCTTCCGACTTGCCACCATTTCTTCCATCTCCATGTAGAGATAGTTTACTCTACTGGTTCATTTCTTTTAAAATAGCAGAGATAATGCCGTACTTTCGTCAACAAAACAAAGGCAGGCCAACTGTATGTACCAGGAGCAATGAGGTCGATCTGCGTGACCGCCGAGGCATGTGCTCCTTAACGGGTGGCACTTGTAGCCCCTTACCCAAACCGTTGTCAGCCTACTACTGCTAGTACGTACAGTAGTAGCTCATCACGGAGCGCACCCATGTATCGAAGACATTCTAGGGCAATACGTGTGGGCGAACAGAGACCAGGCCCAACTCCTGCACGCTGCTTCTTTCAGATCAGTAATCCGCTTTTCAGGAGTCTCTAGAAGACATTGGAACACTGCCGCTTGCAGGCTCTAGCTTCAGATCTGTGAAATTGAGTGCTGGGGAAGATTTATTGTTGTTAACATCCTGGGATCTCGTGCTCGTGCCTCGGACATTGTTCACAAGAACGGTAGTCTGCCGTTTCAGACGAAAACGGCCTGAGAAACATCTGACATTTGCGGGTAGAACAGCCCGCTGTAATCACCGAGACTCAGTGCTGACAGCCGGGTTTTGGAAGTCAACCGAGTCAGATTCGTAAACTGAAGTGGGTATAAGAGAGTCAGCGTGGGGTCCACTAGCTCTTTACCAGGCAAGGGACCTTTTTGCTCGCATGTCTGGCCGGGGCCGGACACTGATCGGGGTTGTGGAAAATACCGGAGTAATAACTCGAGCAATGGGTGTTTCGAGATCCCTGGTGCCCCGGGGAAAGCATATATACTCGTAGATAACTTGTCGATCATTATGATGATTAACCAGCAGCCTTATATAGCTTGTATTATATAGATGATTCCAATCCCCATGTGTCTAATGCATTGTTTTACTTCCCTGTCTTTTCTAGTTGGTAGTTGGTTGATTAAGAATTGTCAACATGAGCCTTCAATCATGATAAATCATGCTATTAGTAGCTACACTCCTATTGGCATCGGATAAGAATGACCATAAACTTGGCTAGCTACAGGCAGTATAGAGTAATTTGGTTGCCCACCTTTAAAGCATATCTCAGGCAGCTAAAGTGTTGCAATTCGAAAGATTTCCAATATGATGAAGACCAAGGCACTGAGAAAAGTAGCCACAGATCTCGCATTCTAACAACCAATGAGTTCCCAGATTGCTGAAGACAGTATCAGAAATTCTCGGACTACTCATTCGATGGAGGAGCACTATTGGCTCTCGTGCTCCATTTGATATGTTTGCCGATGGCGACAGAGCTAAACTTGATATCATATAATTCATGCTATTCACTCCACAGCCTTTTTCTTGGGTCTTGAGGACTTCAATATACAGTAGCGTCAGACTCACCAAGCGACCTCATTGTAATCCGGATATTAAAAACATTGATTGCAACTCTGAATGCAATCTGGATGCCGTCATGGCTGACCTTTCTCGTCTCAAAGCAGGTTTCAAAACAACAATGCAGAATGGACTGTGTACAGGTTAAGAGGATGGTAACAGACCCTTATAGAAGATACAAGATCTTCGAGTATATGAAACCGGTCGAAGAATACGCTTCTTGACACAATTATTCGAAATACGGGATAGACAATTTAAACTCAAGTCTTGCTGATGGAAAGCAAGCAGTCTAAATTTGCTCTGTTGTAAGATGGATTCAACATCTATATCAAATAATCCCCAAAACGCCAATATTGCTATGAATGCCTTGCTTAACCACCATACACACGCTGAAAGACATAAACCATTCATCTAAGCTTCAACCGCAGCCAACTTCTGACTCTGAGGATTTTCAAAAATGAGGGGCACCAATGCCGAGCCGTCAGCTTGTAAATGCTTGGTGATGCCATATCGCTCCGATGACAACATCCATTCGAGTAAACCCGTTGTAATAGTCTGGCAGTTCTGTATGTACTTCTGGATATCCTCCGATAACTTCGTGTCGGGGGAAGCAAGCGCTCTGAGAACCTGGAAGGCCTCTTCGAAGGTGTTTACCGAAGCCTGAAAGATGTGCATGAATTCCTGTGTGACTGTGCTGATATCGTCTGTGCCGCTAGCATAGGCTATGACGGGAATGATGTTTTGGATAACGCCGCTTCGCTAATAAGAAATAATCGTTAGATGCCTGTTGTTCATTCCCATTTTGAGGCTAGACTATATGTACTTACCAGTTCTTTTTGGCAGGAGTAGATATCGTTGATCCTTTTGAAAATTAGTATGCAACATACGTTATTAATCGTCTCTATCATCTCTTACATCATGCAAAGCCTAGTGATTTCTTTCCAAATCACTTTCATGGGGGCGGATTCAACAATCTCATCCGGCAATGACACATTCCTGGTGAACCTGATATATACGTTAGTACTGATAGCATGAACAGCCCGACAAAAACTAGTACTTACTCGCATATAGCAATCCCGGGGGTGATGCCTGATGTACCGAAGCGCATGATTGTAAATTCTTCTTGTGTAGGGATAGAATCATCCTCTTGCTGAATATGCTCAACCAAGCAGCAGTTCACATAATGTTCAATTTCATTATATAAACGCTGTTTTCGTGCTATAAGTTTCTCATCAGTACTCATTGAAGCCACGATTTGGTAGGAGTGAATACGAACTGTGGTTCCATGCCGCTGTTAACGGCTTAGCCACATGATCAAACATGGTCATGCTTGGTAACGGCTGAGTAGAGGCTCTTCCTTGGTGAGAATCATCCAGCTGCAACTTGAGTTTGATGTGATCCAGTGATTCTTCGCAAAATATACGGGCCAAATCTGCGTTTGAGATGATGCCAGTATCGTCTTCTCCATGATCAATAACATCGTCCCATGTGAATATCCAGACCAGAAATGCGGCCGAGGCCTTCAGCTCTTCCCATTCTGAATAAGGATAGCAACTGCCAAAGAGTGGTTAGTTGAAATCTAGCAATGTTTATGTGAGCACTTTTTACCAAGCTGCGAGATATCCAAAATCACAATGCTTGACACCAGCACGTTTTCTTCGATCATGAATATTCCTATACTTGTCAGCATTGATGATTCTATAGGATGAGAATAATATACTAACTCGTCGATAAGTCTATCTACCCATTGTCGAATCTCATGCATATATTTGTTGACACCCTTGGGGAAATTTGCGAGAGAGACTTTCAGATTGGGAATGGGAAGAGTGCTTCCACTCAACATAGAGGCGAGCTCATGAGCTCCAAGGTCGTATCTGCTAGGCGCCATGGTTTCTTTGTCTGATTGAATAACTTGTCGTTTGGTTTGAATAAGTCCTTGCTAGCGGGGATGCCATGGTTCTTTTATATGACATTGAGTCTGGAGGCAGCCATGGTGGCTTTCCGAGTTCATCATAGATATCGGCGTGTATTCCATAGGAACTAATGATTGACAATAAGACTAAGGCTACCTATCAGAGCTCATGCAGAGGTTTCACGATTCTATTCGGCCACGGGCAGTGCTTCGGCGTGGACCGGATTCATAGACATGCCCACCAAAACAGGTCGACGGGATATGACCCATCGTGATGGTACATCATTAAAGATATCATTCACATTCAAGATCAGATGACGTTATTCGCTTTTTATTGGATATAATTCAGCAAAATTGTGTGGCAGCCTTGTGTAAGGGAAGCTGAGCATATCCGAAAAGAGAGTAGATTGCGGACGCTGCAGCCGGTGAGGTCCACAACTCCCGCGGCTATCGCGTGGGTTTAATGGAGATGTTTTGGAGCTATGTATCCGGAGCTCTGTTGATTGGTTTGCGGCATAATAGGCTATATGTTGGACGGTACGATGGAGCATCACTGCCACTGCCAATAGTTCAGTTTGCGAAGCATATCTGCATCAGGTAGTTCAGGCCTATCGCAAATGTTTGCACAGTACCTAGCCTCGGTGTATCCGATAGCAAGGCACACACACCAATGACGCTATTCGGAGCCTTTTGCCCGACCAGATTGGGTTGCAATTCTATGCAGGGCCTTGTCTGGGATACCAGATTAACGTGCCAATCACACCTTGTAACGTAAGACAAAGCCCTACCTCAGCCCGATGCGCAGCATCCGAGGAACTCAGCTCGCCACGTTGCACAGAGCACTCTGATATTCAGCTTTGCACGAGCACGGCTGTGCAGTGGAGATGTAAGCGCTGCGAAAAGCTGGCATTTGCAAAGGTAGCGATTCTCAGTTTTGATTCGCGCGACATGACGATTTCGAAAACGTGCTGTCGGTCATTCATCAGCGCCGAGAGATATCTCTGCGTAAATTACAAAGCGTAAGCCGCGTCATATTTGACTCATATTTATGAGAAAACATCTTTCCGATATCAAAGGGTCTTTTTTTTTTTTGCTTCGTGGGTGTTGATGCAGTGTTAGAACGTGAAGAGACTGGTGTCTTTTGCGAATAAATGCAGCTGTTAACACAGCAAGCAACATCAATACTAAATAGACCTCCCGCCGGCTAAAAGTGGGAGCAAAATAAGATGATCACCAGGGAGAGAGAAGGGCCCATATGACCGGGTCCGCCGTTGAGGGAGCCCAGATGGCGTAAAAGATTGAAAATGTGGCACCCAGTCAGTTGCCTTGCTCGGTAATGAAGTGAGACATTGAGGCCAAGAGATCGACATTGGGATAAAGTATATTCTTACACCGATGGAAGTCCAGCTACAGTGAAGTTTTGACTTGGAGCCCTCTCATTTAGTCATATGGGCCTCCCAATCAAAGTGAATGTGTACTGCTGTGAAAGCAAGATTGAAGAAGTGGTGGTGAGAGCCAACGGTAACCATAGCCTGCAATTACGGAACAATCAGCCGTCTTACAGGCAGAATCACGCAGCCCCAAACTAATATGATGTTCAGCATATGGGCTCTTCATTGATACGGCTTAATGAAAGATATTCATGATGTAAAAATGGCGTCGTTGGAGGTTGAGACTTACTTGCGATTCGACAGATTCCTCACGTGCGCACCTCAAGCCTTGTGCCTTGCATCGCGAAGATAAATAACTAGCCACACTGCCCAATCAGTTATTTTTCATTGGACATGATGCGAAATGACGCGCATAATCGTGGTTAATACCCCATCATGTACAAGAGGCAAGGCTAGGTTGAATACTTGGTTACAACTACTCGAGGGTTGATTACAAGTTGCATGTACTCTAGTGCTGCCGGATCCTCATCAACGGCCAAGAGACATGGGAGACGCAAGAATATTGTGGTAGTGTCAAACTGCTTCAATTAAATCCAACTGGCTGTGTACGTGAATGAGCTTCAATAAGTGTGTAATTGAAACCCAACTTTTGCCTACAATGCATGGGCACAGCTCGTAATGAGATGAAGAGCCAGAATGAACTTCGTTGGCGACAACGATGATACTCTATTATGACTGCTCACATATTATCCAGTCAATACATGCAAGGTACCGAGCGATTTCACCATCTAGCAACAATGTAATTACACTTGTGCTGCGGTGATCATGGTATATGTGACTTATTTCGGCTTTGTGGCATGAAGAAATTGCTCCAAGTAGTTTCATAGATGCTGTACCTAGGTAGGTAGTAAAAACGTATTGAGCAAGTCCATAAACCACCTACAATCACTAGATGATAGATAGCCAACCCGGGGTGCTGGCTAACAAATCTCGTGGTTAATTGCATTAGTCTCAAATTGCCGCTCTACATCTGGATCATCTTTGGAGGCCTTGTGTGTTCACAAGTAGTATTTGCATTTGATTTATTTAAATGTCGCGGTGGGTGTACATGTTGCACTGTTGTTTGGGCGCTTCCAGTGTACTTGAGAAAACCTGTGTTGGGGTCTGGTGTAAGGCTGCCCACTGCATGGGCAGGCTCAAGGGACTTATGGAAACGAGACAAAAGTGCATCGTTGACGCATAGTTATTTTCTGTTAGAACAATCCAGACGATTTCGGGATGATACGTGGCACGGCTTAGAACATGGCTGCAACAAGTCACAACGAGCCTTGTAGGTAACGGAGACGTAAAGGACGAGTACATTAGCAGTCAACAAGGGCCCAACATAGCAAGTTTTTCAGTACTGTGAGGCTGATGAGAGGGCGCGCGCATACAAGATTGTAAGAGTACAGTGCAACAGGTTGTATAAGTAATCGCCGTCACTACCAAAGTGGAATCTCTGCTCCCCAATGGAGATGTTTTGTTCAGGCGTACAAACGATACCATGACTGATTGAGGTGTATTGCCCGCGGTCCTGCAGATATATCGCGTTTCATAACGATGATCCAAGGGTACCGCTGGCGGCTAAAGTTCTTTTTACGCGCCGTGATTTTGACATTTTGGTTGATAGATATTCCGGCACGGCTTAGTGCCAATTTCCGAGCAGGCCGTTTTATGCATGTTAGTTCTACAATATCTAAATAGAGGCACTCTAGTCTTTCTACGTGCAACAATTGCTCCCGAACTGCTGTATTTAACATGCTTATGTTGCTGGTACCCATGACCCAATATTCCTTCTTCTCTTCAGTCGTTATCTCTCAAGTGTGCACATTCTAGCTTTTCCTTTTTGTTGCCCTTGTTTTGTTTTGTTGTTTCCTCCCAATATCTTGTCCTCAGCATCTTATTTTTCTGTTTTCAAATAGTCTACTCCGTGGAACAATCTGGTCCCCACAATGTCTACTCCAGTGACCAACCGAGAAGAGGCTTGTGTGCTTGTGAAATCCATCGCTCAAGGCAAAGGTCACGTCCATGATGATGACTGGAAGTCAATGGACCCAGACGTGCGGGAAAGAGTGCAAAAAGCAATGGAAAATGTAAAGAAGCTCGCTGGAAATGCCGTTACTACGTTTGTTACCTTTCAAACTCATTACCCGCATATTTTGTGTACTGACAGCTTCTTCCAGTTTGGGCAAGAATATATACACGAGCGATGCGAGATTTGTATTCGAGCTTCTGCAGAATGCCGAAGACAATTCTTTCAACAAAGCAATTGAAGCCAACTTAACTTCGTATGTCTCCTTCGAGGTTCATCCTGGAAAAATCATTATCCAGTGTAATGAAGACGGATTCGAGTCTGAAAACCTCGAAGCTATATGCGCAGTTGGTGAAAGTTCAAAATCAGGATCGCAGAAAGGATACGTTGGTGAGAAAGGCATCGGTTTCAAATCCGTCTTCAAGGCAGCGTGGAAGGTGCATATCAAATCTGGCTACTTCAGCTTCTTCTTTGAGCATAAAAAGGGGGATCCGGGACTGGGAATGATTACACCAGTGTGGGAAGATCCAAAAACTGACGAGCCACATCCCGGGACGCGAATGGAATTGGAACTCGGGGATGGCCACAACCCGATATCATCCTCCCAGTATCAAAATATTCTGGACCAATACAATAGTCTCAGTGAGAGTATTCTGCTTTTCATGAGAAATGTTGAGGAAATCAGGATATCTATCTTTGATAACGAAGAGAAGTTGGAGAAGTCAAACACTTTTTCGAGAGAACGCATCAATGAAAATCTCATCAGGCTGGCCAAAGTATCGAAAACGGCCAACAACGTGGAGAGTTCGTCTAAAGATTATTATATTTTCAAGCATACTATAACCGGCCTTGATAAAAACGAAAACAGAATATACTCTGAGTCCGAAGAGGAAAACAAAACATATGCTTCGGCAGAAGTAGTGTTGGGTTTCCCATTGACTGAGGAATCAGTGCCCATTGTGGAATACCAAGAATTTTTTACGTTTTTGCCAATGAAGCAATCGGGTTTTACGGTGAGCTATTCTGCCCACCATATTTATAGATTCATACTAACCCTCTTTTCAAGTTTCTAATAAATAGCGATTTCGTGACCGAGGCCAATCGGCAGGATATTGTCACGACATCTAGCAGAAACATAGGCATTCGACGGGGCATAGCGGATGCATTCATTCAGGCCATCCACAAATTTTGCACACATCCCAAGCTCCAATATACCTGGATGAGGTATTTACCTGAAAAGAAACAGCACTTTGATCCTTTTTGGTCCCAACTGGTCAATTTACTGGGAGATAAACTGAATCAGACTGCCATTTTAAGACCAAGAAGTGAAACCTCTTTCTGTTTAATATCTTCCCTCCGCTTCCCCGTGGAATCTCAGTTTGATCGCCATGGGGAACCACTGTTCAGGGACAGCATCCCAGAAAAGCATATCTCAAAAAATTATTCGAAAGACGATATCATGATTCTACGAAGCTATGGCCTGAAGGAATACACTGCGTCTGAAATCGTGGATGCAATCTCATTGGATCTCAATACAATAGACTCGAGAATGAAGTCTCATCATATGGATGACGATTGGCATTCAAGATCGGCAAATTACCTGAGGAATATCATTCTAACATCCAACGCCGCGCTCCGTTCCAAGTTGCGCACTATGCCCTTGCTGCCACTCCAAGATGGGACATGGATTGCAGCTGAGAATCAATACACATTTTTCTCAAGAGCACACGGACTTGAAGTCCCACCAGATCTCGGGTTGAGTATAATTAATTCCGAAGCTACGCAAAATGCTCACCGTCGGCAACTTTTCAGCCATTTGGGCACAAAAGAGGCCGATATCTCCTTCTTGCGTCAACGAATATTATTAAGAGGATTCAGCAAGCAGCTGATAAGTTCATCTGTTACGCAACTCAAATACATGTTCTTAACGGACAAACATAGACAAAGTTCAGAAGACAGTAAAAACATCCGGCTCGTTGACAGCAAATGGAACCTGCAAAACTCTTTTTTGACAGACATATATATGCCTGACGATGAACCCTTCGGCCCTTCCAAACTACTTGAAGAAGTTGATGAGACAGCTGGGTTTCAAGCTAGCTTCCTTGACTCATCTTACCTCAATCAAACTTTCCAGGGAGATGACGAAGCTATGCTACTCACTTCATGGAAGAATTGGTTGTGCAGCTATGCCGGGGTACGACGCCATTTTCGAATCATATCTAAAGAGAACAAAGATAAACTTTCGAAAGAATGCCTTTATGTGGCGGGCCATCATGCTAACAAGTTTCTTGGATTTCTGAATTACACCTGGGGCCAAGAAAGCAAGGCCATCAAATCATCCCTCGCCTTGACCATGCAGCTCAAAGAAATAAAAGTTCTCTGTCAAGGAGGCCAAATGGTTTCTTTAAAGGACACATGGCTTCCACTTCTGGAGTTACAAAAAGAGTGGGAGAAATTTTCAAGCAGGCCTGAAACTTTTCCATTCCTTAAATTGGATAGAGAACTCACGCGCGACTCATACGCAAATGATTGGGGCTTTCTTGTTTCGTCTCTGGGGGTTAGTGCTCAAGACGACCTGGCCTTTTACCTGAAGATCCTACTCCGCATCATGACTCGAAAAGACACAAGGGACATATACAATCCCTATCGCATATTTGAAGTGTATAATGTCATCTATGGCAAATACATCGCAGCTCCTAGCGACGAAATCGGTGCACGAATCCGGTATTTTCAACTATTGGCTTCTTATCCTAATTCAACATGCTTACTATTTCTCTACAATAGGTTTCTCTTTAATGTCAACCGACTAATTTACGTTCCGTCGAGTAAATATCAGAATTTCAATCTAACCTTTCCAAAGGACTGTGTATGGGAAGGTTCCGAATCATTGACTATTCAAGCACCGCTACAGGCTAGATATAAAGCCATGCCAGTTAAAAACCTCTCATTACTTGAGCCTTTCTTTACCAAAGTACTCAGTATAGGCAACTGTGACGAAGGAACAATATGTGCTCAGCTCGATGATCTAAGAGAGTCAGACTCCAATGATTTTGACAGGATCAAGACTCTGTACAATTCTCTCTGGGAGTTGTTGCGCATAAACAAGTCGGAAAAGATTAAGGAGCTAATCAAGTAAGTCTGAGTAACAATTTGTCTTTCTAATGCACAACAAGTTTAATGACTATCTATAGGAAGAAATTCGCTGAGACAGCTCTTATTTATACAAACTCCGATAACTGCTGGAACAAGGTTTCGCAATGCCTTTGGTCTAGTGCAACGACTGTTCTCAGTAAGAAAGTCTTAGAGAGCGATTACAAAGGAATGAAGTCGTTTTTTGTCGAATTTTTGGGTGTGGACACGCTCAACCTTGGATTGATATACAGTGAGCTCTCGAAACTAGGCGAATCCAAGCCAACAGTCGAGTTAGTAAAGGAGCAATTACTCGCTTTCAAAGATCATCTTCACACGGCTAGGGACTATAAAGACGTCAAACCAGAGGGAATGAAGAAATTCAAGATTTTTCCGATCAGAAACCCTGGCGATCAGCAAAACATCCAATTCTGTGATGGGAATACAGAATTCGCGATAGCGGACACGGTCCCTCTGGGAGATAACTTTCGACAAAAGATAAGAACCCTGGGATTCACTTTCGACGAACTTCATTCGTTACGTCCTGTCATAAAATGTCTTGAAACAAGATATCTTTCACGTCTGGTCATGGAAACCTCAAAGGTCGAGGATGATGATCGCGTTCTCAACCAGGCCCTGAGTCGCAAAATCGAACTTAAAGCGCATGCTCTATGTCGGTGAGTCATGTAGACTCTTTCATCAAACATTTCCAGTTTAATAACTTCTATTTAGGATTGCCAAGCATTTCAACAGTCCAAGATGGCGTGCCAAAGAAGAACTTCAAAATCTATATGACTTGTTAAAGCAGGCCAAGGTTTTTGAGACAGATAAGATATCTTGCGTACAAGTCGTACAACAAAGTGGACAATCATATTCTCACAAGAAAAGCCAAAGCGAGTTTCATTTAGAAGAGTCTGACTCCGGCCTTGACATTTTCGTTCCCCAAGAAAAGGAATCCCAAGCATATTGTCTCGCTTACGATTTGCCAGCACGACTGTTTGAATGGATTACAACAAATCGCTCCGTCAATGACCGAAACTACTCATTTGTAGCGGATATTCTAAGTCAAGGCCCTACAATTTATAATCGGATACTTCTTGGTGCCGGAATAGTTGACATCGATATAGAAGACGAAGACCGTGCTGATGAAGTGGATTCGACTTCAGCCAGTTCTGCAAGATGGGAGGCCTCCGAACTACAAGATTCACCAAGTATTAGATCAAATATGGCCACGCCCTTGACTGATGCCTCTTCCCCAAGGATGGAGTTTGATCAGGTAGAGATAGTACCTACTATTGTGTATCAAGATACCATTGATGCCAGCAGTCACTTGGCGCAATCGCGGAATAACAATAGGCTGTTTACACAGGGAGCCTCATTTCAGGCTTCCACTGGAGATATTGGAACACCAGCCACTATTCAGCGAGCGCCTGCTTCGGTTAATCATGCGTACTCTGATTTACTGATTCACGTGGTCTCCGCGGCACGAAGAGCGTTATTTCCCACCAAGGGTATCTTCGACCTAGATTCGCTTCGAACATCTTTACCGTCGTTTCCGACATTCGATAATGTTTATGGTACCGAAAATGAAGAATTTAACTATGCTCGCAGCTTTCCTCAGCTGGAGAGAGACAAGATGATTGGGGCTGCAGGAGAGTTATATGTGAGATTACTCATAGCATATGAGGAAATGCCTTCCAACTCACTACATACTAACAAACTGTCTAGGTATTTGAGCTCCTCAAGGCATGCAACCCTTCACTACCCAATTTTGGCATAGACAACTGGAAGAGCACAATCCGGTCATACGCGAGGAAGCACCCGGAATATGTGACTATGCAGCCTTGGCATGGATTAGAGACATCCGACCTTGTCTATCACGACAACACGGGGACTTTTACCAAGCTGCTAATAGATGAATGCTACTTTGATGCCAGTATATGGAAAGACAGGAGACCTACATATCACTTTGAGGTAAAAACAACGGTTTCTTCCTGCGACACTCGCTTTTTTGTGAGCAAGAAACAGTACAAAATGGTACGGGCCCTGTGACATAATATACTCACTAAATGCAATTGGATACTAACAATGGCTCTTAGTTGCACGATACCCGTGGAAAAGAAGATTCTGTATACATTATCATGAGAGTCTTCAATGTGGGCAATGGCAACATCGGGCTGCGCGTCTATGTAGACCCAGCGGAGCTAGAGGCTGAAAAAGAGCTTTTGTTTACAGCTGAAACGTGGTCTGTTGTGCCGGGCGCTTAGGTCATGGTGTATGATTTGGTTGCTTCGTTAAATAGTAGCATCGTTGAAGTATTTGCAAAGATCAGAAAGCATGTGCTCTGTGGTTGCACATTAAAGTTGATAACTATCCATGGCTTCTGTGGCGGTTAGCTATCGTATATATCACATATCACTGCATTTGTTGCGTTTGTGAGTCAACGAAGTTTACTAATGAGAAAGGCTTTCGCAGTCTATGTAAATAAGGGACACATATAGGTACTGTGAACTTTGTTGACTGAAGCTAATGGAGAGGCGTGTGAGCGATAAAGTATAATATTCTTGGTAGTTTTCCAAAGATATCTATAATGATGATGATGCTAGTATAAGCCTTGTGGCTATACCTAACTTTGTGTACCAAATAAATTACAGGGAGGCGTCCAAATAGAAGCCGCTGTCCAGTTTGCGAGCCTCTAGCCATAAGATTCCAATAATTTTCATAAGGTGTTATATGTTGAGCTCCTTCATACGACAATTTTTTCCATCTCAACTCTCCCTCTAGCAAAATTCTCTCTCCCTCACCATTATTAGGCAACAACACAGTCGCCGTAACGTTCCTCGAGAAAGGCATACATATAGTCCATAATCCACCTCATTTGCCATAGAAGCAATTTTTAAGAACACCATGGCGCCCGGAGGAGAATACCTTGACAATACATGCAAAATGTCATCAGATTTTCACAAATTTGTGAATCTACCAACCTATAGGCGCCTGTGTGCCATTCATTTATCCACACCGGGGTGGGAATTTCTGCTTCGCTATTCATCCAAACCGAGATCTCGTCTGCCTACAACCCGTTAACGCAAGCACTGTTGGGTTTTATAGGGCGAATCCGTTCTTTATGGAAGACTTTTGCATGGTCGATTACTTGACCGGGATGAGCGGCTTTCTTAACTTGGCGATCGAATATGATCCTGGCTGGCGCGATGGTCTTGACCAAATTATGGACCCGATTGTTCTATTTAGAGAGAAGAGCCCTCGAGGTCTTTTCGTACGGATTATAGTCTGGATGGTCGACCTTATTGATATACCTACGGTAGCCTCGAAACGCTATATTTTCTCGATTACAATTTGAAGCGAGACACCCCCAAGGCGGTTATGCCGTGTCAAGAAGACGAAACGCCTTCAGCGGTATTGATCGGAGATTTGTTGAAGTACACCTGAGCACTAGAGGTAACATATACTCGGGCACCCGGAGTCGTTCAGCACTGGAAGTTGTGGATCGCATCGATGATCTATTCGGCGGCGTCAATCCCACACATTTTTGTTTGGAGCATATTCGTGTACCAGAACTTGGGTGCAATGGATGCGATCCGGACGGCCCATGGAGCGAGTACAACCTCTGGCTTCGCGTTGGAGTTCTAGAATGCGAGACGGCCGAGTAGCTCGTATGGATTAAGAAAACATACATATACTTTCGAATAAGGATGTATTAAGGGCATTGTGTGGTTGAAGTATAGTGATTTCCACATACCTAGGTTTAACAAGCTTATTTTTTGCCCAGGTACAGATATTGTGGCATCACAAGAGCAAAAAGGAGTGGGGATGAAATCAATCATTCCCCTGGGCTAAGGCTTCAGCTCGTTGATCGCATACCCACAATCGCAGCAATATTCCCCATTTAGCGCCGCTAGCTGAGTGAGAAGTGAGACGCTATTGATTGTAAGCGACTATTAGATCGTCGCTAAGCCAGTGGTAGAAGCCGAAGCTGAGCTACTCGTACTCCAATGCAAGGAGTCATTGAGAAGCGCTGGTTCACAAAGGCACTATCGAAACGGCTCCGGGCCGCGCTCTCGTTTATAAAATTAGATGAATTTACGATATATATATATATACTTACTTGTACAAGGTGATTCTCACGGACACTGCACGCTCTTCCTTGACAGTTGAGGTTTGTAACACTCCACCGAACACGTTCAGATGTGGCCTCGGATGAACCAACTGTCAGTGTCGCTGGCAGTCTTGCTGGCAGCATCTCCTCTGGCTCAGGCTGCTCCTGGCCGTGGCTGTAAGGCGTCTTGCAATGCAGCAGACAGTCTAGTTAGTTTGCTGCGCGCGCCGTCCAACTTGCCGGAAGCGCTGCCATTCTGTAGCAGCTATCTCCATTTGCCAGCTTCTACTACCACGGTTACGACAGTAACTCCAACGACTACCATACACTCTACAATCTTCAGCCATGTGGCTCCCACTGCCACGATATACACCGATGATGTCGACACGGTGATTCCTACTCGAACCGTCACGGTCACAAACGTCCACACCGAGACAAGTGTTGTAGTTGCTACATCACTCACAACAGAGGTCGTCACTGTGACTGCCTCAGCATTGCAGCGACGCATTATCTCAACACCTCTGTCGCAACAAATCACTCAGTCCTTCGGCTCGAGTAGAATATCTAGCGGCTGCGGTTGCTTGACAATTCCTCTATCAACGACCTCTGTGACTGTGACCGCACCAGCTGTTACAGTTACTGACACAAATCAACTGACAACGACGGAGCCTGAGGCTACGCAAATTCTCACGTCGTATCTAACCACCACCCTCCCCGAGGTTGTAGAGACCACGACCATTGACAGCACCGTTGTTGTTCCAACGACTACAACTCAAGTATCGGTGGTGACATCGACAGTCACGGCCACCGCTGCTGCTGGTCCAACTGGATACTTTTACATACGAAACGTGCGCCCGGCAGCCGACAACTTCTTCACGGGCAACTTTCTTCTTAACCGCGATATGAGCACAACCAACAAGGTTCAGGCTGCCACAATTGCAGGAGCCAATACCACAGCTCCTCGTATGGGCCTCACTCCAGAGGGCTACCTGACCATCATGCAATCTCGAGCAGCTGCCTCGGCCGCCACCGGAACGGAAGACCAGACTTGGATCGCTTTCGTCCAGAACAATTCAAACAACGGGGTCCTCACTTTCGACAAGCTGGCCAACGTCCAGGCATGCCCGACTTGCCAGCCACTCAGGTTTGTCATCAGCCCAGAGTCCGACGGAACATACATCAACTTTGCGGATGGAGGATCGAGAACCATGTATATTTGTGGTCCTAATCCGAGCGCCGGTATCAGCTTTTATGCGTTCTGGACTTCTCTCACAGGACCCCCAACTTCGAGTTGTTTCTCGCAACGCATATATGAATCAAAGGAGGGAGTCGCTGGGCCGACATTTGGCACCCCGACACACGGATAATACAGGGCTTGCTTACCTTGGCTTTGTTGAATGCGTAGAAAGTCCTAAGTATAATAACATAGTTGGGACACAAATTGAAATTAAAACTATCTTGATTCATTTATGATTACCTATCAACCAAAAAACTAGTGCACCCTAGACTCGGGTCATCTCCCTGGACTTCATTACACCCTGCCAAACCCAATCCTTGATTTATGATAATGGTAGCGCAAGCCTCTCGGCAGGCGGGCAGAATTGTATATCGAAACATTCCGGTACAACGTCTCGGACACAGCGGCATCCCTCGATACGAGTGCCAGGAGGACACTTCGGCCCTTCTGTTCCAACACAATTAAGCCCCTTGGGCCTGGAGCGGTCTGGACATTTTGGCACAGCCGTCGACACACAGGCTTTGCCGTCGAATGCCATTCCCTCGTCACACTGAGGAGGAGTGATGGACACACAGACGCCTGCGTTGAAAGTTGTTCCCTCTGGACACTTGGGGGGAGCAGTGCCCAAACACTTGTGGCCGTCTTGTATGGTGCCGAGCGGACATGCCGGAGGCTCTGAGAAAACACAGGTTTTGCAATCATACGTAGAGTTGCTGGGGCACTGAGGTGATATGGTGGACACGCACTTTTTGCCGTCAAAGAGGAGATCGCCGTGACGACTAGGGGGGATAAGGGAAACGCAAGCAAGGCCATCGAAGGCGGCGCCCGGGGGACAAGACGGTCGCTCCTTGGAGACACAAGAATCTTTGACCAAGGTGCTATTTCTGGGGCATGATGATGCAATAGAGGAAACGCAACCCCGATCCTTGAGAGTGAAGCCATCCGGGCACTGGGGCTGGGTATTGGTAAGACAGTTCTCTCCGCTGACAACCGTTCCATCTTGACAAACGAGGAGAGTAGATGAAACACACTCGCCCTTGTTGAGAGTCGAAAGCTCTGGGCACTGGGGAGCCTTGGAGATGACGCAGGTGTTGTTGGAGAAAACCGAGGCGGTATCAGCGCAAAAGGGCTTCTCGGCTGTTGATACACAAGCCTTGCCATTGAACCTGGTGCCATCGGGACACACTGGAGTCTTGCTCGATACATAGTTCTTTCTATTCATGCTAGTACCTGGTGGGCACTGAGGGGGGGTTGTAGAAATGCCTTTTGAGCCGCTCAGGGTAGATTGGTCTGGACAGCTGGGAGGATCATCCAGCACACACATTTTGCCATTGAAGGCTGCTTCTGGGAGACAATCGGGCTTCTCAGCGCTTTAGCAGTAATTTCCATTCAGATTTGAGCCAGGAGGGCAAGTAGGTTCCAGAGTCTTGCCCATGCAGTGATCCTCTACAACAGTTTCAGACAAAGAAGGATTCATTGCCCTGGAGGTTATTGTCCCTCCTGTCCCTCCTCCTCCTCCTCCCTGTCCTCCTGTCAATGTCCTACAACAGACTGTTCGTCCAAAGTCGCCTCGGCGGTTTCCGCTGAAAAGACAGCCTGCCAATCTCGGATCGATTCGGAAGCCTCCAGAGCCAAGGACACTTGCAATGCTCAGGTATCCAAAGACCAAGCGACTTTTTATGAGCACAAATGTCATAGGCGATTGGTAAATAAGGGTCATTGGGTCTATGGTTACCGATACAGTGCATGCAATATCAAGAAAGCAAAGCTTTCCACTCTTGGCAAGGCGACTTTTAGTCGAAAACACTGGACGTTCGAGACCTGTACAGCAAGGTGCCGAGTGACTTATGGCTGCGCTACAACTTTATATCGAACACACGATGGCTATTGTAGGTTCTTTAGCAAGGAGCTGGAAGAGAGCGACTTGTATTATGATCCAGACTCGGACATTGAATCTGTATCGGACAACAAGCATGATGTCGATGTTCGAGCAGCGTTTGGGACGGATAAAATTGAAGAATATTCGCACATGTTCACAAACGATGAGAATGAAAAAAATCCGTTAAACTGGCTTTCCAGGGAATGAGAGCACTATGCAATAGGACCGCATCCTTATTTTAGGATATCTCATCCAAATACTAATAGTCAAGAAAGCTAGCTATACCTTTCATTCTTTTCAAGCAGCTTAGGAGGCCCGTATGGATTATTTCTTCTCATAATGCCATTGTTGCCCGCTATCTTCATCAAGCCTAGTTGATGTTCGGCGGTTTGGATGAAATCCGATCGGTGTGACTGCGAGTTCATATGATGCTTAGACAATGCTTGCACAATAAAGGCATCTTTCCTCTTATATTGCTTCGATCACCTGTAGCTTCAAAGCTTTTCTTTCCCAAAAGAGAATTTTGAAAACCCATTCAAGACTCACCTTTCATAATGCATTGCACGGGGCGACATTATTCCACCAATACTACTTCGAATGGCCGAGAACAGCCTGCTATTGTCATCTGCTTATCATATCATTTCCTATATCGCATCTATAGTGTCCCCGCGTAAATGATACGAGCTCTAACCTGTAGCTTTATACGCCTATTCCACGCTATCTTCTCGTGCTAGTTCTAGAAAAGAAGTTGGTCGAAAAGCATCTCAATTGCCGAAGTCTTTGTTAGCCGCGGGAAATCGCTGAAATGCGGAGGTATAGTCGTATCGAAATCGGCTTAATAGAGAAATAAATACGACGATCTCGTAGCAATGGCACTTATAAGAACCCCTCATCACCTACGTATTGAGCTATTCAGCAATATACCCGTCGGATTCTCCTCAACAAGATGGAGCTTGAGCCATCTCAACATGGCCTCATATTCCGATAACTCTGATTTCACCTATCTTTCGTGTAGTATTGCTCTTCCCGTCGCCTATAACTATTAAGCATTTACCCGTCGGCGTCACCCCGCATCCCCAGATTTTCATCTCCGTCGCGATCTTTTAGATATGAAGCTCATGTAGCTATAGTGCCGGTGATGGCATATAAAAGTCTGCCATCGGCCGTTGACCCTTCAAGACCTGGCTTCTGCTATGCTGTCATGGTCACCAACCAATACATTGGATAGTATGAAGGCCTAAGATTCCGAATTTTGGCCTCTTCTTCACCATCTTTTGTACAAACGAGACTGATTCTATTTGTCGGCTATCTCGCTTGTTTCGCTTTCCCCTTCGGATTTCGTCCAGAATGGCCCGGCTATTGCTTCTTCTAGTCGGCTTGTTCGTTGGCTTGTCCCAGCAGGCATGCTCAACTGATGAAGACTGCAGCCTCAACGGCGTTTGTGCCGGAGGCGGCGTCTGTCAGTGTGATCCGGCTTGGACTGGCACCGACTGTGGCGTCCTCGACATCCGTCCAGCTAAGCGGAACGGTGGCTACAATCTGACTCCAGAGGGAACGTCCTCGTGGTGCTCCAAGATTATTCAGGATCCAAAGGAGAGCAACTTGTACCACCTCTTCGCCTCCGAGTTCACTCATGGCTGTGGCCTTGACTACTGGGCTCCCTACAGCCGCATCATCCGTGCTGAATCTCGCACAGGCCCTGCTGGTCCTTACAAATTTGCCGCTGAAGTTGTGGGAACCTTTGCCCACAACCCAACCGTCGTCTACAGCCCCGCGGATAAAGAATACCTTCTCTACTATATCGGATGCCCTACAAACGTGACGGACACGTGCCAATCCAAGAGCTTCACCTGCGGACCAGGCAACGACGTCAATGGAGAGAGCGGAGTCTCTGTCCTGAGCAGCAAAGATCTCCGCAAGTGGACTTTCAAGGGACAAGTCATGCAGGGCGATAACACGGGTGACTGGGATGCCGATTTGACAAACCCTACCGCATTCCCTCTGTACTCTAGCTCTTGTGGACGCGCAGAATCGACCGCGAATGGCGGACATTGTCCTGGCCACACCGCTGCTATGCTGTTGGTCTACCGCGGTTGCCCAATCAACTGCGGTGGTTCCGAGCTGATCAACGTGGCCTACTCAGAGTCTGGTTATGAGGGCCCATACAAGAAGATTGAGTCACAGCCAATCTTTGACGATGCCAATGAGGATCCGTTTGTATGGCGCGACAAGCGAGGCAACTTCCACATGCTTTTGCACTCCCTCGAGCCCGCTGGTGGATTTGGCTGGGGACCTCAGGTTGGTCGTCATGCTTATGCGAGGAACTACACAGGACCATGGACATTTGGCAACCGAACACTTGCATTCAGCACGTATGTTCAGTACGATGATGGATTTGTTACTCAATTCAACCGCAGAGAGAGACCAGAGTTGTATTTCTCGAATGATGGACAAATGACACCTCTGTTAATGTCAACGGGTGTGCAAGAACAGAACAGCGGTCAGAGTTACAGTCTCATTGTCCCTCTTGGAGACGCCGGAGTGAAGGCCCAGGGCTCATCTTGAGCGATGAGCTGCCGATAGGACAGATCAGACTATGATGAATAGCGTTGGTTACGACGCAATAGTAATCTGAGTAGCAATAAGATTCGACTCGTACAAGAATCGCAGCTAAATCATGAAGTTTTGGAATCTACTGTGTGAGATCTTTTCTTTGATGAAGAAGTGTTTATATAAGGACTGACAGGCAGACCCATTGACGTGAGTCAAAATCACAAGCCATTAGCCTGCACCATCAGGACGGGATGTCACTATAGTTCAGCCTCAGCCCCATACATGTACTCCCAAATAATCTTCCTTGCAGAACGACAGGCTTTCTGGGTAAATGCTCAACATCCCAAAGCCGACGGGTACTTGATCTCAGGAAAAGAATTTAGAATCTCAGGCAGTGGCTACTTCTTCAGCATCTCGTATCGTAAATACATGGTATAAAAATATAGCCAAAATAGCAGATGCTCAAGTTGCTGAGTATCTACTACCTACGTAAGCGGTAAATAAAATGGAGGCTTTCTTTGGCATCCTGTTTCCATCCGACGCTTAAACTCTACATGGTCTCAACCCATCATCGGTCGAAACTTTTCAACAATAGTACCAAGACGACAATCTGCTGCAGTCGACCATATGATCCACTGCCGGGAAAGGGGGCCTGAAGTCAAGTATAAGCCTCAGTATATGCACATGGAATTTTATATGAAGCGTCACCGTTTGGATGATGATATCCTTGGGGGGTCTCCAGAATGCATCTTTGTCTGATTATAGTACACTTTTATTCCTGGATCCTAATTAATCGTGCAAATGTCATCTTACTTGATCCGTGAGTGGGATCATGCTGCATGGAGATCCAGTATCGCCGGCACAGAGAGCCAAAGGGATGGTCCTCATTGTCTTATAGCGCTGCTCATGACAAACCACCTTTGCATATGCCGTCAGGTAACGAAGCTTGAGAGATCTTGGGTACTGTGAACAGAGATTTCTATTGGATCACCATAATGTTCACAATCATCCCCTAGATTGTGAGTGATTCTTGACTATTTCACCTCTGGTGATTGAAAGTCCTTTCTCTCAATACCCATGCAGTGCTCACACGTTCGCCGTTACAAGAGCTTGTCCATATAGTTATAATATAATTCATAAGTTTAGAATGTCTTGGGATTGAGGAATCTGTTATATATGTGATTAATGACCTTATGTCCCTACTATACTGGCCGGGTAGAGAGTTCCTATTTATACTAACTACTTTTAGCCCCCGTCGTAGATACCGTCATGACAGCTGCCCATTTTCAGCACAATTAAACCGTATAAATGTTACCCCCCAATCGTGCCCAATTGCCACTATATTATCTTGCGCGGCCACAGCCTTGGTCCTGTATTCTCTGGGAAGCCAAAGAAGGTGTTTTCCATCCTTGTTTATCCACTCTCCTTCAGCCAGTAATGAATCTTGTTTCGGGACTCTTGTATTTTGCTCGAACCAGCTTCTGATGTATCGAATACTCAGGCGAAAAAAAGGTTCCTTAGGCAAAAACTTAATAGGCGTGTATCGACCCGGTGATGCAGAACAACAGGTGGCTTTCTGTGAATACGCACCTGTAGCTGTATCCCACACTGGAATGGGCTCAGAACCGTATGCCGCCGTTAGTCTTTTGCCTTCTGGCAAAGAGGTGCTGGCACTAACACTCTGTCCCTCCTTGGATAATGTGTTTTGAACCTTTTCTGTCGTCATATTCAGCAGCTGCATTTCATCAACGTCGAATGCTGATAATCCCTCTCCATTGGGTGAGATTGCAACTGCTGTGGAATCGGGTGAACAACTACTCGTACGAGGATTTGGACGATAGATATGTTGTCCTGTTGCTATATCCCAGAGCCATATCCCATCGTATTCTAATGCCAGCGTCCCGCCATTGGGTGAAAATGTAATTGTACGATCCCCAGTGTTCTTTGGGTAAAAGAAAGTTAGGGAAACCTCAAATGTATCCTGGTGAGTCGCATTTGACGTATCCCATAGCTTGATTTTCATCTTTTCGTGATCAAATGATGCTAGCCTCATGCCGTCTGGCGAAAAGGCCATCTCCGTATTCATATGGAACGGGCTTGGTGTAAAAGCATCCTGAGTAATCCACGGCCACATGCCTGAATCCGCATCCCATAGTCGTATTGTGCTATCAGTAGATCCTGATGCTACCATCCTACCGTCTGGCGAGAATGCAATTGCGCATATTTCGTGGGCATCATGGCGTATATGAGTCCCTTCTTCTCTGCCTGTTGCCATGTCCAATACCCGCATCTTTTCGCCTGGGATAAAAAGTCCCACAGCTAGCTTTTGACCATCCAGTCGGAAAACAATGGTATATATCCATGGACGCGAGGTCGTGAACGTTTGAAAACAGGCACTAGTTTCTGCATCCCATAGGTCCACTCTTCCGTCTGCATGCCCCGATGCTACTGTCTTGGAATCTGGTGAGAATGCTATAGCTGATATATGCGCAATGCTTTCTTTCATCTTTTGGAATGTCCTCACCACATATGCTGCAGTATTCCACAACTCTATTGGGCCATGGTGTTCTGAGGTTGCTACCGTCTTGCCATCCGCCGAGAATGTGGCGACTACTGGCAGCGGCTTCCCCGCAAGCCTTCTTTTCAATACTTGTGAACGCCCATACGCTGCTGAGCCATTTAACTGCATGGTACTATCGTGGAGCTGTGTCGATGGCGTTTTGCTCTCCAATGATATGGTAACTAGGTCTATCTGAGAAGCCATGATGCTGTGTCTATCAGAAAGCACCAACACGAGAGATTTGGAGTCAGGAGACAATGAAATGGCGAACACGGAACGACCACCAGTCATGAGCGTGTGTTGAGTCGCACCTGTTGCCGCATCCCATACTCGAATTGCTTCATCAATGGAGCATGACGCTATCGTCTTGCTATCCAGGGAAAAACAAACTGCTTTAACTGCAAATCGATGGCCCTCAAGCGTTTGCTGGAGTGTACTGTCGGTCTCTAATATTCCCTGTATACCTTCTATGAGCGGCAGTCGTTCTTTCCATTGGTGCTGTTTTATCTCACTCGACGCCTGACTGAATACCAGTGCCGAACCATATACCTGTAGGGGGGCGCGATCAATAATCGATCCGTTTTTCATGATAAACTTCTCTGAACTGTGTAGGAATTTCAGAAGCTGCGAATCTTTGTCAAACTGTAGCTGATAGATAACGTTCAGTGTCCGTGCCTCTACCTGAGCATCACTCTTCTACCACATACCTCTCGTAGTATCTTTTGTATAGAGCCTAAAGCATCTGGAAGCCTACCTAGTAGAGCTATGCTCTCTAGCCAGCGGAGTAAGTAATCTTTCAAGAATGACCATAGCTTTTCCTTGAGTGCTGGTCCAGTTTCAGCTCGGGGGTCGGCACCATAGGCGTCGCAAAAATGGTCAGTCCAGCAGAAGCAAGAGTATCCCATTGGAGCTAATGGGTTTGGGTCAGGTGTCGAAGCCGTTTTTGATCTAAATCCAAAGTCTGCAAGGCCGTAGATATTCTGTGGCAACGTCGAGAGGGCAGTGATTGACTGCTCAAAGATATGCGCATGACTTTGGGCAGCATCAGACTGCAACGGGAACGCCTCTGTGCATAAGAAATCCTTTGCTGATTGGTGAATGAAATATATAATCCCTTGACGAATTGTAAGAAATGAGCCACACAACGTAACAAGCTCTATAAGAGATTCGAAGTGATCTGAAATCTCTTTTGGGAGATCAGAGAGGATTCCTAGTTCGTCTAGGGAAAGCGGATAATATGCCGTAAATATTGTCGAAAGTATCCTCCAGCAGAAATTTGCATTTCCTCGCCGTTGATTTTGAATCTGGCCAATCATTCGTCTATAGACCGCTGCCAAGTCCATTGGCATCTCCTTGACTACCTCCATCACCTCCCAGCTTTGAACATCTTCGAGCTCTGTTACCACGAGAGATACCCATAGAAATGTTCCGTTCGCTTTCTGCCTCAAAGCATCCCTGAGTTCGTCTCTTTGGCCCTCATTACGGCGTATTGAATGTAGGCGTGAAATTCTATGCTCGATATATATATCCACAGCATTGGATACCGCTTCTGAGTTCGCTTTTAGCTCGAGACTTAGTATTCCTTGTGACGTATATAACTCGAGCCTTTGTTGGATACTGAGTATATTCCGGCTGGATATAATCCATTTAACGTGGGGCAATGATGTATATCGAGTAATTAAATCCAACAGCTTAGCCGAGTCAGTCTCACATTCGTCTAATGCGTCGATGATAAAGACGACATCTCCTATTTTTGGGTCGCGGAGAATATTTTGCAGTATGTCAGATAAAGCTGCCCAGGCATTTGCATCAAGAAAGAGATCTTTGCCTGCATGGTTGTACTTTTCCTGGACGTGCGAGACCAGCGAGAGCTCTTGGATAATGATGAGGTAAATAAGGCCACGCAAAACAGCAGTTGCGTTGTTGATGCGCGAATCCGTGCCTTGGCAGAAGAAATAGGACAGGGATGTGTTGATTGTTCTATCAATTGGCTTCGCCAGCTTCGTTCCTGGCGTCAGCTCATCGATAATTGCGCATAACAGCATTGTCTTGCCCTTTCCCGGATCTCCTTTGATCCAAAGCAGTGTATTCTGTTCATCATCGCGCCACTGTTTGAAAGTCTCGTTCTCAGAAATCCAATCGGACGACTCTTTCAAAAGTCCACCTTTTGTCTGTTGGATACGTGTTTTGTCGTCGCGGGGATCCGTCGGCCGCGGATCTTTCAGGCACCGGTCAGTTTGGTCTGCCGCCGGATTTTGTATATTGCCTTGATAGATGGTGGCATTATCTCCAAATTTATTGTTGGTAATATTGCGAGAGTCGAATCCCATCGAATCCATGGTTGGAAAATCGCCAAACACTGAATGCGACGAAATTGATGCAGCTGAACTTATTGGGCACGCAGCCTGGGTGCAAGTTGGCGATGGATACATATAATGCACGACCCCTCATTCTAGGATATCATGCGTAACATCAAATGTAACCACATGCAATCATTCACTTTAGAGTTTCTAGGCCACTCAGCTGCTCTACATTATCAAAGCTCCGATGCTATCTACGTGTATGTATACACGTCAATATCTAGCACTCGGGGCAGTACTATTGCTATCCATGGATGTACTTTGGCTTGCCCTCTGCTACTATCCCGTCGCTAATGTCTGGTCTTATACTAACGCCTTGTCCTCATAGTATCGCCACTCTCCTCTTCCGTAGCCACATTCGCCCATTATTGGCTACCCAGGTACAGCAGATATTACCGTTATATATATCCAAATTCGTGATAGCAGATGCTATATACATACGTCCCATCCCTAAGAACGTCGATATCGGCGCATAACTGTTGTAAGAAGCATCCAGTGGATGGTGGATCCGAGGAAGAAAGATCTATATTGCAGGAAAACACAATAATATTTTTGCGTGCAGGCTACGTGACTCGAAATAAAACGTCGAATTGATACGTAAAGAGTAAAATAACTGGCCATAACCCTGCATCTCCCAGCAATTCTTTCCATAGCCACAAAACATGAAACTTCAAGCATATCCCGCGTCCTTTGCAATTCTGTCCAAAAGCCTATGCAGTCTCAAACCATCCTCAAAATCAGGAACACTCTTATCGCCATGAGCATAAGCCTCAAACAAACGAGCCGTGTTCTGCCCCGGAAACTGCACGCCCTCAACATGCGCCGGATTGCTCACTTTCCAATCAACAACCCGCGACTCCTTGTCCTCGCTCGTCTTGATGCGAATTTCCCGCTCCGTGTGGCCCATCTGCAGCGGGCCATTGACGGTGAACTCAATCTCGCCCTCGCTGCCTGAGACGAGCCATCGCAGGGTCTTGCCAACGAGCTCGCCTGGGCGGTTGTAGTTGACGCTGGCGATGGCGCCGTTCTCGAGGATGCCCTGGACGAACATGTGGTCGGGGGCAGTCTTGTGGAAGTCTGGGTCAACAATCTCGCCAGTCTTTGTGTTGACGAGTTTCATGATGGGATACTGCTGGGAGAATGATGCCTTGACAGTGGCAAAGTCACCCAGCACGTAGAGGAAGCCTTCAAAGACTGTTGTATTGTTAGCATCTTTCATTGTATATCAAGCCAAAAAGACTTGAAAGGCTACATCAATGACTTACAGTGGCCAAATGCAATATGAAACTCGTTTCCACCGCTGTTAAAGTCCAGGTAATAAGCGGCATCCGCCCTCCACGTACCGGGATGTCCAAAAAAGGGCGAATACTGAACCTGTGTACTCGTCACCTTGCCAATGGCTCCACTGTCGATGAGCTCCTTGAACCTGATCAGCGCAGGGTCGATGCGGAACTGCGAACCAACAATCGTCTTGAGGTTTGCCTCCTTGGCCAGCTTGGCCAGCTCCTCGGCTTCAGCCGTGCTAGCTCCAAGAGGCCATTCGACAAAGACCTGCTTCTTGGCCAGGACAGCGGGCTTGGCCACCTTGTGGTGGTTTGTGACGATGATGGAGACAACCACCAGGTCGACGTTAGGATCATTAGCAATGTCTTCGGGGTTGCCGTATGCCTTGACGGTGGAGGGCAATTTGTGGAAGTCGATGGATCTTTGAGAAGACTCGACAGAAGAGTTGCAGACAGCAACGATCTCATAGTGAGGAGAAGGGACGAAAGAAGCCAGATGAGCGGCTACAGCCCAGGCTCCGGGACCAAGAGCAGGACCAGTGGCGCCGAGGCCGATGATGCCAACTTTAATAGGGGCCATTTTAGTGGTGAAGATTTTTATGAAAGATGTTGTTAGATGAAGCTGATGATAGCAATGATAGAGCTGATATTGATCCTGTTCATCTCCTGTCCATCACTCGAGGGCTCACGGCACTATATGTACTTGATCAAACACGACGTCATTTCCCCTCTCCCTCTGCCTCTTTATTTCCATCTCTGTATCCATCGTATACGCACTTGACCCCTCCGTTCTCCTCCATCCTCCGTAACACCACAAACGAGCCCCGTATCCGGTCCGTCTCTCATCCGCCTCCGGCGCTCCCATCGCATTATCAAATAACACCATCCGGAACTCCGTTGTCACGAAACGAAGAACGGCAAGAGTAAATTTGTCTCTTCGGATGAACAATCTACTCCATTCACACCCTCCTCAATCACATCTTGATCTGGCGCCACCAGATCAAATCCTCATTCGCTCTTCCATCAACCCCCTGGCCGTCTCCACCCCAACTCCAACCCGCTCCACCCAAACTCCGATGGCCAGAACCAGCTTCGGAGGCGCAATCGCCCGCGTCTTGACTAATACCAAGGATCCTTCAGAGCGTCCATCACCGGATTTCCTCTTCCTTTGCGGTGTATACCCTTTTTTATTCCAACTAAGATATAGACATTCTAAATCTTATCAGGAGCCAGACATGCCCATATCCAGGAAAAAGACGTGTGTCCAGTGCCGCAAAGCAAAAGCCCGCTGCAGCCTCACTCTCCCGCGCTGCACGCGATGTATAGACAAGAATCTCGCCTGCGACTATGCACGCTTGATCCCCTATTCCGTATTACCTCCTGCTTCTTCTGCTACCAACGCCAACTCGCATCCCGGGGATCTGCGCGATGCAGCGGCGGATATGCGGGTCCTCGCCGCCAGGAACGGACATGACAGCAACGGCCTTCCGGACAGCGTCCTGATCGATTCGCTCGGCATGGTCTCGTCGTCCTCGTCCACACCTCCTCTCTCATCCGCCGCGCCAATGACGGTTCCTGGCCGCTCGGACTGGCCGCTGCTGCAGCACGTTGATCTGGGCCCTGATGCCGGCCTCGACACTTCCGCCATGCCTCCGATCGAGCCCTGCCAAAACGTCTTTGGTTTCCTCAACATGACCATGCCGGGCCATGCAGCCCCAGAGGGTGTCCAAGATGAAGATGATCGTCTTCGAAATTCCATCACCGGCTCCGGCACGCAGTCCGACTTTCTGATGCATGACGTGAGGTCCCGGATTCTTACCAAGCGCCGCGGCCTCAATGCCACTACGGTGCTCTCCACGAGGGCAATCCTTGGCCAGGTGTGCGCGTATCCCGCCATGATGGTCAAAGGATTCAATCTTCCGCCGTTCATTCACAGCCGGTGCAGCTTAGATGACAGCCTGACACATGATTGTGCAAAAGCTCAGAAACACAACTGTTTAAGGAGGACGTTGAGTATATGTGCTTCCCTGGTGGGAATGTGGTTGGACAGGACCCCTGTCAACAGTTCGTTTGTGTGGGAGACGATATACAATGAAGTTGCCAGGCTGCATAAGGAGGTGACTACATTAACGCCCAGAATACAAATACATCAAAAGGATTGCACCAGAATATACTGACACCTTCTTATAGCAAGAGTCATACGATTCGGAAACACTGCTTGAGTCAGTCCAGGCATTGACAGTATACCTCTTACTTCAAGCACAGGATACAGAGACCCTAGCAAAGAACGATGTCAAATTCCTCCTCATCACAATAGCCGTACGCTCATTCTTTCGTACCAACCAACCCCATCATCACCAACGCTAACACCTACTATAGGAGGCTGGCCAGAAAATGCATACATCACTTGGATACAACTCCGTCCTAGACACCATCGAAACCCCCTTCTGCCGTCGAACCTGGGTTCTCTACGAAAGCTCACGAAGGTGCTTCCCCCCTCTACTCCCATCCCATCCCCTTCATCCTTCATCCTTCATCCTTCATCCTTCATCCTTCATCCTTCATCCCATCAACGCCCATGCTGATCCTCACACACAGAACGCTATGCCTCCTCTACGTCGTCGAAATGTTCCTCGAAGTCACCCTCCGCCAACACGAAGCCCGCTGCTGCCAAAGCTTCGCCAACGCGCCCCTCCCCTGCACCCGCGAGCTCTGGGAAGTCCCCTCCACCTACGAATGGAGCAGGCGCTACGGCGCGTTTCTCCGCGGCAGGGCCGTCGACAAGATCCTCACCCTGGCCGACTACAAGCTGTCGCACCAGCTGTCGGCCGAGGAGCTCGTCAGCGGGACGGGAACGGGGGAGGGCGGCGGGAGTATCACGCAGGATGTCATCAGGTGGTGTGAGGGCTTGGATCAGTTTGGGACTTTGATTTCGCTGGCGGCGACGCTGGTCAAGTATGATCATGGGCCGTCGATAATAGGGAGTCATTTGTATAATAAGATTGCGTAGAAGATGACGGTTGGAGTAGAGGTTAGAACAGTTCGCAGCGATATCCCTTCCGAGAAGCGATTGCACGGGTAATGATTAGAAAACCAGTCGTAATATTCATAAACTCTAAAATATGCCATGCATTTATTTACTTTTGGTAGGAATCCGTCACTCCATCATGGTATCTTCATCGTGTCCCTGCACCTCCTGAATAGCGCCCGCCTCCAACAATGACCCGGTAGCAGGAACGGCGTGTCTCGGCCAAACTCTCTTGTACAAACTAATGCCAACAGAATCTTGAGGGTTAATCCGTCCGTCAAACGTCGCCTTGAAGTAGCCGTGAGTTCCAAGAGGCTCCTTGATGAAACCGCTGCGGCCACGCTTGGTCCACAGCGGCATCGCCTTGAACCACTCCACGTCCTCACGGTTGAAGAACATGTATCGGATGGTGACAATCTTCTTGTGGATGTGGTACGGGTGGCCCGCCAGGATGACACGCTTGGCGACAACGCGAGTTGTCGAGGGCGGAAGGGCTGTACCTGTGGCAATCAATGACATGCCACCAGCCGAGGCGTCTTCCTCAGCACCCTCGCTAGGAACTGTTCGCTTGAAGAACAAGACTGGAACGGCACCCCATGTGATTGGTCCCATGAAGGTGGCAATGGCCGATTGGCCGGGGTGGAGGTATCGGCAGTACTTGTGCACGTCGTTTGGCGTCGAGCCAGACTGTGAAAAGAGAGGCTTGATAACCATGCGTCGAGCACCACACTGGGCAATCAGCTCCTCCTTGGACTTGATGGAAGAAGTTTGATCAGAGCTGAGGTTGATCAGGTAGTTGACCGCAGTCCTCTTGTTCTCGTGCCGCAACAGGGATACAAGAGTGACTGGGGAGCTGGGCTTGTAGGAGCTGGCCGCAGCAGCAGGCATGCCCTTGATGTAGATGTGCACGCGGGTGCCAGGTTGAACTCCTCCAACCAAAGCTTCACGGGTAGCCCTTGATCGCGAAGCGTTGTAGTCGGGAACCTGTAGAAGGCGACGCCATTCCTCCGGCTCATGTGCTCGATCCTCGTCCTCTTGCCAAGGGCTGGTTCGGAGGCTCTTCAGTCCACGATACCTAGCTAATCTTTCTCTGGCCAGAACATTGGGGTGAAGTTCAATCTCATCGGGGAACTCCTTGTCATCCTCCACCTCGTCTCGCTTCCGTGCTCGGTACTGCTCCAGCTGTGCGGCATCCTCTTCCTCATCCGGCTCCATCATCTCAGATTGGGGGTACTCCGAAGGACCAGCCTCCGTAGGCTCGGGCAGGGCAAACCCCTCCATACCGTCTTCAGGTCTCGCTCCCTCCTCTTCATCGTTTTCGTCATCCATCTCCATATCTTCCATGTCAGAGCCCGAGTCTGACACGTCATCCAGGTACCAAGCTGACTGGTACTTTGAGGTTCCCTTTGGAACCTTCTTTGTCCCAGCCGTCGCCTCATCTTCCTCGTCCGAGAAATAGTGGTGCTCGTCCAGCAATACACCTTTCTTTTCTGAAGGCGCAACTGACATGGCGGCATCATCTTCGGCATCCATCATGACGTCTTCGGGAGCAAGCTCGTTCAAGTCATCACGGTCGTCAGAAGGCTCTTCCAGGACTTTCTCTCCTTCAGCCTCCATTGTTACCTCCTCACCCTTCTTCTTGATGTGTTTGGGAAGAGGAGCAGCGACAATCTTTTCGATTTGATAGGTACCCCAGTCGCCAACCTGGATAAGTCGATCCGCCTTCAAGCCTTTACCTCTGACCACTCCAGTAATGACTGTAGATTCCGAGTCGTTTGAGGCAAATTTGACATCCTCAGCCAGCATCCAGCTCCTCTCATCCCTCCACCTGATGCCCTTAGGGGTTGTGCTGCATAGAGATCGCATGAGATTGGCACAGTCTTGCCTGTTGTCGACACTGTAGAGTTTCTCTTGTTCGGGGTGGAAATGCGTAATGAAGGACTTGAGCGAGCCCATGACGCCAGGCCTCTGCTTTGCAGGCTCAATCTTATCAAGACCCTGAACCATTGTGAACAGTGTTGACAAGCCCTGGCTCTCGACGCTTCGAAGAATGAGCTCTCCTAGTTGGTCAACCTCAACAGAGGCCGAGAGGACGACGACGACGAAATCGGCGGCGCTGGCAGCATCCAAGCAGGCAGTGAGGTCCCGCTCGAGGGCAACATACTGCAGCTTCTGCTTGAAGCGATCAATTGATACCTGTAAGTTGTTGCTGCCGAGGTCGGTTTCGATATCGAGGCTGCTGTTGAGCGACTGAATAGCTGCCTTGGCGTCGCCATCAGAACACAAGGGGATAATTGCAACAATTCTTGGGGCCGCGTCCTTTCCAGAGAAGATGGAGGTCTCCTTCAGGTGTTCCTTGTGCTTGACAAGACGAGTCTGCTTCGCCTGGTTCCGTCGGTCGAACTTGGACATGACTTGCTGGTGGGGAGTCTTGCGCGATCCTTTTTCGTTGGGAACTCGGCCTAGATATATCAATGTTAGGTATATATTCAACCTGGGATTGTGCTTCACACAAATGCGCAATCGAACCTTTTGCGCGATCCCTCAGCTCATGCTTAGAGGCAGCCTTTGATTTGAACGGCTTGTTGGTGACTTTCGTCGTGGGCCGGTGCGAGTGCACGGCAGCAGACATTTTCCCGTCGCCACCAGCCTTGAACCGAAATGGTAGAGATGCCAGTTTGCAAGTGGTGAAAACAGTGTTTGTCCTTCCAAGTCCAAATTGAGGCCCTGGATATTGTGTATTTGCACCGGGCGCAAGACAATGCAGAATCACTGCGATGGTGGGGTTTTCGGTTATCAAGAATTTTTTGTTGTGGCACATTATCGATAAGCGCGGTGGGCCGGCAGATCAGGGCCCTGCCAATGGCAACGCCGCGATAGGCCGCGCCAAAGCCAGGGCGGTGGAAATTTTGTCTTGCTTGCAACTTTGATAGCAATTGTTTTCTGCGAGTCGCCCAGCGTCCGATTCTCGAGTTTACGAAAAATCCCCAGATAATTCTACACCGGCGCAATGAGTGCGGACACAGACGTCAAGAGAGCGCCCACAGCGCGAAAAAGCGAGGCAATCATCACCCAGAAGCCCCGGACAGACATTGCAACCCGCGCCGAGAGAGAAAAGGCTCGACGGATGCGAGAAGCAAACCAAGCCTACGGTCGAGGCAAACAGATCAACACCAAGCAGATCAAGGACAAGAAGCTGCGGAGGAATCTGAAAGAGCTGGAAAACAAGTATCAGAATGCGACGCTGAAAGCAAAGGATGCCGAGATCTTGTTGGAGAACACGTCTGGATTCCTCGAGGCCGAAGGAGAGCTGGAACGAACCTACAACGTCAAGCAAGGCGAGATTGTGGCCAATGTGGCCATTGAGACAGCGCAGAAGCGATTCGAGCTCAATCTAGACCAGTTGGGACCTTATGTATGCGACTACTCAAGAAACGGACGAGAGCTGCTGATCGGCGGTCGAAAGGGCCATGTCGCGACAATGGACTGGCGAGAAGGCAAGCTGGGATGCGAGATCCAGTTGGGAGAGACAGTCAGAGACGTAAAATGGCTGCACAACAACCAATTCTTTGCAGTGGCACAGAAGAAATACGTTTACATCTACGACCGCAATGGTGTCGAGCTGCATTGCCTGCGGAAGCACTCCGAGGTCACACATATGGAGTTTCTCCCATACCACTTTCTCTTGGCCACAATGGTAGGACATGGTCAAGTCTCAAAGCGAAGCTTGTACGATCTGCTAACAATATTGATTAGAACACCGGCGGCGTTCTGAAGTACCAAGATACCTCAACCGGCCAAGTCGTCGCCGAGATCCCATCCCGCCTCGGCCCTCCCACCGCATTCACCCACAACCCCTACAACGCCATCATCCACGCCGGCCACCAGAACGGCACGGTCACCCTATGGTCGCCAAACTCAGCCGAGCCAGTCGTCAAGCTACTAGCACACCGAGGCCCCGTGCGCTCCGTCGCCGTCGACCGAGAAGGCCGCTACATGGTCTCCGCCGGCCAAGACGCGCGCATGGCAGTCTGGGACATTCGAATGTTCAAGGAAGTCAACACCTACTCGACATACACACCAGCGTCCTCCGTCGCCATCTCAGACACGGGCCTCACGGCCGTCGGCTGGGGCACCTCAACGACCATCTGGAAGGGCCTCTTCAACAAGAACGCCGCCGAGCAGGAGCGCGCGCGGCACCCGTACATGAAATGGGGCCGCGAGGGCAAGGCCGTCGAGCGCGTCCGCTGGTGCCCCTTTGAAGACGTCCTCGGCATCAGCCACGACAAGGGCTTCTCGTCCGTCATCGTCCCCGGCGCCGGCGAGGCCAACTTTGACGCCTTCGAGGCCAACCCCTTCGAGACCGCCAAGCAGCGCCAGGAGACCGAGGTCAAGGGCCTGCTCAACAAGCTCTCGCCCGAGATGATTGCCCTCGACCCAAACTTCATCGGCAACATCGACCTGCGGTCCGACGCCCAGCGCAAGGCCGAGAAGGACCTCGACGCCAAGCCCGTCGACGTCGCGGAGGAGATTCGCAACCGAGCCAGGGGAAAGAATGGCGCGCTCAAGAAGTATCTGCGCAAGCAGCGCAAGAGGAACGTTATCGACGAGAAGAGGCTGCGGGTGGACGAGCTGTGGAAGGAACAGCAGAAGAAGAAGGACAAGAAGCGCAAGGAGGTGGAGGAGGACTTGGGACCGGCCTTGTCACGGTTTGCCAAGAAGGAGTAATGTATGGAATAGTGACAGGTACATATCACAACACATATACTAATACCCATAGCATGACCGATGCCACCTCGTCTGGGTACGTAGCAGTGCTCCAAAGGTTGTGGCTACCCATGTGTGTCCCATCGTGTCGTGGAAAAAAAGCATCAAAACATCCATTTCTATATCTTTTCTGTTCCCAATGTGCCATTTAATAAACTCGCTCACGTTCCCATACAAGCAGCATAGCATCCCAGCGAGCCATCACCCAGACGCCGTCCATTCAGCCAGCCTACATAGGCCTACTCCAACGAATGGTATCATCATATCAATCTTGACTTCCTCACAACAGCTTGAGGTCTCCCGTCACCTTGTCCACCAAGCTCTTTGGCCCCGGCCCAACACCCAAAACCGTCATGCTCCCCGCCTCAATCTGCGTCCGTCCAGCATCCTGGATCACCTCAGCCGTGAGCCCCATAGCACGAGCCTTGCCTCGCAGCTCCAGCATCTCGGCCTGGCTCTTGATCTGTACGGCAATCTTGGCCTGCCCGAATCGTTCCCATCGAGCGAGCACCTTGCGTTCGGCAGAGGCCGGGTCGGCACGAGCGAGGGCCTTGTAGCAGGCAAGCGTAGCGTGTGAGCATTGAGCAGCGATTTTGCCTATTGATTCAAGTTCAAGTTAGTTTCTCTTGCTCAACAAGCACCCAACATCCAAGAAGAAGCAAAAACACACCCTTTGTCATGCCCAGATCCGTCCGCACAACCAACACCAGCTTACACTCCTCGCTGCTCTCCAACATCAAGTTCTTCTTCTCCGCAAGGCCCCCATCGTTCACTTTAAGCCCCTGCCTCCGATCCGCATCGAACCCGTTAGCCCAGTTCGGCGCATGGTCCAGCAGTGTGTCGTCCTCGTCCACGTCGCTCTCCTCGCTCTCGACAGGGTCGCTGAGGTATCTCCGGCGCTCCTCGGCCAGGGCGGGCGAGATGAGGTACCCTCTTGCGGTGTACATGCCAAAGATGTAGCCGGTGATGAGGCTGGCGAGGGCGGTGGTGAGGATGACGCCCGTCTGCTGGGTCTGTTCGACGGAAGCCATGGCGGGCTGCTGTGTCGGTGGATTCGGTGGCTGATGCGACGGAATGCAAGGTTTGCGTGTTGGAAGAGAAGAATGAATGAATGCAAGTGGAATTGTGAGGCGGTGATGGTGACGATGGCTCAGGAGAAGTTGAATGTAAGAGAACAATTGCTGCGTCATGCAAAGCAAAGCTTCCCAGTCTCAACAGCAGAAAAAAAGCAACATGCCCCGCCTACACCTTCAATGCCCTGTAACGCATCGGATTCCGGCGATCCGCCCGCCCTGAAGAATCCCACCTCCAGCCCGCTAAACCAAACTTCGAACCGCTAAAAAAAAAACAGCCCGCTGCCGTATCAGTGTGAGTGAGTAATACGGCCAACACTCAATCCCAGCTTGGTATAAACCCATTCACAACTCCCACAGACTCACTCAAAACCTCCATCTCATCACCACCGACGCTAACAATCTCCCCATCGCCAAAAGCCTCACTTTCAAATGGCTGACAAAAAGGCCCTCATCGTGGCCCTCTCCGGCTGCTCCTCCAGCGGCAAGACAACCCTCGCCCGCCTCCTCCGCGACATCTTCCCCAACACTTTCATCCTGCACGAAGACGACTTTTACAGGCCCGAGACTGAGTAAAAAGACGCCTCACAAACTCGTTGTTTCATAACCCTTGAGACTAATGTAATCAAGACTCCCCATGAAACAAGGCCTCCTCGACTGGGACTGTCCCGAATCCATCGACATCCCCGCCATGGCCTCCGCCCTCTCTTACATCCGCCAACACGCCGCTTTTCCCGTAACTCACTCATCTCATCTCATCTCTTCCTTTCATCACATCAACCAACTAACAAACTCACAGCCAACCCTCGACTCCTACCAAGACAAAAACTCCGTCGGCCAAAACCCCATCCCACAATCCACAATCTCCGCCCTCAAATCAAAAGTATCCTCCCACCTCTCCGCAACAAACCACCCCCTAACCACCTCCGCCCTCCACCTCTGCTTCCTCGACGGCTTCCTCCTCTACCCGCCCTCCATGGCCGCCATCCAGCCCCATCTCGACGTCAAAGTCTTCCTCCGCGCTTCCTACCAGCAGGCAAAGGCCCGTCGCGAGGCCCGAGACGGCTACGTCACGCTCGAGGGCTTCTGGGCCGATCCCCCGGGCTACGTCGACAAGATCGTCTGGCCGAATTACGTGGCTGAGCATTCTTGGATGTTTGAGGCTGGGGATGTGGAGGGTGAGTATAAGACTGATGTGCTTGAGCGGGAGACGATCAGGGTGCCGGATGGAGGGCCCTTGGATGGCGACATGGATACGATTTTGGCGTGGCTGGTAGATCTGATACTACAAGAGTTGGACAAGCACGCTTAGAGTAATGAACGAGAATAACAAATGAATTCTCTCTTCATTCTTGTGTTGAGTTTGAAAAAAAAAAATGGCTACAAGGCCGGAGCACCGCTCTGGAAGTAAAAATCACAGTCTGATCTATCAAACTCTTTCATCAAAACGAATCCCAAAAACGCTTCTCTCAATCCCTTTTATATATCCCAAGACCACGCAATGCTTGCTCAACATCATTCACGCAGCGTCATCAAAAAAAAAAAAAATCATCATCACTCACCCATCTCAACATCCTCCCCATTCCTCTTCTCCCGCTCCAAAATCTTCATCGCCTCCGTCGCAGCCTTCGTCTTCACCTCCTCCTTATTGATCCCTCCCCTCACCGCCACCACCTCCCTCTTCCCAACGAGAACCTTGCAAAAGAATTCTTTTTCAGCAGCATTCTGCTCGCTCTCTCTCATATCAAGCTCATACGTGACCGTCTCCGTATTAGCCCATTTGCCCAACTCCTCCTTGGGGTGTTGCACATGGACTTCATCCCGAAGCAACCGGTCCAAGTATTTCAAAAGCCCAAACCGATCAGCAATGGCCTTGCACGCATCCATCGACCCGGAGTCAACCCACACGGCGCCGAGAACCGCCTCAAACACGTCAGAGAAAAACTTCTTTGGATGCAGCGCAGCTAGCAGCGCCCAGGGGTAATGCGTGCCGTTCTCCATGGCGTCAAGAATCTCCCCTCTCAAGGCCGCATGTCGCTTCATCGTTTCCTTGCGCTCAACCACGATAGGCTCCGAATTCTGTCGCATAAAACTCCACAGGTAAGACGTCGTCTCTACGGTTTTCACATTGCCGTCTTCTCCCACAGTAGGTTCAGTCGACTTCAAGCCGTGCTCCATGGTCATAAAGGCCAGGAAGTCGCCATTCACCATGCCCGTCTTGAGTGTATGCATCCTGAAATGGGGTAGCTCCGGCTTCACATCAAACAGCTTCGTAACAATGATGTTGTCTAAAATGGCATCTCCAATGAATTCGAGTCTCTCAAAGGATCGCTTGCCCATTTCTGCCGCAAATGAAGCATGCGTCAAAGCCTCAACTAAAAGGGCTTTTTTCTGAAACGAGTATCCAATCAGCCTCTCCACCGGCTCTAAAGTCGATGGAAGCGGTTCGTCATCTGGCACTCTGTCGAACATGATGTGCCTATCTTCTTCCACGCTTGTCCAATTGGTTTCGGGGAGAAACGTGGAGAGGCATTTGACCGCTTTGTGGAGGCCTCCTTGGAGACCACCATCGAGGCTTCCGTCTACATACGAGACTCCTATGAGTGCCTCAACCATGTCTGCAAGTGTCTTTGTCGATACCTTTCTATTCGCTATAGCAGACTCGGTATCTTCTTCCTGGAGAATTGCGTCCAGGTATAGTGGACGCCACTTTTGGCCCGTAAAGGGCTTTGTGATGAGAAATCTAGGCAGTCTATAGTTGATAGCCGTCTTGTACAGTCTCGAGTTGGAAATAAGTCTGTCCCGCTTGTGCGAGAGATAGCCCTCGGGGTAATCGGGATCTAAGTAGCATCAGTATGGTCAGCAGAAGTGCTCAGCAAAGATCGTGTATGCATGCAGCAATGGTCACTTACATTGAGCAGCGACGCGAATGCAGGTAAAGAACTTGAGTATGGAATCGCCCAAAAATTCCAGTCTCTCGTAATTCACCGGTTCGGCGGCACTGCGCGCGCTTAGAGCCTCCCTGACCAGCTCCAGGTTCTTGATATCAACATCCCAGAGAACAGTCTTGGCCAGCTCCCTGGCCATGATCATGACGCCGAGCTCGTGGATGACGGTAGGAATCATCATGCCAAACTGCGCATGCTTCGCCGGGATCGTGTCGACCATTGCCCATTGGGATGGATACACTCGTGAAAATGGCCTGCTGCTAGCCTGCTCCTTGCCCGGGTCCCCGTGAAGGCGGTGCAAGAAATCTGTTCTCCGCGTCCACTTGTTGAGCACGAGATAGGGGACGTCTTCTGGCGCCTTTTCATATTCGTAGAATGCATGTTGCACCTGGGTTATGGACGGTTTGGATCCAAGAGTATCCTTGTATGTGTAAGGAGACTTTGTATTATCCCGGATGAGGTAATGGCCTTCTCTTACGCTCTCGTTTTCCGGATCGTATGCCAGCGCGCCGATTTGATCCATCGACAAGGATTCACCCTTTGCCCAAGCCCGGATTACGTGCTCAACTGGCTCAATTGGCCAACGATGTCCAAAATGAAGCGCCAGCAGAGTGGACGTTTGATCTGGCGAGTCCCTAATCTTGTCATGAGGAACGGGCGTTCCGGCAGAAAGCCGCAGCTCCATCTTGTGGCTGCGGTCGAGATACATTTGCAGAGGCTGGGGTTGGTGAATCTGAACGGGGAGCAAAACCTCATACTCTCCCGTCACTTGACCGTCCTCATCAATGCAAGTCAGAGAGTAGAGCCACTTGTCGCTGGATTCGTTGCGCCACTCCTTGGCAACGTGGTGCCATGGCTTCATCATGGGCTCAACGAGCACTTCAGACGCTCGAGAATCGATGCTGCCCATATCGCTGGCCCTGAAGGGCTGCAAATTATCATTCACCAGCTCGGCATCAAACAGAGCGCGATATGCCTGGTAAGCCGCATCCTTTGTCGCATTCTTCTCGGATTGCCACGCAGACGCACTGCTATGCTTCCTCAGACTCGTCGGCAAGTACGGCGGAAGCAACACGGTGCAACGCAGGTCCCTAGACTCAGGCTCTTGATGGATGATGTAGTCTGGCCGGCTGTCGACGAATTCGCCCGGAGACAAGACTCTGCAGAAATGCTCAAGATGAGCTTTGGCATTGTCAAAGTCGAGCCTCGCTTGAGTGGACGGTACAATGAAAAAGATGTCGCTCGGGTTCTCCGAGCCCTCTTCCAACTGACTGAGCTCGCGGAACTCCCTCTGCTCGTCATCAAACAGTTTCTTGATCTCCTCTTCTTTCTCTTCCCATTTCTGAAGAGCAGGGTTGGCCCGTTCAAAGAAAATGACGAGTCTCGAGTCCTTCTTCCGGGCCCGACCGCGCCTCTGTATAAACGACTTTGAGGTCGTCGGAGTATCAAAGCAGATGACAAGGTTGCAAGCAGGGACATCAATGCCCTCTTCCAAGACCGACGTTGCAATGAGGAGGTTGATCTTGCCCTGGCGAAAGCTGAGCAGATCCTTGTAATCGGCCTTTTCGCCAAATTCATACATGGCCTTGCGCCGTGTAGCATAGGCCGAGGTTCCAACCATGGTCCCGATTTTGTATTTGGCCTTGATGGCCTGGTTGATGGACAGAATCTCGTAGAGCATCGTCACCATGGCGCGCTCGTCGACAAATATGATTCCCACGTTGTGTTCTTGTGTGGATAAAAGCTCGGACAAGAGCCGGCCTACTTTGTCGGAGATGTCATCAAATGCCTGCGGCGTCTCGGGAGGAGGTTGAAGATTGACTCGTCGATAAACTTGGGCCAAATACTTCTTTTCCGCGTCAGCCCACCACTGGCTGGCGAGGTCACGATCTCCTTCCACCTTGTTCAGGTAAGCCGATATGGCCTTCCAGATGTAAAGATCAGCGGCCCAGGGGCCAAGCTGTTTGCATATCTCCTTCGACCGAGAGCAGAATGACTTCATCTGATTCTGCGTGTAGGTGTCGTACTTTTCAATGGCCTCGGCCAGCTTACGCTTGTTCTTGTCCGTAGGGTCACGTAAGAGCTGATGTATGTAGGGGTCTTCTCTTATGTCTAGATCAAGATATACTTGATTCAGGGAGCGCATGGTGGGAGTCATGTCTTCTGGGACAGGATTATAGATGACGTGCGATATGGTAGGTCTTTTGACGCATTTGAGAAGCTCGTCACGGTGGAGAGTGGGCGAGATGCATCTTGCGTCCAGCAGTATCTCCAGAGCCTCAAGGCCCTCTTTTTCAGACTGGATACTTGGGGTCGCCGTCAAGCCCAAGATGGATGGAACAGTCTGGCCAGTTTGCTTGCGTGGATGGTAGTGATTCGTCATGACCTTGCCGCCAGGGTTTTTGCCAATGCAGTTGTGGGCTAGATGGATCAAGGAGGCAGTGTCAGCAGTTGGAAATATGTCACAAATGTTTTTATGATAAGTGCAGCATAAGATCTCACCTTCGTCAAATACAATCAGCGCCAGGTGGTTCATGGTAATATACGCATGGTCCATAGCATCTAGTAAGATCTGGGGCGTCGATATGACAACTCGAGCCGTATCCAAAAGGCTACTCCAGATGTCCGGGCCCCAAGCATTGATATTGGACGCCCCAGCCAGCATCATCATCGGCACGGTAGGGGCGTGCAGCTTGAGTACGTCATGTTGCTGAGAACACAGCGAGATGGTTGGCGCGATGAACCATATGATCTAACGAGGAGCTTCCGTTAGTGCTTCCTTGGTGTCTGTTTGCAAGGAGCGGCTCACCTGTTTCGGATCGCAAGTTTCTAGCTCCTTTTTGATGCGAAGAACAGCCCTAACAGTAATCCCAGGTCAGCATGAGCATGGACTGAGCAGGACGAAGCAAGGGATGCCGACGATGGCCTCAGTGAGGTGCCGACGCCACACAAGGGGGGGGCATGCATGCGACTTACACCTGAGTTTTGCCACTTCCTGTATCCATCTACACGATACAAACACCCCTCTGGTCAATGGACATTGTCTCAAACCCAAACCACAAAATAGCATCAAGAGGGAGGCAAGACATACAGCCACAATCACGTTTCGCTCGAGGCTCTGCTCGAGCATCTCAATCTGGTAGGCCCTAGACGCCATTATTCCTGTCTGGTCGCCATCTTCACCCAGCGGTGCTGCCTGGGAGCCTGAGGACGCTCCGTCTCCATCTCCATCTTGGGCGGACGGGGGCTCCCTGATATCGAATCCGGGCCCGGGAGGCTCGTCCATGGCAACGCCATCCCCAGCATCAGCGGAAGCATCAGCGGCAGCCTCCTCCGTGTTAGTGCCCGCCCACCTCTCGACGCT